GGGGGGGGGGGGTGGGGGGGGTGTTAGGGGGTATTTTACGGGGTTGGTTTGCTAACATGTGGTTTGTGTAGGTACTGGTGGGTGTTGGCTATCGGTGTGATTTTGTCCATTTCTGGGGCAAGTGAGCAGAAATAGAGTAATAATTAGAAGGGGAATTGGGCTGTTCGCTGAGTATAATGTTTTAAATTGTATAAAATCTAGCGTGAAGAATACTTTTGAAAGCGTTTCCTGACCTGCCCTTGACGCTCCTGCCTACTCTATGCCCCTAGTTCTCCTTTGTTTTCCCTGGAAGAGCTGGAGAGCTTCTCTTTTTCTCGGTTCCTTCCTCATTTTCGCGATGCCTAACAGCTCCATTCCCTTCATCGTCAAGTTTCTCCTGGAACCAGACAAGCTGGGCTAGACCCATGTCAGCTGGTTGCCAATGGTAACGGCCCGTTTGACTGACCCCACATTACAGCTCAGCGATGCTTGGTGGGGAGGTGGGTCAGAATTTCAGAATCGAGCACCTTCCTGGCGTCCTACTTCTTCGCCTGCTTCCCTTCCCCCCTCCCTCGACAAACAAACACACCGACCCCGTGCGTTGCGATTCACGATTTCCTTTTCACCGCCAAAACAACTCAACAACAAACCTATAACCACGCACCACCGCAAATATGTCCGACCACAACTCTGACGCCATGGACATTACCCAGCCCGAGACGGGTGCTGCCCCCGCGACCGACTCCAAGGGCAAGGGCAAGGCTGCTCCGGCTGACCAGCACGCCGAGGACGCCTCGATGGTCGACGATGATGACGACGACGATGAGGATGAGGAGGGCGATGTAAGTTTCGCACACATAGCTGCATCCCATGCAGGCACTTAAGAAGAACAAGAACAAATATCGCTAACACCCAATAACAGGAGGAGCCCGAGGCTGGTATGCGCAGAACACTCCACTTCAAACAAAACGACAATTTAGCGCGTCACGACTGACTAACTCTCCCGCCTACAGCTGACGACGACAACATGGAAGAGATCGACATCGACAATGTCATCGGTCGCCGCACCCGCGGCAAGGTGATTGACTTCGCCAAGGCCGCCCAGGAGAACCCGGCGGCCGACGATGACGACGAGGATGACGATGAGGACTTTGTTGACGGTAACGAGAACAACAACAACAACATGGACGAGGACTAGGAGTCTTCGACCAAGGATGTTGAGGAAGTTGCCCGCTCCGCCGACAAGGTCGAGGACGGCGGCAAGGAGGCTGCTAAAGCGGAGGAGGCTGCGAGCAAGGTGGAGAAGGCCGAGACTACTACCAGCAAGGTTGAGAAGGTCGGCTACGTGGAGACCGCTACTACGGCTTAAAATCACGATGAATGGGACATGAATAACATGAATATGATGAATGGTTTTTGGCGTCTTCCTCTCCATGTGGGGTTCTCGTGGGACTCGGCTGGTTTTGGAGGATGCTCAAAGTCGGAATGTTTTGGCGGCTTACGAGACGGCCCGTTTTGGGAACTCGCCCGTAACGGATCTGGTTGCATTCAAGGGTACCTATTAACGATCTGGTAGTTGCCTTGGTGACCAAATCATTTACATTTGAAAAACTAGACATCGGCCTGTACTCTCTGTGTGATTATCTGCTGCGTGCTCCGTCCCTGTAATGCATCTGCAAGGCAGCGTTGGGCTCTCTCGGCCGTCTGTTCCTCTCCGGACTCCCTGTGGTGTTTTGGTGTCCTCCCTCCCGCCCATAACTGACGGGGAGTCCGTGGTTCGCCCCATACCCACCCAATCCAGGAGATGAAGTCAGGGGCCCATCTCCTAGATTGGTAACATCAATTTTTTTTTCTTGGGCGCAGATTCGCGATCGGCCACCCACAGAACGAGCACAGCGTTGCGTTGCCCCTGACGGGCTGATGAGCAATTGACCAATCTGCAGGCCGTAAATTTTCTTGACACCTGGAGCGAACAGTCTGGCCAGCCGGGCGCAGTCGGCAATCCGCTGCTGTGTGCAGCCTGAACCTGGAAACTGGGCCGCTGTTCCCTGTGACCTGTGACCAGGAGTCCACATCATCATCAACTCAAAAAGAACCAGACTCCGCCAAAGGCTCAAGACCCTTGTCGCTGCTTTGCTCTTTCATCTCTCTTTTTCTTTTGCATGCGCGCCATGGAAAAGCCATAGGCTGGGTGCCAGTTTATTTTTTCTAAACCATATTCAACATGGCTTCAAGGTGAGTTTGTCTTGGTGGTTCTTGGCTTGTTGGGCCTCCTTCAGATCGTCATGCGATCGAAGCGCAATGCGGGAGATGGGAATGCACGACACCACGACTGCTGCATGATGCGAAACCGGCTCCGGAGCTATATGCACACCACAGCGCGAGGACTTCAAAACCGACATCAACACAATACTGTACCCGAAGTGCCCGCAGCCCAACGAAGCAACAACCATATCATCCAAATGTGCCACGAATCATCGCCACTCGCCCACATGTCGCAACACCCACTCCCGCTTCCACTCCCCAGCAGCGCATCTCCCACTCTCGCATACAGCCCTAGTCCAAGAACGACAACAACAACAACAACAACAACACGAAACACCTAACTAACAACCCCTCTTCCCCACAGATTCCCCTCTTCCCTCCACCAGCGCGACTCGCGCAGCGATCTCTTCAAAGGCTACACCGGCGGCGCAAGCCGCAACGTCAGCGCCAGTCCGAGCCGGCAACTCCACCAACAACAACAACACCAACAACAACAATCACCATACGGGGGCAATGGCAGCGGGAGCGGATATGGGTATGGCGGGTATCAACCAAATGGGGGCGGCGTAGGGTCAAGCGGGAGCAGTCATTTGGGAGTTGGGGTTGGGAGTGCTGGGTTTAGGCCGGCGACGCCGAATCGGAAGTATGTTTTGTCCTTTTTTCTGGGTTGAAGGGGCGTTGGGAAGTTTTGGATGGGTGGGTAGAGAAGACGGCTGCTGACATGTGTGGTTTTTAGGGGGCAGTACAGTGACGCGGTGCTCAACGAGCTTGAGAGCCAAAATGACCAACAGGTGGACGGGATCTTGGGCAAGGTCAGGTTGTTGAAAGACGTCAGTTCCCTCCTTACCCTCTCTTAAGGTTATTGTTGGAGTACACCTGCTGACAAGTACACTGTAGATGACCGTGGCGATTGGCGATGAGATCCGCGACTCGTCCGCGCTAGCCGAGAAGATGAACGAGGGCTTCGACCAGACACGGTTGCGGGTGGGCCGGACCATGAACAGGATGCTCGTCATGGCTGAGCGCACTGGTGTGGGTTGGAGGGTGTGGCTTGCCTTCTTTGCGGCTGTCATCTTCCTGTTTGTTTACGTCTGGCTGTTTTAAGGGGACGACGAGAGGACGAAAGGACGAGACTGAGGGCCGCGAAGAACTAAATCGGACCTCAATTACCCGCAGAGGAGATGGTCCCTTCCGAATGAACTCGGGTGACGGCGCTTGGGAGTTGGATCATGGAGGCGTGTCTGACTTGGCTTGGTTTGCTTGGAATAACGACGGGCTAGCATGATGACGATGCTGTACCACCGCACCTCGCCATACATGATGGCCATGATTGGAGGTTGCCTTTTGACTTGATACGGATATTTTAATGCTGTACATGAATCTTTTATCTCTCATACATCCTGTCATTCCGGGTGTGGTGAATTAGAATACAATAACCTTTACAACCGTCCCCAAAACGCCTTAACTATGCGGGTATCAATCATGCTGTCGAGTGAACTAAGCTTCACCAAAAAAATCTCCCTACCCCTCGCTTCTAGTAATGACCCCGTCGCATCTGTGGACTGCTCCCTATCATACTACTCCCATCCAATAGCCCGCTAATATCCAGGCTCGATCTCGGCGCTGCACTCCGCCGTCGCGGGCTGCTTCTCCTCCCCTGTATGACACGAGCGCTGCGCGCGTAGCTGAGATCGTGCAAATCCCCTTCACTGTCGAGCTCGGCCTCGGAGTCCGTGTGCTCATAGCCGCCGGCATCCGCCTCCGGGATCTCGCCGTCCAGGTCCGCCTCCATGTCCATGTCGAGACCGCTCATCCCGCCCGCTGGGGGCTGGACCTGCGAGCCCATTGCCACGTTTACATTTCCACCGCGGATGAGGTCCTCTTCGTCCAGCATCTGGCTGCGTTCCTCTTCGCTCGGTTCCTCGTCGAAGTCGAACACGTCGTCGGATCGGCGGAGCTGGGCGTCGTTTTGCTCTCTGATTTCGCGCATGCGCTCTTCTCGTGCTTGGATCCGCGCAATCTCTTGTCGTCGCTCTACTTCATCCTCGCTTAGGTCCTCCTCTTCTTCCTCTTCCTCTTCTTCGTCATCCTCCTCATCCTCCTCATCTTCTTCCTCCTCTTCCTCCTCCTCATCATCATCACTAATCCCATCATACCCAAACCCCATCCCAGCATCCTCATCCGGAATATCCGCATCCAAATCCCTCTCCCCCGCACCCCCCCCCCCCCCCCCCCCCCCCCATCATCATCATATCCTCATCCTCCCCACCCCCCTCTACCCCTTCACCCTCCTCCCCACCCACAGCAGCCGCAGCAGCCTCCGCCTCCGCATCCGCCAACTCCTGCACCAACATCTCCCGTCTCAACGCCTCCGCCACCTCCTCTGCCTCGCGCCGCTCCTCACGCATCTGAAACAACGTCTTGGCCACCCCAATCGGCTTCAACCACGTGCTTCCGAGATTACACACGGCTGTGCGCCGTCGTGCGAGGAGGGCCTCGTCGGCTTGGAGACGGCCGAGGGCGGAGCGCTCGATTATGGTGCTCGCGGAGTGGGCGTTGTTTTGGCGGGCTCCATTTCCTCCGGCGCCGCCGGCGGTGGTGGTTTGTTGGGTTGATGGTGCGGGGGTGTTTTGGGTTGGGTTGTTGGGGGTTGTGCCGGCGGGGTTGTTGGGGCCGCCGGTGGTGGTTGGGTGGTGGGTGGTGCCGTCGGAGAGGGTGTGGGAGGAGTCGAGGGCGGTGTAGAAGGGGGGGAGGGGGTTGCGGCGGGAGGTGTACCAGAGGGAATGGGACTGTTAGTTTTGACTGGGGTTAGCGGAAATCTATCAGGGTGGTGGTGGTGGGGATTCGTACATCCCGCGGAGTGAGGTCCGGAAGCATGGAAAACATGGTGTACTACAACTCGACTCGAGGTGGGGTAACGTTTGTTGCTTCGAAGAATTGTGCTCCCCACTGCCCGCGGTCGGCTTGGGCTTCCCTTGCGAACGAAGCGCTCGTCTTAGGATTGAGCTCGTCCTAGGATTGGTTGTGGTTGTGGTTGTGGTTGCGCGCAATACAGCAAAAAGTGTACGATGACGTCTTTGGGAACCTTTGACGCGGTGTGTGCAAGTCGCGTCTGGCCCAAAGCTCGAACCCTGAAACACATGCATGTCTCGGCAGAAACAACGCTCTCTGTTTTCGAATTGGCCCCAAGTCATTCCCCGCACTGGGTTTCTTCGATACGGTCCGTGCATTAGCATCCCGGCGTGCCAAGCTTTTAGCGAGCAGGGTCCGTTGTTTGACAAAAAAAAAAGGAAAAGAAAAACTCCGTGGACTTGCTCCAACGCTTGTCTCGTCAAATGTCAAATGTCAATGTCAAATCGGAAGTATATATTTTGTTCTTGTCCGAGAAAGCCCGCAATAACCACATGGCCGCGCGATAATATTCAACGAACCCCGGTATACCTTCATCCTGAGCCTGAGTTTACGGAGTGTCCAAATATTTCGTTGCGAGACCGCCGAGTGAGTTTGGACTAACTAACCAAACTATGTGTCCAACATTTGCCTTCTTGTCCAGTTAACTGCTTACACTAGAGGTGTCGAATCCTTCTCAACTCAACATGCCATTCACAATTCCCATCTGTTGGATGTTTGTCACGTTCCGCAGATGGCAGGGGTGAACAGTTCGCGAAAACACCCGACAATTTGAGTTTCTGTGAGGTAATTGATGTTGGTTCTTCTCCTCTCCCTTGTAATTATTACTCTTTCTCCTTTGCCACGTCGCTTTTTTCAAGCCTTGCCCATCCCCCCTGCATTTCTTTCGGAAACTGTTGCTTCGAGACAATACGACAAGGTGTTGTGTGGGTGTTGCTCTTCAGTTTTCGTGCCCACCCACGCTAAGGGATCCATAAGTCGGGACTTTTCGGGAGAAAAGGTCCCGGGTTCTCCTCCTTGGACCTCCCAACACCAGTATGACGCCGGTTCGGTTGCGGTCACCAGCCCCAAGTTGTGGTGCGAGACGAGCTTTGTTACTAATAAGCTTACTGCTATGACACTTTACAACAACCCACGCGGCGTTCCCCGCACCCCAACAGTGAAGCCACTGCAAGCCTCCCCAGGGGTTGAGCAGGCCTCGTTTCTGTGTTGTCAACATTGGTAGGACAGCAGGCCGTTGATGATCTTTTACCACAGGCTGTGATCGTCAGTTCGAGTAATAAAGCTGACGCGGAATTGTCTTGGGAGCCGCTCAAGACTTCGGAAGGGGGACGCCGATACCGGTCGGGACAATTCGCCCCCATTTGATGGTCCGGGACTGGATCCAGGAGGTTTGCGAGAGGAATCACTTCTGGCTGTTGCTGCCCAGTCAAGCCAGTGTCGGACGATTTTTGAAGGTGGAGTTCGCCGAGGGTTGCAGGCAGATGCGGACGTTGAAGGGGCCAAGACACGGGACATTGGAGGTACTATTCGTGCAGACACCCCCTCCCTCCTTGAAGCTCCCCCACGAAGTTCGCACGAGGTTGTGGTGGGAGATCTGTCCGTCCGTTCGGTCGTTTCGTCCGAGGGGCTGATTCGAGGAGCATACTGAGGCGTGATGTGAGGGTGAAGGCGGTATTTGCGGGTCTCGTAAAGAACCAATCCCCCTCTGCATGAGAAACACAATTACTTGCCTTCTCGAATCTTGCCTTCTGGCGCCGCAGTCAACCGTTCCAAAGGGTTTGAACCTGCATGTCCCACGACCTCGGGCAACTCCTCTTTCGGAAAATGGAGGGGCGTGGGAGGGGGGAGTGTGGGATGAGAGAAACGGGATCTTAACCCCACTTGGAGTTTCTTCCTCGGTTTCTGGCCGAGTTCTTGGCTTCGCAGCCCGTTCTGTGCGTGCCGTCGCTTTTGCTGCGATCGAAGTCGTCCCACTCTCGCCCCTGTCATAATCTCATGCTTCCATAGGCTGGATGCTGATAGGCTTTTGCCCCCCGCGGCCAGATAAGGAGTGTGAGGCTGGAACATCGATCCTCTGATTGGCCAGACTTGATTTGCACCTTGAATAATCCATTTGACAGCACCCTTTCACAAGGCTTTGCTAATGGGCGACTGGCTGGCGACTCGGCGCTCCTCTCCAACTAGCCCTCGGGCCAACAGGCGCCAGAGTGACACAGGTAACGTTGTGGGTTGCTTTCCCTTTCGAGTGGTTATTGCAGCAGCCGTCATCAACTCCCCCGCGCCACCGCGTGTCGCCTTTCCCTTTTCATCCGCTTTCGAAACTGCAAAATTCGGGGAGGCGTTGAAGCCAAGGCAATCCCGTTTCGCCAAGGCGATGAGTTCGGGAGAAAAAGGAAGCGAAGAAAATGCGACAAGAGATGCGCCGTGGAGATCCCCGATGAGGGCCTCGGCATTTTGGCCGCAGCGTCCGTCGAAGATATACCCGACGAGAAAACCACATTTTCGTGCTCGGGCTCCTCTACCCGTTGGAAATTATCACCCGCCGGACTTCTCTTCACAAGCGAAGGGCAAAAACGACCGACCGACCCGAATCCCGGGAGACGGGGTCGAGACAGCTTTCTCCACACCCCTCCCGAGCTGGCGCCCGGCGACATCGGCACGCCTGCCTTAGCAAAAGGCTCAATTTCATTGGGCGGCGACGTCACGGAGGTTGAGGTTCAACTTTGTGATCCCGGGAATGCAGCAGGGATTCAAACGTGCTGTCGCATGCAGCCGATGCTTGGATCTGGTACTAAGCTTCTTTTGGATTGAGAGAGGTTACGGCCAAATGTGGGGTGTATTCATGCAGTCCTCAACTTCACCCACTTGTTCCCAGTGAGTCCTTACCATTATGTATGGTTGAATTTTGCGACTCCGTTCTTCCGAAAAAGAGAGATCAGCAGTGGCGTGTCTGCTTTGACTACACTACCTGAATCTCCAGACATGGGAGGCTTCTCTTTTCTCCTGGCTATGGTTGAAGCCCTGCCTGTGTTGTTGTTTGGGGTCATACAGAGGAGAGAGTACATCGGTACTATGGGTTACGGATACGCTCCATACATACAATAGCAAACCTAGAGTGCATGGCCAACATCTTATCCTAGGAATAAACTGAACTACACCCACTGCACCATGCAATTTGCCCATCATGAAACACTTTCGACCTGAATATGTTTCCCCGTCCCATAATGGAAAGATGCCCGCAACAAACACCAACCTTGTGCGGGGGACTGCGGGAATTCACCATGGCTTTGAATGAATACACGCATGAGAGAAACCCACCCACCGGAGACGGCCGGGTTCCCCACCAAGTCCCCCACCATTGCCCTTCCAGGTTCCAAGTTCGCTCACTCCAGCACATGTCACTTCTTCACCAACCCACAGAGCAAGGCGGGCAGTTGTTGCCCTCTTTTTCCCAGCTTCACCTCACACTCCGTTGTTCATCTTAGCCACTTGGTTGGCCCAACCCAATTCTCGCCGAACCCACCCATTGATCCCTCCATCCCGGCGGCGGATCCCCTCCTGCATTCGCGTGTGTTCTTGGGCCAACCCTGTCGTTCATAAGAAGTAGGTCGCCACTCCTTCTCCGCGAGAGTTTTCCTCTTCTCTTCTTCTTCCTCTCTTTCTTTCCTCAACAACTTGCCTTTGCACCCCCATTCCGGCAACGAAATCTTGCTCATATTCACCTCTAGAGGAGCAATCGGCCCACAAGCGACTTCTCGAGGGGAGTATCGCAGCCAAATTTATCGGTAAGTAATTGTCGAACATGTACCCCCTCCACCATCACCCATTACCAGCACTTGTTGCCTGTGGACCGTATATTGCGACCATAGCCGTTCGACCATGGCCTGTTTCACGACGTCAAATTCCCATTGGATCGACCTTCCACTACCTCGATCTCTCGGCCATCGAGATACCAAGGACAAAGCTCAACATATCACCAATGTACGACGGCTTGCCGTCTTGACAACCGCAATGGAAAGAAGGAGCAGAAAATTTTAGCCTGCTCCTTCTTCCCGGACCACAACCACATCTCGCACACTACCAATTGCACTGGAACTTGCCGCAAGCTCGCTCGGGTGCTCAAGCGCCATCAGTTCATTTTGGTTCATTTTGCTCCGGGCCAGAACATTGTCTACCGCAACTGGCGTATGCTGTTCCCTGCCGAAAATACTCTCTCCAATTTTGGTGGGGGTAACGGCCACACCCCCCTTACTTCCTTTCACCTCTCCGACTCGACCGGTCCTCCGGACCCCTCTTTATCGACATCTTCCGACAACCCGCCGGCCGGTGATGCATCCAGCCAGTCTGATCGGAAGCGGTCAGTTCGTTCGTTTTTGACAATGACACCTCGCCACGTCCCATCTCCATTGGGGATTGGTCCTGCTGGTACTTTGGGGGCGTTGCATCAGACCCTAATCAGCGGGGGTGCAGACGCACGATAAGGCCCGGAGCAGGCACGCCTTTCGTCATCCCGCGTCGAAAGGGGGGGTTTCCCAGCTGACACATTCGGAATTGGTTGGCTGCATCGCCTTTCCATTGCATCACTGCCGTTTCGCGACCCGCAGGGCTAGAATCAGAATACCCATTCAAGCAGCATGCGGCCGGCTTGCCGATGCGACCACACGGGAAGCAAAGTGGCACGCGAGCCAGACAGCAATGTGCAACTTGCTCTCCTGTGTGGGTTTGGGGGGCAGCTGCAGCGGTTGGGTGAACAATCAACGCTGCTTGATCGGGCTGCCATTGCATTTTGCTCTTCCGCTAAGAGTGGTTTCGGGCTTCCGGGCTTCGAGATTGAGCCATTCGGCCTATCGATTTGGGGTCGGGCATAGAGGAGTCCTCGCTCATGTCAAGCTCATGCCGGGGCGGCTCCCAGATAACAATGGATGTCTCATCCTGAGTTTGCGTCCATGCGAGTCGTTTTCCGTCGTCCGACTAGTTCTTATAACGTAGTCCCCCACGACCACACCTCAGGATAGCGCTTAGTCTCCATTCCATTCCTGGACCTTGGACTCCACGTCATCATCTTGGGCGCCAACCGACCTGGAAAATTACTTCGCCTCTTTGGATTCATCAAGTGCTTGCTATTGTCCTTAAACATTCCACTAACCACTCTCAACACTTAGATTGCCTCATTCCGAAAGTCACTTCGGCATCTCATCCGTTCGCCGGCCCGCAAAAGCCACGTTCAACTGAGCGCATTGGCAACATTTCCCACGGCGGGTAAACACTGAGAAGCCTGCCTAGCATGGGTGCTGTCAAGATCACCGACGACTTTGATGACCGACAACTACACCTGGATGCTGAATCCGAGCAATACCATCCTTATGAATACCAGTCGGAGAACAACTCCTCCTGGGCGGGGGCTCTGCCCGTGAAGCAGTATGTTTCAGTCTCGCCGAGCTCCCGAGCTGCCCGTTCATCGATGGAATTTTTACTCACTCCGATTTAGGGGGTTGTACGACCCGTCCCTTGAGAAAGATGCTTGCGGTGTCGGCTTTGCTTGGTAAGTGATATTAAGCTCAAGTCTACCGGTCTGAGTGGTATTATGCTAACGATTTTGTAGCCATATCAAGGGCAAGCCAAGCCACAAGATCGTTAGCGATGGTATGTTTTGACAAAATAATTCTCAAATCAAGACAGATGGCCGAACTCTAACCCCATGGACAGCGCGGAACCTTCTATGCAACATGACCCACCGTGGTGCCGTGGGGTCAGACGCGCGAGACGGTGATGGTGCGGGTGTGATGACCTCGATCCCCCACAAGTTTTTCATCAAGAACTTTGAGCGGGACCAGGGAATTAAGCTGCCTCCTCTCGGCCAATATGCCGTGGGGAACCTGTTCTTCAAGCCCGACGCGGAGACGCTGGAGGAGTCCAAGCGGCAGTTGGAAGATATTGCCGAATCACTAGGCTTGAGGGTTCTGGGGTGGCGAGAGCCCCCCGTCGACTCTACGCTCCTTGGCCCTGCTGCTGCTTCGCGCGAACCCACCATCCTCCAGCCCTTTGTCGTGCTGCGCTCTGCCTATGGCGCGACCAACGCTCCCGAGGCGGCGGACCTCGAGAAGTTTGACGAGAAGCTGTTTGAGAGGCAGCTCTTCGTTCTCCGGAAGCGGGCCACCCAGACGGTGGGGCTTCAGAACTGGTTCTACATCTGCTCCCTGTCGAACAAGAACATGGTCTACAAGGGACAGCTGGCGCCGGTTCAGGTGTACCAATACTACCACGATTTGGTGAATGCCGATTATGAGGCTCACTTTGCCCTCGTGCACTCCCGCTTCTCCACCAATACCTTCCCGTCCTGGGATCGTGCCCAGCCTCTGCGATGGGCCGCTCACAACGGTTAGTAGTAGAGCCAGTGTAGAACACTCTCGGGATAAAACACCGGAAATGCTAACTGCGCCCCCCCTTTTTCTAGGTGAAATCAACACGCTTCGCGGAAACAAGAACTGGATGCGCGCCCGTGAGGGCGTGATGCAGTCCGATGTATTCGGCGATGAGCTCGAGCTGCTCTACCCTGTGGTGGAAGACGGCGGTTCCGACTCGGCCGCTTTTGACAACGTGTTGGAGCTCCTAACCATCAACGGCGTGCTCTCGCTACCCGAGGCTGTGATGCTGATGGTCCCCGAGGCTTGGCAAGGCAACGCGGCGATGGATCCTAAGAAGGCGGCATTCTACGAGTGGGCTGCGTGCCAGATGGAGCCGTGGGACGGCCCTGCACTCTTTACCTTTGCCGATGGCCGTTTCTGCGGTGCCAACTTGGACCGTAACGGTCTCCGCCCTTGCCGTTTCTACATCATGGACGACGACCGCATCATCTGCGCTTCTGAAGTCGGGACCATCCCCGTCGACCCCGAGAGGATCGTGCAGAAGGGCCGTTTGCAGCCCGGCAAGATGCTGCTCGTCGACACCAAGGCTGGGCGCATCATTGACGACAAGGAGCTGAAGGCTGCTGTCTCGAGCCGCCATGACTTCAGAGCCTGGCTGGATGAGAACCTGCTCACCATGCCCACTGTCCTGAGCAAGGTCGCGGAGGACAAGTCCGTTGTTCTGGCTGCTAAGCCCACCGAGTCGAAGCTACAGGAAGACCCGCTGCTGCACGCCTTTGGCTACACCTTTGAGCAAGTGAGCCTGCTGCTTGCCCCCATGGCCTCGGACGAGAAGGAGGCGCTTGGTTCGATGGGTAACGATGCGCCCCTGGCCTGCTTGTCGGAAGCCCCTAAGCTGCTGTACGAGTACTTCCGGCAACTGTTCGCGCAGGTCACCAACCCGCCCATCGACCCCATCCGTGAGTCGATCGTCATGTCGCTGGAGTGCTACGTCGGCCCGCAGGGCAACCTCCTCGAGATGGACGCGACCCAGTGCAGCCGGCTACTTCTGCCTAGCCCCATCCTGTCCATCGAGGAGTTCAACGCGGTGAAGAACATGTCAACCCACCACCCCGACTGGACGGTCAAGACCATCGACATCACCTTCCCCAAGGCGAACGGGATCGAGGGCTACATCAAGCACCTCGACTACATCTGCGACGAGGCCACTGCGGCCATCGAGGCCCGCGACCGCGTCATTGTCCTCTCCGACCGCAACACCTCCAAGGACCGTGTCGCTGTGTCAGCTCTGCTTGCGTCGGGCATGGTGCACCACCATCTTGTTGCGAACAAGTGGCGCTCCATGGCGGCGCTGGTGGTCGAGACGGCCGAGGCCCGCGAAGTGCACCACATGTGTGTCCTGCTCGGCTACGGCGTGGACGCCATCAACCCCTACCTGGCCATGGAATGCATTTTGAAGCTCAACCGCGAGAAGCTGATCAAGCGGAAGCTGACGGACGAGGAGCTGATCCACAACTACAAGCACTCTTGCGACGGCGGTATTCTCAAGGTCATGAGCAAGATGGGCATCTCGACGCTTGCCAGCTACAAGGGCGCGCAGATTTTCGAGGCGCTCGGTGTGGACGACAGTGTGGTCGACCGCTGCTTCCGCGGTACAGCCTCGCGCATTAGGGGTGTGACCTTTGAGCTGATTGCGGAGGATGCGTTCCGGCTTCACGAGCGCGGGTTCCCCTCGCGCGGCACTGTGTCTGTTGCCGGGCTCCCCGAGTCGGGCGAGTACCACTGGCGTGACGGTGGCGAGGCACACGTCAACGACCCCGTGTCGATTGCCAACGTCCAGGATGCGGTCCGCAACAAGAATGACAAGTCGTACGAGGCGTACTCCAAGTCTGAGTACGAGCAGATCAAGTCGTGTACGCTGCGTGGCATGCTCGACTTCAAGTTCGAGGACTGTGAGGCCATCCCGATCGACCAGGTCGAGCCGTGGACCGAGATTGTGCGCCGTTTCTGCACGGGTGCCATGTCGTACGGGTCCATCTCGATGGAGTCGCACTCGACGCTCGCCATTGCTATGAACAGGCTGGGCGGCAAGTCGAACACGGGTGAAGGTGGTGAGGACGCCGAGCGTTCGCAGCGCATGGCCAATGGCGACACAATGCGCTCGGCCATCAAGCAGGTCGCCTCGGGTCGCTTTGGCGTGACGTCGGCGTACCTAGCCGACTCGGACGAGCTGCAGATCAAGATGGCGCAGGGCGCAAAGCCCGGCGAGGGTGGTGAGCTTCCGGGCCACAAGGTGTCCAAGTCGATTGCGCGGACCCGTCACTCGACCCCCGGCGTCGGTCTGATCTCCCCGCCGCCGCATCACGACATCTACTCGATCGAGGATCTGAAGCAGCTCATCTACGACCTCAAGTGCTCGAGCCCGCGCTCGCGCGTGTCGGTCAAGCTGGTGTCCGAGACGGGAGTGGGCATCGTGGCTTCCGGTGTGGCCAAGGCGAAGGCCGACCACATCCTCATTTCGGGCCACGACGGCGGTACCGGTGCGTCGCGCTGGACGGGCATCAAGTACGCGGGTCTCCCGTGGGAGCTGGGCCTAGCCGAGACGCACCAGACGCTGGTGCTCAACGACCTGCGTGGCCGTGTGGTGGTTCAGACGGACGGTCAGCTGAGGACCGGCCGTGATGTGGCCATCGCCTGTCTGCTGGGCGCCGAAGAATGGGGCTTTGCGACGGCCCCCTTGATCGCCCTGGGCTGCATCATGATGCGGCGCTGCCATCTTAACACCTGCCCCGTCGGCATCGCCACACAAGACCCCGAGCTGCGCAAGAAGTTCACGGGCACGCCCGAGCACGTCATCAACTTCTTCTACTACGTCGCCAACGAGCTGCGCGCCATCATGGCCCGTCTGGGTTTCCGCACTGTCAACGAGATGATCGGCCACGCTGAGGTGCTCAAGATCCGCGACGATATCCGCAGCAAGAAGACGGCCAACATCGACCTGTCGCTGATCCTGACGCCCGCCCATAAGTTGCGCCCGGGAGTCGCTACCTTCAATGTCCGCAAGCAGGACCACCGTCTCTACGTCCGCCTGGACAACAAGCTGATCTCGGAGGCCGAGCTGACCCTCGACAAGGGCCTGCCGTCGCGCATCGAATGTGACATCGTCAACACCGACCGGGCCATGGGCACGTCGCTCTCGTACCAAATTTCGAAGCGGTACGGCCAGGATGGCTTGCCGATGGACACTGTCCACGTTAACATTAAGGGCTCGGCTGGTCAGTCGTTTGGTGCCTTCCTGGCCCCCGGTGTCACGCTCGAGCTCGAGGGCGATGCCAACGACTACGTCGGCAAGGGCCTGTCCGGTGGTCGCCTGATCATCTACCCACCCCGGTCGGCCGTGTTCAAGGCCGAGGAGAACATCCTGATCGGCAATGTGTGCTTGTACGGAGCCACGTCCGGCTCGTGTTTCTTCCGCGGTGTGGCGGCCGAGCGTTTTGCCGTGCGCAACTCGGGTGCCACGGCCGTCGTCGAGGGTGTCGGTGACCACGGGTGCGAGTACATGACCGGCGGGCGCGTCCTCATTCTCGGCAGCACCGGCCGTAACTTTGCGGCGGGTATGTCGGGCGGTATTGCCTATGTCCTGGACATTGAGAAGGATTTCCTGTCCAAGCTCAACACCGAGATGGTCGAGGCCGGCCCCATCGAGGAGCCCGAGGAGGTGGCCTATGTGCGCGGCCTTATTGAAGACCACCACCACTACACCGGCTCCGAGCTGGCTGCCCGTATCCTGATTGACTTTAACCGCGCTCTGCGCCGGTTTGTCAAGGTCCTGCCTGTTGACTACAAGCGCGTGCTTGCTGAGGAGGCGGCCAAGGCGGCTGAGGCCAAGCGGGCCGAGTACAACCTCCCCGTTATTGCCGAGGGCGGTAAGGAGGAGGCCAAGAAAGATGAGGTCAAGAAGGAGAAGGAGAAGCACAAGGGCGACAAGCTCCAGGACATCGAGGAGAGCGTGCGGGACGACTCGGCGGATAAGAAGAAGGCGCTGGTGCTGGACAAGACTCGCGGGTTCATGAAGTACCACCGGCGGTCGGAGAAGTACCGCAGCGCCAAGTCGCGCACCAAGGACTGGGCCGAGCTGTCGCAGCGTCTGGACCAGGACGAGCTCAAATACCAGTCGGCGCGCTGCATGGACTGCGGCGTGCCCTTCTGCCAGTCCGACACGGGCTGCCCCATCTCCAACATCATCCCCAAGTGGAACGAACTGGTGTTCGCCGGCCAGTGGCGCGACGCCCTCGACCGCCTGCTAATGACCAACAACTTCCCTGAGTTCACCGGCCGTGTGTGCCCGGCCCCTTGCGAGGGCGCCTGTGTGCTGGGCATCAACGAGGACCCCGTCGGCATCAAGTCCATCGAGTGCGCCATCATCGACCGCGGCTTTGAGATGGGTTGGATGGTGCCGAACCCGCCCAAGGTGCGCACCGGCAAGAACATCGCCATCATCGGCTCCGGCCCTGCCGGTCTAGCCGCCGCGGACCAGCTCAACAAGGCCGGCCACACCGTGACCGTGTACGAGCGCGCTGACCGTCTCGGCGGCCTGCTCATGTACGGCATCCCCAACATGAAGCTCGACAAGCGCATCGTCAAGCGCCGCACCGACTTCATGGCCGCCGAAGGCGTGCAGTTCAAGACGGGCGTGGCCGTCGGCGAAGCCGGCAACGTCCAGCTGCTAGACCTCAAGGCCCAGAACGACGCCGTCATCATCGCGACCGGCGCCACCGTCGCCCGCGACCTGCCCATCAAGGGCCGCAACCTCGAAGGCATCCACTTCGCCATGGAGTTCCTGCACAAGAACACCAAATCCCTCCTCGACTCCGAGCTCGAAGACGGCTCCTACATCTCCGCCCGCGGCAAGAACGTCGTCGTCATCGGCGGCGGCGACACCGGCAACGACTGCATCGGAACATCCGTACGCCACGGCGCCAAGTCGGTCATCAACTTCGAGCTTCTGCCCCAGCCGCCCCCGGAGCGCGCCAGCGACAACCCCTGGCCCCAGTGGCCACGCATCTACCGCGTCGATTACGGTCACACTGAGGTGCGTCAGCACATGGGCAAGGACCCGCGTGAGTTCTGCATCATGTCGGAGGAGTTTGTCGACGACGGCAGCGGGAAGGTCAAGGGGATCAATACCGTGCGCGTTGACTGGACGCGGTCGGCCACGGGCGGGTGGGATATGAATAAGATTGAGGGATCGCAGCAGTTTTTCCCTGCTGATCTGGTGCTGCTGTCTATGGGGTTCTTGGGTCCCGAGGCTCGTGTCTTGGGCGAGGATATTGAGAAGGACCCGCGGAAGAATGTTAAAACGGCTCCTGGGAAGTATGCTACGAATGTGGAGGGGATCTTTGCGGCGGGTGATTGCCGTAGGGGTCAGTCGTTGATTGTTTGGTATGTCCCCCCCTCGGTCTAACTAGCAAGACCAAAACAACGAAAGGAAAACAAGAATGATATGCTAACATACCATGACAGGGGCATCAACGAAGGTCGCCAGGCTGCACGCGAGGTCGATCTGTACCTCGAGAACTGCACCAACTTGCCGGTGACAGGCGGTATTGTCAAGCGCACGGCTGAGGAGGTGTTTGTGGCTACTAAGCTGGCGGCGGCGCCTGTTGAGGCTGTTGCTGCTTAGGGGGCTGACTTTACCTTGACGGGGGGGGGCATAGGGGGAGAGGGATAGGTGGGGTTAAATGGATGATGATGATGATGATGCATGGCGTGCATGGCATGGATGATAGCGGGCAGGCGGACAGGCAGGCGGACAGGCAGGCGGGTTATTCGTTTCCTTTTCTTTAAAAAAGCATGGGCGCGTGCATGGGAAGGGTTGTCAAGCATAGTTGTGTATTTTTGTCATTTTTTTCCCCGCTTTCCGTGTGTTTAGTTGTTTTATTGTGATTTACTGTCTGTTTCTGTTGTGATGTGTTTTGGTCCGTTGTGAGTTACTCTCAGTTGTGATTTACTGCTGTTGTGTTGTGTTTGGTCAGTTTGGCCTGCATGATTTTAATACCACAGCAATTTCGATGCAGGCAAAATGGTTATTCACTTGTTATGGATTTATCATCTTCATCGCCTGTCGTCCTTTAGCTAGTTGGTGCATGGAATTGGTGGTTAGTCTTGGATACTGCTGTGGGGTTGAGTTGTTGAGTCTTAACCACATGTATGCAACAAGGCAAGCAGGTCTCAACGTGGGTTGTTGATGCAAGGCTGAGATTGTGTTCTCTTACGAAGTATTGCTATATCTTCCATTGATGATGGCTCAACATAATTAGGATCTTCTAACATTTTACTAATATGTTAGAGGTTCGTCCGAAAATACCTAGTCTATGATATGGAATTGGAATTGGACCGTTTACAGATGAATACGTTGATCAAAAATCTTGAAACAGTGAATTACCATGTTTGTCACGAGTTGACTGATTTGATGCCTTCCCATCTTAGCTGGACTCAAAAGAAAAACTCCACATGGAGTCTTCCCCGATCTGGGAACCTTCGGTGGCACGTGCTGCGTTGATTGGACAATGGCAGCTGGCTGCATGGCACGGGCCTTGGGGCGGCCCGGCCTGGAGTTCACATGGCAGGGTGCAGGGTGCGAACTGTGCATGGAAGTTTGTTTGTACTTTTGGAGAAGTTGTCTCAGCCTAGACGGTGTCATGGATGTGTTACAGACGTCAGTTTTGGAGGATGATATTGTGTGTGTAGCTGGAGGATGGTGTATACATTAAGAGAGTAAAGATTGGGCTCTGCCGTTTATTGCAAACATGTTGATACCTACCCGTATCTCGCTCGACGCTGTTGAAGAAAATACTTACCCGATGGCCTGTGCCGTTAGCGGGTGGGGCACCGTTGGCCGGCGTGGCCAGACCTCTGCCATCATGGTTTCCACAGCAGCCTTCCAAGGTTCGGTGTGTCGAAGCAGACCTGTTTCTTCGGCCGCGAAAAAACCTTACCCGTTGGATGTACAATTGCTGCACGCCATCAGTTGGGGTTTTTTTGGGTTCCTATTAATTTGGGTATTTTCTCCCTTCTACTCTCCCTAATTATTCCTGTCCAACACATCATTACAATTGAATCCTAGACCGATCCCTCGCAGCGCCGCCGCTGCCCTCACCCAACATGCGCTTCGGCAAGACGCTCCACACATCGGTGTACCCGCCATGGAAGGACAAATACATCGACTATGGGAAGCTGAAGACTATCCTGCGCGAGGACAAGCCCGACGACGAGGACGAGCCGTGGACGGGGGACGATGAGAATCGGTTCTGCGACGAGATCTTCAATGTGCAGCTCGACAAGGTCGCTGGGTTCCAGGCTGAGAAGCTTGCGGACCTGCGCCGTCGGGTGGATGGCGCGTTTGAGAAGCTGAAGGAGATTCCGACGGCGGGTGAAGAGGGAAAAGATGGGAAAGATAATGAGGAGGGTAAGGAGGAGGACAAACGGAAGCCTGCGGCGGACCCGCAACAATTGAAGGACCTCGAGGCGGAACTCGATGCGATCACGAACGAATTGAAGGAACTGCAGAAATACAGCAACCTCAACTACACGGGCTTTCTCAAGATTGTCAAGAAGCACGACCGGAAACGCGGCAACCGCTACAAGATCCGGCCGATGATGATGGTCAGCCTGTCGAAGCGGCCGTTCAACTCGGAGCAAGTGTACTCGCCGCTGCTCAACAAGCTGTCGCTCATGTACTTTGCCATCCGCCAACACCTCGAGGAGCCTGGCACGGCGGATGCGTACCCGGTCGACCCGGACAGCCAGGCGGAGACGCACAACGGGGAGAAGTACACGGCGCACAAGTTCTGGGTGCACCCGGACAACCTGCTGGAGGTCAAGACGTACATCCTGCGGCGGCTGCCATCGCTGGTGTACAGCGAGCAGACGGCCAAGGAGGCGGACGGGCAGCAGGACCCGACCATGACGTCGCTGTACTTTGACAGCCCCAAGTTCGACTTATACCTGAAGAAGGTCGAGCGCGAGACCGAGGCGTCGTCGCTGCGGCTGCGGTGGTACGGGCAGCTCAGCGCGCGGGCGGATGTGGTGCTAGAACAAAAAATAATCCACGATAACGGCAGCAGCGAGGAACGCAGGTTCGACATCAAGGAGAAGTACATCAAGCCGTACCTGGACGGGGAGTACAAGATGGAGAAGACGGTGCAGAAGATGGAGCGCCAGGGCCGGGCCCCCGAGGCGGTCGAGGAGTTCCGGACGACGGCGGACGCGATCCAGGAGTTTGTGCGTACCCACGGGCTCGAGCCGGTGGTGCGGGCCAACTACCGCCGCACGGCGTTCCAGAAACCCGGCGACGACCGCGTGCGCATCTCGATCGACACAGACATCGCCTTCATCCGCGAGGACACGCTCGACCACACGCGACCGTGCCGCGACCCCAGCCAGTGGCACCGCGCCGACATCGACAACGGCGACATCGCCTACCCTTTCCGCACCATCAACCAGAGCGAGGTCTCACGCTTCCCCTACGCCGTGCTCGAGATCAAGCTGAAAGAAGACGCGCGCGGCAAGCGACCGGCCTGGATCCAGGACCTGATCGGCTCGCATCTCGTGCACCCCTGCCCGCGCTTCTCCAAGTTCGTCCACGGCACGGCGTCGCTGTTCGAGGACTACGTCAACCGCCTGCCCTTCTGGCTCTCCGACCTCGACACCGACATCCGCAAGGACCCGCAGGTGGCCTATGAAGAGGAAGAGTCGCGTCGCGCCCAACGCGCCGAGAACGAGCAGGTCGTCGGCAGCTTTCTCGGCACCAAGCTCGGCTCCTACAAACCCTCCCGCAGCTCCCCCGTCGCCAAGTCCTACCTCGCCGAGCGCCTCGCCGCCGACACGACGCAGACCCCGCGCTCCGGTGCGTTCCCCGGCCGGGGCGGCAGCGTCGGAAACCTACAACAAGGAGCAGCCGCCGACGAATCCGGCGAGCCGGCCACCCCCCGCCAACAACCGCGGTCCTCTCAGGACAGCGGCAGCAACATCAATAACAACGGCTCCAAATCCACCCTCGACTACGGCACCCTCTCCTCCGTCTTCCCGGGTTTCTCCCTCTCCAAATACGCCCGCGCTAAACAGGCCCGCGAAGACGGCACTGCCACTACCCTCCCCCCAGGCGTCACCGAACCCACGGAATGGATCAAAAACGCCGGCCCCCTCCAAATCGAACCCAAAGTCTGGCTCGCCAACGAGCGGACCTTTCTCAAGTGGCAGCACGTCTCTGTGCTACTCGGCGGGTTGGCAGTGAGTCTGTATTCGGCTGGCGGGGGAAGCGAGAATGCGCTGGCGCAGACGATGGGCGCTGTGTTTGTGGGGGTCGCGGTGTTTGCCGGGGCGTGGAGTTATTGGGTGGCAATGAGGAGGAGGGCGATAATTGTGCAGAGGAGTGGGAGGGATTTGGATTTTGTGGTTGGGCCGTTGGTGGTTAGTGTTGCGTTGGGGATGGCGTTGGTGGTTAATTTTGGGTTTGCTGTGAGTTTCTCTTTCTCGTCCTCTATTCTCGCTCTCTAGGGCCCGGAGAGGTTGTTCGTGACCATCTTGCTAACTTTGACAATAGTACCGGAAGGCATTTGGACACGACCTGTTCAGCGGAGGTTCTGTGGGCATGGCGGCTGGGAATGGGAGTGTAGTTGGTGGTGAGGTGGGGGATCTGCGGATTTAAGTGAGGGTTGTCGTCTGTACGCTTTTATGGTATGCTTTGTGGTATGCTTCATGTTGTATGCGGTAGTAGGGGTGAGGGGCATTCACTGGAAGGGGAGTTTGAGTCTTGGTTTTTTCTTTTCTCCGTTTCTGCTTTGTGGTTTGTGGTTTTCCGCTTTGTGGTTTCCCGTTTCCTGCTCAGGGGTTTCTTAGGTTGTCGCATCAGCATAGTATAGTGTATGTACCAAGGTTGGATATGGTATTGGTAGATTGTATGAGTTTCTTTGTCTGCCAAGGCGTATTTCAACCCGATATCCTGATTCATTATTGGTGACCAATGTCTGTTACCAGGCTAGCTGAGTAAATCCAAACCTCGCCTTTTCCTTCAGGCTCAGGATGGTTAATTACTTTTACCATTAATCCCGTTCTCTACGGATTCCTTAAACCCGCTTTGGCTGATCACGTTTTAGCGCCGTAACGATGAAAAAATCATTGAATCACATGAACTTAGGAAATGTTCATCCAAAGAGCCCCCATGAACTATCCCAACTCAACACATCACCATCTTTCGTCTCACAAAACAGCATCACCCCAACGGCCTCGAAAACCAACAAGCCACGGAAATAAAATGCCAGTCACACAAACTGACAGACCGTCCTTCTAGCCGCCCAGCCCAGACCCGCCGAAACACGGCATCACAACTTCGAAGCACGTACCCGTAGCAGTTGAACAAAAGGGAAAAGAAGATGCAAGCTGCAAGCCACATCCGGACTGTCGGCGTTGAGCACCACGAGGGGACAGCATCGGGAGCAACAAGGGCTGAGAGGTGAAGGGCTAAACGATGAAGGGGCGGGCGGACAGGGGGTCTAGGTTGGGTTGGGTTCTACTACCTGGATGTAAATATGCAGGTATCCGTGGGTGGGTGGATGTTGTGATATGTGAGAGTGGGAGGAAAAGTCGGGGGAGAAGACTGTGTTTCCCGGGTGGGTTCTTTGCTTTGCGGGTTGATGGGAGGATAGATGGTCTCGAGGTTTGGGGTCTTTTGGTGTTTGTTTCTTTCTCAGGGCTATTCGTGACGGGTGGGAGGTGACTACCTACTGTGTTGATTCGATTAGGCTCAGACTATCTAGTTATCACCTACATCAAGAGAGTGAGTTGAGGTAGAAAGTAATGATAAAGAAGATATATCACCATTTGAGAAAAGAGAGAACTGACGGACGAACCCGTTCAACACGTCGAGTCTCATTGTGTCCAACTGTATGCCCTCACACCCACCAAACTCCGTCATTTTCCCGTCAATCTGTCAGTCCGTCAATCCTGTAGCACTACATAATACACAACATACAACGCTGAACATGTAACAACACTTTTCGGTCCTCCCCGCCTAAACCCAAAAGTCCAAAGTGTCTGCGAGCCTGGAGAAATGAGTCTGTCATATAGGATAGGAGAGGGACACGACGGATTTTGATCCCGGGGTTTGTGCCGTGTGACGTGTCGCCGCGGACTTGACTTTTTGTGTCTCGTCGTCTTTGTGTGTTTGTTTTGTTCCGGCTTGGTTCGCTCATACGTGATTGGGTTTGGTTTGTTGTGTATTATGGGCGGTGGTGGTCTGTCGGAGATGGGGGTTGAAGAGTCGGATGGGCATGGATAGGCTTGTGTGTGTGTGTTCTAACAAAATATCCCGGCCGGGGAGTATGTGTTATGTTATACAGGCTATGGGCGTATGGTCAGGGGCTAGTCAACCGTTTTTTTCCTTAGCTGTCCTCTTCCTTCCGAGGACCACCATTGTTGGGCCGGAACGGAGATTTGGAGGTCACGAACTGAACTGGGATCCTGGGTTGCTTCTTTCCGGTCTGTCTATCTGTCTACCTGTCTGTCTAACGCCAGCTGTCGTCCGAGGAGAAAGTACCGGATGAGACACAACAAAACGTGGCGGAGGAAAGGAAAGAAACTGACGAGGGATCCCTTTCCGTGTACTTACAGGATGCCCATGTGGGAACACGAGTGGCCGCAGGACATTGAGTCGAGGCAAGACACCTATGCTTCTTCAACACCCACTCGGCATGTATCTACAATGGGATGTCTAAGTGGATGAAGAAATTTGTTTCGCTTATTTTGATCGTGATAGCAACATATCGCCCCCGGGAAGGGTCCTACACAAGCCGTACTATGTAGTTCTCATATTGGCAGGGTTGCATACATCCGACCGTTGCAATCCATTCTTTTTTTTTGCGCATCCCATTGCCACGTTATCAATACGTTAACGCAAGACGTCACCAGCGTGCGTCTGCAGCATCGTCGGTTAGGAAAAGAGAAGGCGAAAATCCAGGAAGAAAGGAATAAAAATCATCTCAACCTGTTGTGTCTTCTGCAACTTGCTCGAGAGAGAAAATTAAGCCAGTGGGGTCGAGTGCTTTTTCCTCAACGCTCGTTAGGTGACAATGCAGCATTACACTGCAGAGTGCGGAGAGAAGCTTTGGGAATGGCCCAGACTCCCAGGTCCCAAAACTCTCGAATAGCTTGAAAGAGGGGCTACTATGTAGGGTATGGGCAACAAAAACAAAAGCTTCGAAACATTAGTCATGGGCGTTCATTATGGGAACGGTCTGGATTCTCACTCAATCGAGACGTCGACGATTCTCCGCGGAGGGTCGGGTCCTACGGAGTGAGGGGAATTTTATGATGCAGGGAGAAAGACATACACAATACACAGTATGGCAACGGCTCAAAAAGCAAAAGCAGAGACGGGAAAGAGTCCTTCGTCAACGGGTTGGTTAGTAGTGTAATTTGGGTGAGTGAGTGGGGGATACTTCAAAATAAACTCACTGTCACTTAACCCTATTCGTCGCCTTTTTCATCCTCTTTATATCTCTCAAAACTCAAAAAGCACAAAACGTTTACCCAAACCCTAACCAAAAAAGAGGCATTATCATTATCCCATGACCAGAGCAGACCCGAAGATAAGGCAGAACAAAACCTGGCGTCCCAGAGATCGGCCAGATCAAGCAAACAAACAAACAACCAACCACCCCATCAAGTAGATCAGACCCGCGTGGCTTTTCCCGCTTGCTTTGCTTGCCCTTTTCCTCGTCCCCTTCGGGCCCGGCCACGTTTTCCATCATTTCCTCAACTCAACCAGTCAACTTACCGTGGGTCGCTTGGGTCGCTGCAGCAAGACATCTTCTTCATCACCAATCTCCGCTCTTCTCCGCCCCCTACATACAACCCACTTGTGTTGCTTTATAAGGACATTCTGTACAGTGCAGTGTCTCCCGCTGCGCTTTCTTTTCGTCTTTTTGTTTGATCCTACCTCGTACAACAATCCGATAAACGTTACACACACACAGTCCCACGATGCAGCGTACGCGTATGGTTCTGACTGTCCAACAGTAAGCAATTATCAAGACGGCTTCCTTACCGAGAGGCAGAGTGGTTTTTATCGGGCCGGTCGTTGCCGTGGTTGGTGGAACGCCCGTACTTTTTCGGCTCCTTCGTTACGGATGTTGATCGATCGATCAAGAAGGAAGGCGAACCGACGGCGTGGAATGTGGCGCACGGGAAATAAATTCATAGTTCACACATGTTTGATTCGGGGCCTTGTCGATTCATTTCCGTCCGTTCATTCTTCATTCCCTGATTCAACTGACTACACTGGTTGCACCCGGCCAGGCTTTTACCTCTTTCCCGCTTCAGGCTGAATAGGTCCGGTTAGGAAGTGGGTGTGAGGTGTGATGCGTGATTGCTCTCTCTGACATTGTGTGTGTGTATGTGCACGGGCTAAGTGTAGTGCGTTTGGCATTTGCCGTCAATATCTGTGAGTGGGTGGTGAGAATGAGGAGAGTGTGGTTGCACAGTACAGTACGTATGCATGTGGGTGGGTGGACAGTGGCAAGAAAAAACCAAGGCCACGGTACATTTGCTTGGCTGCGACGATGGTATGGTCCCGGGTTTGTGGGAGCCATCATGCCATCATGCGGTACCCGGCAAAATAGGGGACGCTGGGGTGAAGTTGAAGATGAGATGGGACGATAGTGGGTGTTCGTCCGTTGTTGTTGGGGCGTGCCTCTGACTCGGGCGATTACATTTATTTTGTTTCCACTTTGTTTTACTTACGTTCTCTTCAAGCTTAACAACGGCGAGGAACGACTTCGGGGAGAAAGGCTTGGAGGCGGAGGACCTGGCCGGTAACCCGAACGGATGGATCGTCTGCTGGTTGGCCAGTTGGTTGCTCCGAGGACATACAGTAACCGGACGTTCACTCAGTTTCCTCGCACCGTTTTGTCACCACCCACCAGTAGCGTGATGGCGTTGGTTGTGTGGTTGTCCATACATGAAGGGAACTGCATCTTGCTGCATCTCCTTGCACGACGAGGGCACGTGTTGTTGAGGTGCGGGGGAAGCACAGCAGCGGTCAGAAGAAGTGGTGGAAGGTTGATGACTGGGCTGCCTTTCTCTGCTGGGACGGTGAGTTCTGGACTCGGATTTTGATATTTGCCCCCTCGGTTCTCGTGTTCTTTTCGTCTTACAGTCTCACGGTTCTAGACTTGAGGAGATGCCCCACGTGTAAAGAGATTCGGAAGTCGATAACAGAATACGAGGCTATAAACCCATAAGAGTAGTGTCCTTCCAGAAGAAAAGCCGCATCTCGCACTTCTGAGAACATGAAAAGCCGGGAACCCACCACCCCGTGTAATCCGTACTGTGCTGTGTTCCGCCCGAACGGCCCCTGTGTGACCTGACGCGATATTACCTCTGCTCCGAGTGTGTGTTCCGCCGGGTCCTTTGACCCCGTTCTGGGACACTTCTGGCTGCATGCCTTACACTACCTAATCTTACATGGATGGAAGTGTGCCACCCACTAGTGAGTTATTCCAGCGGGGAATCTCATTGCTCATCGCTCATTCTATTGCCCACTGCTCATCGCTGGTATCATCGCTAGTGTAGTGCCTCACCCACCCACCAAGCTACACTACTACCCTCTATCTCTCGTCTTGTATCCCGTGCCCTGGGTCCTTCCTGCACACTGCGTGTAATCGCCCGTCGATCCCTCGCCCATCTAACTTCTAGTGCTAAACTCAGTAGAGTACCCTCCGAAAAAAAAAAGAAACCCAAATCAAGGTGAAGTGAAGTCATCAATGAGCATGCCGATGATTATCCAACTTCTTCGTATGCTCATCCATCAACCTCTTCGCCATCGCCACAATCGGATTCTCCTTCTCCGCCTGCTCCATCGCCGCCTGCTGAGCCGGCTGCTGCTGCTGCTGCTGCGCGGACGCCGGCACGTCCTCCGCAAACAAATCACTAACCTTCCCCGACCCCGTCGCAGCCTGCACCACCGCCAGCGTAGTCGCAAACTCGGTCCGCTCCGCCCTTCCCAACTGGATCCCATCCAGCATCAGCAGCGCAAAGTTCTGGCAGTTATTGCTAATCAGATTATACGCGGCCTTCTTCTGCCGCATACTGTAAATAACCATCTCGCCCGCCTGCCGCAACGCCTCGTCGTTAAAGCGGGTTTCCCCGACGCGGAAGGTACGCCACTCCGACCGGTTGATCTTCCCGTTGACGTAGATGATATCGAGGTTCTCATCCATCCAGAGTTCATGGCAGTAATCGCCGACGAGGACTGCCCAGTGCTGCGACGGGTCTGGGTACCGGTGGACCTGGTCGGTGATCCAGGTGCCGAGTTTGGTTTGTTCGGCGAACCATTTGCCGGCCGATCCGCCGACGGGGTGCCAGCCGACTTCGACGGTGCGGGCGGGCGAACTGGTGGAGGGTTCACCGCCGGGGATCACGTTGGGTTTGTGGCCCAGGCCGAGGGAGTGTTCGAGGGCGAGCTTGCCTTTGAGAAGCTCGTCTTTGCTGCGGGAGAAGCCTATTTTACTGGGTGGGGGGGTTAGTTTAAACTACTGAATACGTGAAGTAAACTTGTAGAAAGGAGTAGCCTTATGTGACCGGGATCCCGGAGATGTACTCCCGTACCAGGGACCCGGAGAACGGGGGCCAATGCCAATGCCAAGCCGGACTCGGACTCGGACTCACAAGAGGGACTTCATCTTTCCGCGCTTCGAGCCGGCGCCCGACTTGTCGGAACCGGGGTCGCTCATAGTGAGTGAGGGGGTGTGTGGTAGTCGCGTTGTCTACTCTCGCCGTTTGCGCAGTAGAATCTGCACCTGCACGAATAACCCGTGGAGGTAGGAATAAGTCTCAGCGGTTTAACTGGTTTCAGCCCCCGCGCAACGATACGAGCTGCGCCCGGAACCAGCAGAAGTTAAAAGGTTGTTCGGAATTGTTGTTGGTTTGTTCAATTCCACGCGCGCTCGGCGGTTAACGGAACGGCTGGCTGCTTGGCTTCCTTTGAGCTGAGTAGCGCCGGCGGTACGCTTACGCCGGGATGCCCTCCCCAAGCTGACGCGGGACTAATAACTACCAAGGAACTATGGCCGGCCTTCAGGCCCCCCCACTCGCTCATCCTCTTTGTCTTTTCAGCCGTGGCATGGCTGTGCAGCTGAGCAACTTGAAGAGGAAGGTTGATGCCAACCTTTATATGGAGTCTTAAAAGGCATCTTTTTTTAAAGATGAAACGCGTCGTCGGATGCCTGAGAATGAACACGAGTCATGGGCTGAGGGATGAATTCATTTTAGAGTTCTGTGTTGATTCAGGGTTGATGATCCCGGGCGAGAGCTGGCTCACTGGGCACTGTGTACACAGTAGGCACTGGCTGCTTGCGACTCCGTACTGTGATACGGCTGACCGCCCCGAAAACGTGGATTAAATGAGATTTCCTGTTCCGAGCAAAAATGAAAATGAAATCGACAACATCTCTCATCATTTCCAGATCCGCTGGGTCCCGATAACCGACCGTTCAGGAGTTGCTTGTGAGTTTAAGGTTAGTTAGTGAAGTTAGTTAATCCACATTTTCCCGCTTCACCACTTGCGGGGATGCCGTCTCGGGCTCTCCCTTGCTCGGCCAGCTGGGGAAGCCGATGCTTTTCGGCATACCGGGCTCCCTGACGCAGTCTCACCCACGAGTAATCACCGTTAGCCGATGCCTCAATGCCTCGATGCCCGAGCGAAACAATTTCGTGAGTTGCCTTTCGGGTACACTACTCTCCAAACTCGGCGACTCCCAGGACGAAGAAGCAAAGAAATCGATCGGAGGGTTTGAGGACAGAGAAACACAGGTCCGGAAACACAGCAGCACAGCATCGCAAGCGAGGTGCCAAGGCGTGGTGTGGCGTGATGGACCACCTGGGGTGTGTTTCCGTTTCCTTGGGAAAGATCAGGAAATCTGGGTTTGGGGTGCCAACCCGCTGCAGAAGAGAGACGAAGAAGCAACCAGCCATTGCAGCCATTGCAGCCACCGCGACGCTGTAAATTCCGCTTTTTGCAACGGTGTCGGACTCGGGAATTCCGCCCTTGGCCAATGACTCGTCAAACGTTTTCTGCATCGCCAAGGGCTTTTGTTGCGCTGCTGAACCTTCTGGGAGAAAGCGCCGAAGCTTCCCTCGAACGCTTAACGGCCGTTCTTCGGCCGGGAGGCGAAGCCGGCATGCTGAGAGAGTGCCTGCTGGGCGCTCTGGGGCCCTCGGCTCGGTCTTTGGGAGCTTGGGGACCAGGTGGGCTCTCTCAGAATGGTGGCCAGCTTGGCGTGACTGACGACGTGTGATTGAACCGAACTTCCCACAGGCCCTCTCCGAGCCCCCGTTTCCCGGCTTGTTCCATCCGAGCACCGGCAAGGGGGCATGCACGCGGCGAGATCGACTGCGACGGCCGAACTGGTGACTGTCATTCATGACCGACGCCCCCCCGTCACTAGGATCAGAATTGACGGGGTTTTGTCAATTTTCATGTCTCTCCTCTCGATTTGCTAGTTTTCTTTATCGTCTGTGATCCGTCACAAAACAAGAAGCGATACACAGCACCGTCCTCGGGATTTGGGGACTCGATCACACAAAGATCGATTCGCTCTCGGCACTGCAACAGGGCGAGAAAGGGTTGGGAAACGGCCAAAGAACCATGGTTCGCGCGCAACCGTTTTGGGGAATGGCGGGTTTTCGAGCACACCACTCGCGGCAGAACCTCAACCATGGGAGCGTGGGAAGGCGGGTCCAAAATTGTGGGGGCCAGCTTCCCTTGGACCAACCCCGCGAGGCGGAGAAACGGCAGGATGCCCGGATGGGCAGCCGCTCCCCTGTGACCGTCCCCACTTTGTTCCCACTCACCCAGTTCATCCTTTCCGACTCCGCGCCTGCTTCTCTGCAGCGCCGCACTGTGCAACACTGCCGTCTGGTATTCCCAAAAGTCGTGGCCCCGGCGCGCCCCCCGTTCCGCTGGGTCGGGAAGCTGCCTTGGGCCACTCAGCGGCGCAGCCGCCCACACTCCGGGTTTAGCTGGGCCCGCGAGACGAGACGGCCCTGGTCGTACCGTGCCAGAGGTGACTTGAAAAGACTGTAGACCCCACAAGAAGAACCGCTGTGGTCCAATGAACATGGAGACCGCGAGACCATGAGAGGCTCCGACCTCCACTTTGAGGAATGCATTTGCCCATCCTCGAGCCATCGAGCCCATGCACCCACTGTGACGCTCTCATTTCCATGGCCCCCTGTCTCCCCTGTTCCACTGCTCCTTCCCTTGCCTGCGGCCTCTCTGCGCATCCATTCCCGGGCTTCTCTTCCCTCTCTTTTATCCACTTGGCAAGTTTCTAGCCCTTCGTTTCCCTTTTTACCTTTCTGTCTCCTCGTCCTGGAAAGACGCGGACGCGACGTGCTTGCTGTGCCGAGCAAAAAAAAAAAACGAGCGAGCGTGAGGAATCCGACAAGAGGGAAAGGAGTTGAGAAAAGGAGCGGAAAGCCAACCGGACGATCGGACAGGCCATTCCCGGCCCACTGGCTGAGACGAACGACGCAACGCAGCCACCTGCCACCGACTTGCCCACCCGCCCAATAACAGACCGTCGGGTCCGACCGTGCCTTTCAGCTTTCCCGTCGCTCTGGTTTCTGGAACCGCTGGGTCCCTCACGGACACGCACATCCCTTCCATCTCGATTCTTCAATTCGACCACCACCTTTTTACTCACCACTTGAAGAAACGACGAAACATTCGACTGTCCGACAAACGTGCTCTTTTTGCCAATTCCCGCGCGACTTCAAATTTGAAACGCTCCCGACGGACGTTTCGGGGAGTTTGAGCCTTTGCTACGCAATTGCGGATCGATTTCATTCGCCCGGCTCATCCTTTGTGTGGCACTCGGGAAGGCAGGGACGTTTGTGTGGCCCCATTGTGTAAGAGCGTGCTGGGACACTGGGAATCGGCCGTCGACGGCTGCTGCATCACTGGGTAAGTCCCGCACGCGAAGTGAGAGGAGAGAATCGGAGAGAGAAGGGTAGGGGTGAGAAATCTGAAATCCGTGGTCTGTCATCCCCGGCCCCGGGGACGTGCAGATTGTGGCCGTTGGATTCTTGCTCTGAGAGGCAGACGCGATTTTAAGCGTGCATCGTGTGTCCCAACTTCGATCGAGAAGGACTGGAGAGCGGATGGAAAGACGTGACAGGACTAACCCGGTGATTAGGGGTCTGTTTCAAAACACCGACCGGTCTTGCAGTTTGCCAGGATTTGATCCGATACTTTTTCCTCCCTTTCTTTCTTCCCCGTTAGAGAGTTGGTATTCGGATTGAATACAAAAAGCTCGCACCATGGGCGCTCCGATCCTCGCGTCGGCCGCTCATGCCATCCCGGCTCTCGAGGCCGGCGACAACCACCCGATGGACATCGGCACCATGACTTCGAGAGAGACGCGGGACGGCCGCAGGCTATGGTACCGCATGCGCATTATCCAGCAGCCCGAGCGAGCAAGAGCTTGCGGATCTGGTCTGAAGTGTAAGTCAATTGATTTCCTCAGTTCATGAATTCAATGAGCTTATCCTGGGAAATCATAATCCCGCTGACACGCCGCAGCATCGGCCGACCGACGCCCTGTTGACCCGCCTCCCGTCGTGGAGCTGCGCATCTATGAGGGCCCAACCTGGGAGGTGGCCCAGGACAAGGACATCACCTTTGTGTACAACGCCAACTTCTTCCTTTACGCCACTCTCCAGCATGCCCGGCTCATGGCTCATGCCCGCGGCGCCACGTCCTCCACTAACACGCCGCCAGTGCTTACTGGCATGCCCGTCTCCGGTATGGCCTACCTGGACCGCCCGCAGGAGGCCGGCTACTTCCTGTTCCCCGACCTGTCTGTTCGCCACGAGGGCCGGTACAAGCTCAGCTTCAATCTGTACGAAGAGACCAAGGAGGACAAGGACAGGGACAAGGAGGAGGAGGGCGAACCCCAGCAGACGCAGACCTACACGCACCCCGCGATGGCGGAGTATTTTGACTTCCGCATGGAGATCAAGTCGCAGGAGTTCATTGTGTACAGCGCGAAGAAGTTCCCCGGCTTGGCCGAGAGCACCACCCTCAGCCGCGTGGTGGCGGACCAAGGATGCCGCGTTCGCATTCGCCGCGAGCCTAGGATGAGACGCCGCGACGCGAAGCCCGGTGGTGACTACGACCACGTGGACGGCGCCGCCGAGTATGAGCGGAAGAGGAGAACAGCCACCCCAGACAACCGTGCGGTCGCCGAATATAATCGTGCCCGGTCGATGAGCGGGAGCACCGAGCGTACTCCGTACTCTGCCGATCCCGCGCGCCGCCCATCGATGGCCGACTACCCGTCGCCGTACAGCCAGAACCCGCCACCCGGCGGTCACCTCCAGTTCCTGGGCGGAAACGCCGGCTCACAATTCCCTGCCGCTCCTCCTCCTCCCCCACAATCGTTTGCCCAGCCGCAGCCCCAGTCTCAACCCCAACCGCCATCGGTACCCGCGTCTCCGGTCTACCCGCCAACTCAGGCTGCTTCGTATCCGGCGCCGACGTCCTATCAAGCAGTGGCCAAGGCGCACAGCAGGGAGCGGACACCATCGCAGTCCGGGTATCCCCCGATCAACCCTGCGCCTCCTCGCAGCGACAGCATTCGCCACGAACATAGGGCATCTGGGTCTGTGCAGCTCCCACCGCTTTCTTCCATCGCCCTCCCGCCCCGCTTGGAGCCCTCGCAGGTCCTCCCGCCGATCCAGGTCGACCGGAACTACGCCGCCAGCAGCACCAGCCGCCTGGGGGTGTCGAGCCCGACAAATTACACCACCGCCCCGCGGTCCGGCCCCTCGCTGGCGCCGCTGGCGCCCCTCATCAACAACCCGGTCGCGAAGAGCGGGCCGGTGCACCCCGGTGTCCTGCCGCCACCAACGATGTACGCAGGATCCAAGCGGGCCCACGGGGACTCCTTCCGCAGCGACCTCGATACGCCGCGGTTCCAGGACGGTGCGCGCGAGACGGCGAGGGGAGATGATATCTCGATGGAGGAGCTCAACGCGACATTCAAGCGGGCTAATGGCCAGCTTGCGTATACCGGTGACTTGCGTCCGTTTTAAGCGGTGGCTTTATTCCAAGCCGCGAGAAAGTTTGGTGTGCTGGCGAAGGGTGTACATATGGAGAAAGCCATGGGAGTCGTAGAATGTTGGGATTGATGTTGACGCGGATGTTGGCGGAGTACGGGGCGTTCCGGAACGGCGCTGTATGGAGATGCATATGGGAGATACACACTCCCTGTCGATCATTTGTTTTTCTTTTTCGGTTTGATTTGGCTTACAGGCTTTGTCCACCTTTTTTCCTTCTTACCTCTCCGTTTCTATGTCTTCACTTTTTTCCCCTTGTCATTTTTGTTTTTATTTACTTAGCTTCTTCATATCCCGCTTGCGACGACCTCGCTTGATTGAGTTACGACAGACCGTCGACTCTAGTCCATGTTCCATTTCGTTTCTCCTTGTTGTTTCCTTTTTCTTATACCACATGGGCGTGTTGCGATGGGTGCCTGAAGCATCCTCGAAGGGAGCACTAACAGCTGGAAATGGTGTGATGGCTTCATGCATACATGCGTGAGGAAGGGGAAAATGGAAACGGGGTCTATTTGCTGAGCAAAGAAGGATGGAAGAGAATGACAGAATGGATACCTTATTGGTGCCGGAGTATGGGCTGTGTGTTGGGTGTGTGTGTATGCATTGGTTTTCTTTCTGTCTTGTCTGCTAGGGAGTTTAGTTTCTTCTGTGTGCGTGTATGGGTTCTTTTTGTTTGAGTAGGTACTGTAGCTAGGTCTGAAGTACGAATGAAGTACAGGATTGGTTTGAAATGTTGTTCCTGTGCCTGTGCGCTGTCTGTCTGCTATGTACTGTGGTATGATGGGTGGCGTGTGCCTTGTTGAAGGCTGGTAACTTTACTCGCCGGCTGCTTCATGTCCAGGTCCATGTCCATGTCCATGTCACATGACGATCTACATCCCCATGTTATTGATATCCAAAACCATCTTCACCGGCATCTGTTAAGTAAAGCGGGTGTGGTGAACGGGCCGGAGAGGATTCCTCTGCTGGGAGGTACTGTACCTAGGTTTGTTCCCCTACTCTACATAGGTACTTGGTAAGGTAGCTTGAGCAGTCGGTAGGTATGGCACATATACACCTCCCGGCGAGACCTCGGGAGACAGACTCATGCTTGTGGGTGGCTCTTTCCGTTTGGGAGATGATGGGTTGCTCCTTTTGTCTTTGTTCTTCCCCAAGCAGTGTTACTAGGGCTGTGAAGTTACTAGGTTCCAACTACGGTGTGCTAGAGCAATGGAGGTCCTTGACCATTTTGCTCGCCTCACATACCTCTCTCGAGCTCACCTCGGCCCGCACCGATGAAACATCTCTCGCAACGATCGCTGAAGACTTTGTTAATCTCGAGAATCTACAGGAAGCCGGGTGGTTTGTCCGTTCTGTAACATTTGTAGCACCATGTTAGTTCCGATACCTGTCGTGGATCGGGTTGGGTTCGGGGAATATTGCACCAGAACCCTTTTCGAGGAGATTGTTGTTCTCCGTTGGTGTTCAAGATTTTTAATTGGCCTACTTTATTTTCTCTCACTCTCCTTACTATCTCGGTGGCTACAGTAGGTCACATATTCTCTTCTCAGGGTCCCAACTCGGACTCGTTCCTCATCGCAGCGGAGAACGTCTGACCGTCCAGGTACCGTCCAAAAAAGTGGACCCAATCTTGGCGGCCCGCCCCCTTTCCGCCGTTGCCCGGCCGCCGGCGAGAATGCAGGGACCACACAAGCAAGCATGCATGCAGGCCGCAACGTTTGTCAACAACAAAACGAATCCAACGAGAATTCCGACCGGAGCCTCCCAAACCTTTTTGGTTCTTGGTGTTCGGTTTTTGGCCTCGCCTTGCCTTGTTTTGTCTCGCATCTGCAGCCTGCCTGCTTGCTGCGCTTTTCCCCGCGTGCGAAGTTAGCTAAGCTTTTGTTTGCTGCTTGCTGCCGTGGAAGAAGTGAGCTGAGCTGTTTGCGACGGTGTTGAGAGAAACATATTTTGCGACGATACAATACTTTGTTTGATCTTAACGGCATCGAGGGCTTGTTCCGTCGGGTTTCGAGTTGTGGCTGCGGACCTCTTCAATTGGACTCCCTTGTCTGGTTGGTTGGTTGCTGGGCGCCGTCGTCGTCGGACAAGAAAAGTAAACAAACGACCACCCCCCTTGCAATCGTCCATCTGCAACTCGACCTGACAACGCAGCACAACAGACCGCCGCCGACCGCCGACCGACGCAATTGCATCGTCACGCGCCGGCGCACCACGACAGAGCTTGCCTTGCCGTAGGCGATTTCGAACGCGAATCAAAAATACATACACATACACAACAAAACAATACCGAATATCCCACGCAACTTATCATCACATGCCACAACCAAGAGCATCACAACAATGGCAACATCCTCAGCGACCTCGCCAACCCCCACCCCCTCCTTCCGCCGCCGACTCCAACACAAACACCACCTCTCCCTACAAACCCACAACATCCCGCCGTCCCCATGGCCGGGCGGTACTCCCAACACCGCAAATCCCGGCGTGAGCAGCAGCAGCGGAAGTGCCAGCACAGCTAGCACGATCCTCATGAGCGGCATAACCAGCGGCAGCATGAGCGCCAGCGCCATCTCCCCGATGCGTAGGCAGCAGCAGCTATTCCTGCAGCACTCCCACTCCCAACAGCCACAACAACAAAAAGAGCAATACCCCGCCAGCGCAACGGCAACAACACGCCCACCGCTCTCACCACGAGGGTACTCGGCCGCTGCAGCGACTGGCCAGAGCCGGTTTGTCGAAGGGTCGATGAACGATCGGGTGTCGGCTGCGCCGCCGGCGGGGTTTCTGGGGGCTGATGACCTCGTGGATAGTGATGACGAGAGCGGTGAAGACAGGGATAAACAACAACAAGTGGAAATGGACGAGGAAGAGGAGCAGATCAGGGAGTATCGTGGTTGGGGAGGGTTGGATGAACGGTTGGGTGGTGGTGGTTTGACTGGTGTCTGGGGTAAAGGAAAGGGACAAGGGGAGTACACGACTGTTGCAGCGGGCGCCGAACGCGGTAGCGGGAGCGGACTTCGGACGAGGGGCGGTGCACTTGGTGGTGGTGGTGGACGTGGAGGGGGGGTTGTCGGGACTGCGTCGGGACGGTATGTCCTCCGTCGACCGAGGAGTACGGCGGGGTGGATTCGCTCGGGGGAACAACAACAGGCTGGTCAGGGACAGGGGCAGAGTCAAGGACAGAATCAGGGACAGAGGGGGGGTGTGGTGAAGAAGACGAGTTTCCTCGCGCCGTTGTGGGATGGGATGCGGGAGAAACTGAACTTGAGCAAGTCCAAGTCGTCGGGGAGTATTGGGCGGGTCATGAGCTCGGTGGTGGGTGGGGGGGCTACGGGTACTGTTGGTACGGCTGCGGGAGAGAATAAGAAACTCGACCGAGACAACGAAACTGAAAAGGAGCGACTGTTGATGCTGGCCGCCCAAACTGGGGGTGCTGCACCAGCCCCGAGTGCTCATCCCCACCCCTCGGCCACGGGCTACCCCAGCCGTGAAGAGGTTCTCGAAAGCTACAAAAGCCTCGTCGCCTCGGGATTCTTCCAAGCGCACGCCATCCGCGGCGGTCGACACCCTCTCCCTGCGCGCGGGGGTAGCAGTGTGGCCGCAGCTGGTCCATCAGGCCGGTCAGCGTTTGCCGAGTTCAACCCGCCGATTCCGGAATCCCCTCCGTCGTCGACGCGCAAGTCCTTCTCGGAACGCATGGTTGTCTCGCCTCCCGGGAGCAACGTGCCGTCTGTGTCGGGTCGGTCGTTTGCGGATCATATGGCCGCGCAACAGCAGAGCCAGCAGCAGCTCAAACCAGCCATGTCCATCTCTTCTTCGTCCGTCCACAGCAGGCATACCACCAACTCCAACTCCGACTTCAACGGCCACATGCCCCCTCCAGCACCGCCCCCCCGTGGCTCATCCCACGGCAAATCCAACAGCATCGGCAGTCCCAGCAGCACGTTGTCCTCTCCCTCGCGCGGCACCAAGCGCGGCGCATCGGTCGATTTAGCCGGTGACGCTGAGATGGTCACGCGTAAGCTGGTCAAGAAGTTGCGGCACTCGGCGTCGCGGCTGTCTGTGGAGTTGTCGGGGGCTCGTGATGCCAACGGCAGCAGCAGCAAACCTATCAGAAGAGGGAGTAAGGACAGGAACGGGAATAGGATCAAGAGCAGGAGTGGTAATGGGAAGGGGTATTACCCGCCTTTGTCTTCCTCGTCGGCGAAGTATGGTGCGGTCCAACAGCGGCCGGCGACTGCGGCTGGGTCTTCGCCTTCCCAGGGTCGGGGTCATGGGTATAGTCATAGCTATGACTATGGTTTGGCTTCGCCGACCGGCGGTAGCTCGGGTATCTTTGGCGCGGCACATCTTGCTGCGGCTACCCCGGCCAGGCATTCGGTTGATGTTGCTCGGCCGACTGCTGCGACGACTGCCACTTCCACTGCCACTGCTACTGCCATTGTCACAGCATCTAAGGGAAAGCTGACCAAGGCGCGTGACGGAAGACGACGCAGGATCCTGGGGTTGACTAGACGACATCGTTCACCGGAGGATGATGACCAAGGCGAAGAACAGGTCCGGGAACAGCCCCAGCAACCGCCTGTCCAAAATACCGTTAATGCACAAGACGAAGATGTCATGATGCTTGACGACCCGACACCAGCACCTGCTTCATCTTTCAGCAACAACAAACTCCACCGCAACATCACACCCCCACCAGCCTCCTTCCGTTCCCCCTTTGCAGCACACCCTCATACGAAGCCAAACCTGACCTCAGCTACGAACACAAACTCCCGCAACAGCAGCTTTCGCGGCGGTATGCGTGCTGTTAGTAACAGTAGTGCTATGAGCATTGACTGTGAGGATAATGGCCCTCAGCGGAATCAGGGTCAGGAGTACAGCAGTGGGGAGTATCGGTACGGATATGGGTCTGGGTCTGGGTCTGGATCTGGGTTTAATGGCCAGAGGGAAGAAGGCGGCGGTGAGAAGCCGTTGAGTATTGTGCCGGATCCGAATCAGGGGATTCCATCTGTGCCGAGGATTCCGAGGGAGTTTTGTGAGGGTGGGGGGGTTGTTGTTCCTGCTGCTGCTACCAGTACCACTGGCGGTAGTTTTGGTGGGTTTGCTGGGTTTGGTGGATTTGGTGGTGCTGGTGCTAGTGGTGTGAGTGTAGGTGTTGGTGGCCATGGGAGGGGAGAGAGGAAGACGGCTGGGAACCGGGACTCGGGGCTGGGACAGGGCGAGGGCGGAGAGAATGTGGAGAATGTTCCTGTTTGGGGCTGAACCTCTTTCCTTCTCTCTTGTTTCTGCTGTCACTTCCGCTCTCTTCTCTCACACCTCTCTTTCCACTGTCTCTATGGCTAGGCTCTCTCGTCAACATCAAATCCACTGCCGACACAGCAACTGCAGCAGCACCACGGTCACCACAACATCCGGGAGCACGCCACGGCCGGAATCACTGCACGGCCTACCTGGCATACGAGCAGTCACTTCACTGCCTCGCCCTCTCTCCGTTTCCTCTCGGCTTTGCCCATCTGGCCCGATCCAGTCTGTGTTCATCCCGATAGGACGAAACAGTCGTCCTTATTTCTCTTCTCCATCCCTGGTTTTCCCATTTCTTCTATTCCTCTTTATTCACTTCTTCCTTCCCTTCTCACCACATAACGACTTTCACGACCCTCTGACGACCCACGACCACGACCACGTGCGAGAGAAAGGAGTAGGGCGACACTTTGACAAATGCGAAAACAGAAAACAGATCAGCAAATCAAAAAAGAAAAAGAAAAACAACTGGGGACACTAATTCCTTGCCATATGGGAGACATTTTGTCTGTATATACAAGTTGGTCTGACTGGACCAGCTGAGCTGTACTGTATGGGATGACTGGCGTCCTTCATTTTATTTCTGGGTGGATATACCGACCGACCAACTGGTTTCCCTTTTTTTTTTTTTTTTTTTTTTGAGACTGTTGGTACTTTGTGGTGGGTATGTATGTCTTGCTTTTCTTCGATCCATCATCAATCCTGACGAAGATGAAGAACGTTTTGTATTTGTGGATGGAGGTTTGTTTGGGTTGAAAGTCCCAGGCTCTTCCTTCTTTGGTCGGTTCCTCTTACTCGAGATTATACTGCGTAAGAGATGATCGAACGATGGATGGGCTTGTGGATGATGCTGTTGTTATTTCCTTCTGTACGTGCTCTCATGTATGTACAAACTACCCACCCCACCATACCGGCGTTGGGCGATGCTCTGTGGCTGAGGTGGGAATGATGATGACCTTGTTTATTTATAGTACAGAAGATACTTGACTTTGTACCTTCCCCTTTGTTTTCCTGCCTGGTGGTGAATCATGTATTGTGTGTATGTTGGCGGCGTGTGTAGCTCAGGTGAAGCTAAGAACGATCGTTGAGTGACATGATGGGGGCGTGTAGTCTTCGTGTCAGTCTATTAAGTCTAAGCAGGCAGAGGGTTATGCTCACTGAACTTTTATCATGATGATCGATTCCGTTGGCCGTATCCCAGCCCGGAGTAAGTGATAAGAGTCCAAAGCGGACTGGCTGACGGCGGACTATCCCGACAAGATTGAAGCGGCTCTAGCTGACAGGTAATACATAAATATGTACTGTACCATATACACACACAAAGGAGCCTACTCATTCCGTCTCAATATACTGCCCAGTAAAACACAATCGAGCAGAAAGATCCTCCGCCTGCCCACCCCAGTCTTCTATCCCCCGTCCCCTGCCCTCCGTCCTCCATTTTCTCGGTAGGTAGTTGTTCCCACCACCCACCGTTGAGTTGCCCAAGAGAGACAAACCACTGGGCCGTTGAATTACCTACCTAAGCAAGTAACCGCCCATATAGAAATAGCCAAAAAAGAAGAAGATAATCCAAAACAAGCCTCACAAACCTCCCAATCACCGAAGTGAGAATCAACGCAGAAAAAAAAAAGGGACACCAAAAAACGAGCAAAAAAAACCGAATCATCTTTCTAAAATTCCCGCCTGCCTGCCTGCTTTGCTAGCCCTCCCGACCAGCCATACCTAACCTATATAGCGCTGCATGATCCACTCCCTCGCTCATTGCTTGCTAGCCGATCTGTCTGTTTTCTGTAACGATAACGAAACAAAAGCGGTCCCAAAACCAGACACCCCGCCGAAGAAATAAACCTCTCGAAGAAACGACCCCGAAGAAGCGAACCCTGAAGCAAGTAGAGCCCGAAGCAAAACAACCCTAACTCGACCCCCTTCCGAAAAGGAAACTGAAACTGGCTTTGCTTTTTTGCCTTTGCTTTCACCATAGTCATCACCATCATAGCTTATCCCCGCCCCGACCAACCTATCAGACGACCACACCAAAAAAGACGAGAACCTCCCGGAATAAATATACATTTATATAGCCTCCTTACTTCCCCCACTCCCTCTCCCTTCCAACCCAACCTAAATATGGACCCAGTAGCAAAAGAACCCCCCCCCTCACACGGCATTAACAACCCCATTCAATTCCCCACCAACCTCCATCTGAGCAACTACCACCGGCTCAGCAGCAACATCTTGAACCTGGACCTTGGGTAGAACTGACATGGGCGCCCGCGTGGCCGAGACGAACCCCGGCATGCCATGGTAGGCCATGGCGCCGACAATAAGGATGAGCAGAGGGATCTGGTCACGATTTAGTTAGTCAACCATTTACTCACTAATTTAGCTCATCAAGAGAAGAGAAAACATACCCAAACGAAAAATAGATTCCGATCCCAGCTCAACCTCTTGAGGTTCTGCGCATGCGCCCGCCGCAGCGTGGCCTGTTGCTCCTGCGTGATGGCATCCTTCCGTCCGATCTGCAAGAGCGCAGGGATCTCTTGGCCTTCTGAATCTTCGGCTTCCTCGGTGTTGGCGCTTGTCTCGACCCTCGCAGTAGCAGCTGAGGTCCCTGCTGCTGAAGTGGTTTCCGTCTGCTGGTCGAACAAAGCCGCACACTTAGCATCCGCCACTGTATCCGCGGTCGCCTGCGCGGCAGACATCCGCTTGATGTCCAAGTCGGTCCCGCTACCACCGCGTCCGGGGAACAACTCGTCATAGGCCGGGGGCGGCGTAGCGGCCTTGGCTGAGAAAGGAGAGAGATAGTACTGCCAGGCGCTCTCGGTAGTGCCTGCGCCTTCCCGGTTCGGGCCGGCGTCCTCTCCTGGGCCAGGCCGCGTGGCGCCGATAATCGTCGCGAGGCGTTGAAGGACGGGGTTCTGGTACTCGGGCAACGGCGGCATGTTGGGCATCTGTGGGAAGTTGGGGAACTGGGCGAACTGCGGGAACTGAGGCAGTTGGGGGAGTTGAGGGAGCTGCGGAAGCTGGGGCAGGTATTGCAGGTGCGACTCCATCCGCTGGTGAAGTTGCTGGAATTGAGCCGCGACTTGGTCCTTGATGGCCACCATCAGAGCCCCCGTGGCGTCGGTGCCTCGCCGTCGGAAACGAGACGGGCTCCTCGTACGCGCGGGCGTGTTCGCGGTGCTCTTGCGGCGGAGACGGGTGTCCGTCGGCTCGCCAGCGCCAGACTCGGACGAGTACGCCTCAGAGTACTCCTCTGGGCTGTCGTCCTCTCCGAGACTGGGCTCATCGCTTGACGTGTCAGCCACTTCCTGCGACGCCGGAGCCTGCAAACGCAGCGATTTGAAGCTCGTCACGCTGTTCACACGGCTGTGGGCACGACTATGGGCCCGGCTGTGCGGGCGACTATGCGACGAATCCTCGCTAAGCGACCGCCGGTGCTGCTCAGAGCGGTGGATGATGCGCATCACGTCCTTCGACTTGGTGACGTCGGCCGCTGTAAGGCCCGACAGCGTCCTCAAGGTCGGGTCCGCCCCGTGGGCAATCAAGAGCCGCACAATCTCGGCGTGGTTGCTCATCGAGGCCATGTGCAGGGCCGTGTAGCCGCCGTTGTCGCGCGGGTCCGGGTTGGCGCCACGGGCCAGGAGACCAGCCACGAAGCGGTGCAGGCCCATCTTGCAAGCCAAGTGCAGCATCGTCTGCCCCGTCGCCCTCCGCCTCAGGTTCAGCCGTGGTTTCCGGGTGCTGTTGCTAAGGTCCATCAGTTCCATCAACTTGAGAAGGTGGCCCTCAAAGTTTTCCATTGCCCGGCTGGTAGAGCCCTCAGCATTACCGCCACCATTGCCAGCACCACTACCACCGGACATGTCACCACCGCCCGACGGGTAGCCGCCCGAGGATTCTTTGATGATGCGGCGAGCAAACTCGGCCGGGTCCTCGTATCCGCCCGTCATCTTGTTGCCCAGAATCATGAGCGCCGTGCGGAGCAGCTGCTGCTCGCTATCATCCACGTAGCGGAACCACTGCGGTCCCATGTTCTGCCCCTTGATCTTGACCGGGACCATACCCGCAGTCTCCGAAGGGGGCAGCAGACAGATAATCGACTCCGACGACCAAAACATGGTGCCTGGGGCCTGCTTGTCGCCAAACATAACCTGCATACCAGCCTCGAATCCTTGACCCATCAGAGTCACCTCAACACCACCAGCCACGGGGCCTTCTCCGGGGATAACCTTGAAGATGACTTTCTGCGTAGGAGGTGGCTGCGCCCTGCCTTGCCCTGGGGCAATACCGGCCATGTGTCGAGGCGTGGCGGGGTTTGCAGCGACCTGGTTCGGGCGAGGTGCGGGAGGTTGACCAAAGAGCGGCATGCTCATGGCCAGGTTCGCGAGGCTTGGCGCCCGGCTAGGATCCGGCGAGAGCAGCTGGCCGCCGTTGGCAGCCGTGTGCGGGCTGTTTCCAAACGGGTTCACCGCGGTTGCATCGGGGCCGGCGGCTGCGTTGGGCCCAAAGAGCTGCAAATCTGCGGGTGTCGGGAGGAAGGCCGGGGGCGGTGTGGGAGAGAATGACGAAGATGCTGGCGTGACCATAGCCGAGCCGGTGGCTGAGTTGGGCATCCGTGGAGCTGTGAGGAACGACGTGTCCAGCGGCGTCATGGCCAAGTCAGTAGGGATCTTGTGGATCGAGTGGTTCCCTCGTCGTCGTTTTGCTGGCCCTGAGCCAAAAGAAGGCGACGCCGGGCGCGAGAGGTGCTGAGCACCCAGCGCTGGCTGCAGCTGGTCAAGTGGTCCTGTCGAGATACAGGTTGATCCGGCGGAACCGCGTCTCGCAGCCTGGAGGTCCAGGCTGGGGGACGACTCCAGCGAAGGCCCTGGTCCGGGACCAGGGGCGACTTGGAGAGGCAGTTCTTCTCGCGGCGTGAGTATGGCCCCGGGAACACCGGGTACTGTCTTAGGAACCGGGTTGGGGCTCGTGGTCTTGTGGTCGTCGGTGATCATGATGGACTCGGACATCGTCTGGGCGACCAGCTTGCCGAGATGGTCGGTGAGGGTGAAGATGATCTGAAACCCTTGCTTTTCCGCGTGGTGTCGGCAATAGCAGGCTATCCTCATTGGGGCCTCCACTTGCCAGAAACGCCGAAGGCCTGTCTCGGGATGGTTCTGCAGCGCCCATTCCTTGACCTCCTGGGTGTTGAACACAATCACACGCCGAGCCTCATCTTTCCTCCAGGCCTCTTCGTCCTGCGGATGTTTGGACTTCTTCCGCCCGGCCCGCTTCCGTTCCCTGCCAATGCAATTCTCGCAAATCCGTACCTCCCCCCCTTCTTGCGTTTTTACATCCTCCTCTTGGCTCTCAGGGTCCGGTTTTGTCCGCAGCCCCGCTGCTTTCTGGGCTCGTTGCAGGGCACCCACCCTCTGCTGTGGGATCTGCATCGCGCTCGTGCAAACCAAGATGGCGTGCAACTCAAGCGTGTCCGGGGATGGTTGCGGGGGCGGCTTCGTCCAAAACTTTGGCTTGCTAATCGTGTGCTTGGGGAGGTGGACCTTGCTGACGCCATGCGGGAGTTGCGGCAGTCGTAGTTTGATAGTAATTTGTGTTTCAACTCGGGATTTTGTGTTGGTAGCGCCGACTTCTAGGTTGTACGGTCCGGGACCATGGGGCTGATATTCCGCCGGAGGTTGTACGGGCATCTGTGTGTTCGTCGGAAAGAATGGTGCCCCTATCGGGGGCGGCTGTGCGTTTTGGTGATACATGGGGTCCATAAACCCAGCAATACCCCCCATGTTCATGCTTGCATCCTGTGGACCGCGGAACTCATACTTCAGCGCGGCTGGCGCTTGGGAATGACGCATGCGTGTAGTCCCCTTGGGCGCTGCATCCGATTGCCGGCTCGGGGGCGTGAAAGTGAACCGCTGCGTGCTGGGTTAGTATGTGTGGCACGTGGTGTGCACACGTGGAACGGGACGGGACGGCCCAAGACAAAAAAAGCTTACCCGATAGCTATCTTCGCACGCAGATGGCGAGGCCATAATAGTATCCGGCGACAGCGTAGCTAGCCCCGAGCCAAACGGGCTGGGGCTGTCCATCGGGCTCTGGAGCTGCGACTGTCCGACAACACTGCCATCGACAAACTCAAACCCGGGATCCCCAGCCGGAAACACTGTACTGTCGGACCCCGTGAATACACCACTACCGCCCATCATGTCCCAATCCACCTTATTGTTACCACCATTGCCGTCGATCCGCAGGTCGCCCGCTGTCAGTTGCGTCAATGCAGTCGTTGACGTCCTCTTGGAAGATGCCGAGTCGAATGTCGACCCGCGGTGGCCGTCTCCGGAGCGGGAGCTGGCGCTCACGAGGCCCAAGGCCTCCGAGGGAGAACCGCAGTCTTGCGGAGCGTCCGGCATGGCGTGGAAGGAGTTGGCCCCGGAGCTGTGCGGGCGGTGAGGGCGCGGGCTCGGGGCATCGGAGTCGAGTAGGTCGGGAAGTGGGCTCCCCTCGTCGGAATCGATAAACTCGTTAGCAAAATGCGACTCGTCGATGAAATGCGTTATATCGAAGTCGGGATCGTATGGCGGTGCTGGCGCTGGTCGGGCCATTTTTTTGTTGAGGGCGACCGCGCGGCTGGCAAAATATCGGTGGTGTGGGATTGATGCAACGCGGGCTGTCAGGCTGGCTGGTTGAGCTGGTCGAGCTGGGCTGGGCTGCTGCTGTCGGGCGAGAGCGCGAAAGGGCCCGGAGCGTGGAATTGGCGTTGGCTCAGGAACTCGATTTGCCGGGCAGCAGCGGCATGCTTTGCGGACGTGGTCTAGTGTAGGAGTAGTCGAAGTCAAATGTCGATAGGATTAGTTGGGAAAAGAAAAAACGCGATCGGATGAAAAGCACCGTTCCCTCCCCTCGGCGTCAGAAATTACTATGTAACTACCAAGAGACGAACGCAATCTCGGGTCACGTCAAAAGGTTGAGGGCAGGGCCACGCAACTTGGGTGGATGCCCAGGGGGCCCCAGGGCCTCTCGCCAGGTGGCTGATGCGCAGTCGCCATGAGAGCATGCAGCTAACGAAGTTTTTGGAACCCCAAATGCTCCCGTTTTGGTGCCGCGATCGCGCACGGACCCCTTTCGGTGCCTTGCTTCCTCCAGATTTAGTTCATCCGGATGTCCATAACGAGGAAATAGACTAGACTACTCCGTACCTGCATAATATTAACCTTCACGTTAACTACCTAACATTGACACAACAATTCCCATTGACCGCACCCCCCGGAACCCCGCTAGCAGGCAGGTTGCTCTTGCCTCTCCTCCATCCATCATACCTACAACTCCCCAAGTCAGGCAACCGAGACCCGGGCAAGCCCTCCCCCCTCCTGATCAGGTCTTTCTCGATTTGCTTGCGGTCTACCAGCAACCTTGCAGAGGAAAGCATCTCCCTCGATGGCGGTGAGTCGATTTGCTCTTCTGCATACCTGTTATCCCGCCACATCACCGCCAGCCACCCAATTGCAATGCAACCCACCTTTCCAAAACCCAGGTGCCCAGATCGCATGCGGGTTCCGCCCGCACTTGCTTTCTTGCATTTGTACCTGAGAGAGCGGCCCACGGGCCATTCCGTCTTATCTATGCAGTAACTAGTGAAGCACGCCTTCCTCTCTCGCACCTCTTGAGCAGCATCGGATCAGAAATTCATGTACTCAATTATTTGTGAGCTCATTCTCGTCCGATGTAGGAATGGACAAGATGAGACGGGTGAAATCCATCCGATGTCACCGTGAACCCCCGCAAAGCTCTCCGACTGCACAGCACAGAGCCAGACTCACCAAGAAACCCGCCCCGAACCTGCCTCCACAGCCAAGACACCTTCGCCACAGCGAAAGCGGATTGCGCTAAACTAGTGCCTGCATTTTTGACAGCTCGAGCGGAGTCCGGCGGACTGGTGGCCCCAATCGGCGACGGAATCCCGCCGAGCGGCTCTCCACCGGAATGAGGGGCCGGAGGGGCCGGAGGGGCCGCCGGTTGACTTGATCGTCCGGAATGGAATCCAGAACCTACTAGCCAGTTGAATGGAGGGGTGAGGGTTTATAATTGGGTATTCAATACGCTTAACTAATGTCAAAGCTACCTAAGGATATGGGATCCATATCTATCAAAACGCTGGCTTTCAATAAGAAAATCCGGCAGTCACGAAAAGAAGTTTGAGGCTTTGCACATCAGTGCAAAGCCGTTGATGTCAGCAGCCCAGAACGTCGCAGCAGTGTCACTCACCACCTACATATCCCTTAGATGCTGCTGACATCGGTGCCAACGACAATGCAATGTCCCAGGGCTTTTCGCCTTCACCACAAGAAACCAGCATGGCCAACGCCATTAAGCGGGTGTGATGGCATCCTTTTCAGCCGCCTGCCCACTCGTCAAAGGCGGCTCATCCGGAAACCGAATCGCCCGTCCGCCTGACGGGCCCGAGTTCCGCGGGAACGAAGCACGTTCCGCATCTCCAATATCCGCCGAGGTGTTCCTCGTAGGATCCGACCCATCTCGTCGATCAAGAATGCCGCCACCAGTCGTTTCATGGCGGTTGGGAATCACGGAACCACCAATCCTGTAGACCCCGTGCCCCTTAGAATCAGGCTGGACGGTGTCGAGTTCAGTTCCCTCTTCGGTTCCCGTTCCGGATTCCACTCCTGCCCCCGCTCCGGCCCTTGCGCCAGCCCCTGGCCGTCGACGGAGGGTAAAGGAGGTCACTCTGTTACCGAGGGAGAATGGGAGCACTAAGTCAGGCTCATCGCTAGAGGTGCTCATGAGGGACCGGGAGAGGGTCCTCGGGAGATAGAAGCCGAGTTTGCCGAGCGGGATGCTCAGGCCGTGGACAACCTGTGATCTACGTCAGCAACTTATCACTCTGTTTCTGTCTCCAGAAGGAAACCAGGTTCCAACTTACAATACTGCAAATGGCAATGAACCAGACAACCACCAAAACAGCCTCGGGCAAAGCCTTGAGGTCTGACCGAGGCTGGTCGCCAACATCCAGCGTATGCAGAAATTCTAGCGTGATGTACAGGTAAAAGATGGCCGAGACGCCGACGGGGCCAAAGAAGCCCACGAAGATGGCTTGACGGATATCATCGATCTGCGGAATCCACTTGTGGCAGGCAAGCACCCAGGGCAGACGGCGAAGCAGCAGGACGAGAATCCCAAGGGCAATCAGCCGGCCAATCGGCACCACCTCGTTATGCAGAAACCGGTCCCACGGACACACGGCGCCATACCACATGAAGATCGAGACGTTCAGCAACATATCGATAGTCGGTTGCAGCGAGTCGTCAAGCGTCTCAAGGCGGAACCAGTCGTCCCAGGTGAACACGTTCCCCGCCACAAAACACGCGAGCACGTCGTCGCTGCCGATCATCCCACACGTCCCGACGATAAAGAGCGCGAGGGAGATGGCAAAGACGAGGAAACTCTCACGGTCGACAAATCTGTGCTCCTCTGCCCAATGCAGCAGCTCCTTCGCCAGCCAGCCCACCACAGCACCGTACACCACGCTCAGCAAGATCGTGTAGCCCCACGTCTCGCCGAACCACAGGCCCATCGCCACCCGCGCGCCCCCGTCGCCTGGTGAGGAGCCTGATCCAATAAACTTGATCAGATACAGCGCAAAGAACAGGAATGGATACCCTAGCCCGTCGTTGGCGCCGCTCTCCGCAATGATAATCTTCTGCAGCTCCTTGGGCACGTTATGGTCGGCAAACTTGCCCTTGACAATAACGGCGGACAACACAGGGTCGGTCGGCGTGACACACGACCCAATAGCCATGGCATGCAGTAGCGGCAAACCAGGGACTAGTGCCCACACCAGCAGGCTGGTGGCCATCCACATGGCGGCCATGATAGGGCCGACAAGCAGGGCGAGGGGCTTCCATTGCTTCTTGAGGTAGCGCGACGGCAGTTGGACGCCGGCTAGGACAAGCTGGACGCCGAGGACGAGGCGGGAGAAGGCAAGCGTGATGGCGGCTAGGTTCTCCTCGGAGCCGAGGGCGTAGTCGATCGGACGGATGAAGTTGGCTGCGTGCGGGGAGAGGGCCACGCCCGCGAGGAGGGAGATCACTGAGATGGTGTTAACTTTCTGTTTCTCCTATGTCTAATCCTTTCACTCTTATCAACTTCTTCCACGGGTTGCGTTAAAGCTAAAATGGGGGAACGGCAAATCCCACATACAGGCCTCAGAGAGATAGAAACTCTCTTTGCAGAGGTACGAGACCAAGCCGAAGAGCGACACCCATCCCCCCAGCACGCTGAGGATGATGTTGAAGTTGGTGGTCGCCAGCACCGGCATCTTGGCCGTTGGTTAATATCTTTTCCGGGCCAAGAGAGATATTGAACCAAGTCAAGTCAGTAGATTTGTAATCGTCCCTCGGAATCGTAAGTAACGTTATTCTCGGTATCGTTATCGACGGTGTCAGGAACGCAGCTATGCCGTTGATTCCGTTCCCAGGAATGATGTATATAGTTGTCACTGCGCTCTTCCCGCAGTGCCAAGGAGGTACGTTCCAAGCGAACAACTTGGAACAAGCGTGCAATAACACAACACACGGGGAGAGAGAGAGGGAACAAAAAAAGGAAAAAGCTAATGTTATCGAATCATAGGGACCGAGCACTCGAGATTGCGGCAGGCCAGCATGGGATGGCGACGGTGACGATGACAAAGATCACAAGAAGGCGGGGTTGGCAAAGCTTTCCCGTCCTGTTGGTGTAGTAAATACTCGGGCAGCGGCGGCGATAACGACGGCGACGACGACGATAAATACTGTTGGGTGCGAATGGTGGCGGTTGTGATGCTTATGTGGTTGACGACAACCATGTATGTATGTGTCTGTGGGCGTGATGTGATTGAAAAGCTAGGTGCTTGCCAATGAAAATGCAATGTGGATTGTGGGTGTTATGTTGTAATGGCAGCCGAGCGGGCCGAGAATCGGGGCGGGTTGAGTCTCAGGTTTCCGGCGCAAGAGAAAATGGCAATCACGGTTGTAAGTGGAAGGAGTTCCCGAAAAGTTGTTGCGAGCAAGAGGAGAAAAAAAAGGCCCAAGCAGCCAAGAAAACAAAACCCCCACAACTTGCCAGCCGCCTTACTTTTCTTCCCTGTCACAAAATCACTTCCTATCAGAACCTAACCTTGCAATGGCCAAAAAAAGCGGCAGACCAAGTCCATGGATAACTGACTTTGCTACAAAAGTGAAAAAGAGCAAAAAGAATAAACCAAAGAAAGTGAAAGAAGACAAAAATGAATAAATCTAGGAAGTGAAAAAAAGACAAAAAAGAGTAAATTAATCAGGATTTGTTAAGATTTGATCGAATGTTAATGGATTGGACTCGGGCCATCTGTTTTAGTGTGCCGCTTTTTTTTGGCCAAAGCGAGCTAACTAACATCCAAGCCAGTCACTCACTCACTCACGCAATGCACTCCAAAGAAAAAATTGTGGTACGACATGGGCTTTTTTTTACCTCACGGAGCTCTTCTACCTCACGGATTCGACTCGTGACCTGTTAGGTAGGTCGGGTGCTCTGGCTGCTTGTTTTGGTGTGAGTGAATGGTTTGTGGGTTTCCCTGTTTGACGACAAAGCCAAGACCGGCCAGGGCGCAAAAAGAGGGTTTCCTTGGGAAAGTGGAGGGCTTCCACAGAAGGCCTAGGACTCAAGCTTTATCGGCCAAGAAGTAATGGGAAAGCTTGTTTGTAGTCAAGGTTGTTTGGGATTATGATTATTACTGGTTGGTGGGGTATTGATAAAAGGTGGGGTATTGATAAAACGGCAGGCAACAGAATGGTTTCTAAGGCAAAAAAGAGTTTTCTCCGTCGTAGAATGTTTCAACTTGATTCTTCTGACAAGACAGTTGACTCACCTGAAGAATACCCGACCCCACTTTCGCCGTCAAGCACACTGCTGGATTACCGTACGATACAACTACGATACCTACAAGGCCAGGAGCCAGTTCTCACACTTTCATAGTAGGCCAGGGAGGTGGTCGAATGTTGTATGACTTCTTAAAATGCTCATGATATTCGCCAACGCCATCTTCCTAACCTCTAATGCACCACCGGGACTAATCCGACATGCGCCTCTAATTTGTAACCTCGATATCCGGCAACGCCAGGCCCGCCGTGCTGTTGTTTCTAAACGCCTGTCTCGAGTGGTTCCCTCCGTGTGTTCCTCAAAAATAAACAGATACTCTCGCCGTAATGCCAACCCTATGAGAGGACTATCTAACTCCTCTGGCGTGTGCTGTCCCAACCAAGAATAACAATGTGCCCTCATGAGATACCCCGACACCATACAAGTCCGGCCTGCTGGACAGCGACGGGAGGTCGCCGGGAACGAGTGTTGCAGACAGACAGACAAAACAGATAGATCCTAAGCATGTATGGCCTTGTCCACCTCAAACGGCTTCAGGGAGCCGTTGGACTCCCATTCCCAGGCGACCATGCTCCAGTTCAACTCGCGGCGCCAAAAGAGGCCCAGCCCACGGCCGCCATCGGCACCGTTGAGAGAAGGGTGTTCGCTGCCACGGTCCTCAGCGCAGAGCCCGCCCGTCAACGGCATACGATGACGGAAGACAACTTTGCCCATGCGCGAATGGAGGATGGCCATCGAACACATGACACACGGCTCATGTGTCAGGTACATCTCGAGCCCGTGGCATAGATAGCCGTCTGGGTTGGGGTGCTCCAGCTCAAAGACCTTCTGTTCGTCTTCAAGAATCGGACTGTCCTGGAACGCTTCGAACTCGAGGATGGGCGCCTGTGAGGTTTGTGTTTTCCGGTTTTCGGCCCGGACCAGCTTTTGCGCCACGATGCTCATAGCACGCATGGCCGCATGTGCCATAGGATTTCCGGTGCAGCCGACCTTGCCGCGGGGGCTCCAACGGGAATCCCCAGCCAATGCAACGAGGGTAGTCCGGCCCTCTTCCCGTTGGATGATACACGCGCCTATGGGTTCCCCGTAGGCCCTCTCATGGGTTTCCTTGGCCACTTTGTGCGCCAGCGTCATCCAAAGCGCAACATCGTCGGCGATTTCCTCGGTCTGGCGGGCAATCATGGACGGATGTGGCCCCAGCGGATTATTCTTTCGATATAAGGCGGGCCAAAATTGTTGCGACCACATGGCCGCTTGAACCTGTGAGGTCGGTGACACCATGGGAACCGGAATTCGCCTGAGAAACACCTGCTCTTCCATGCCCTCTATCGTCGACAGGCCCCTGATGATTTCCTCGCGGTTGAGCATATTTTCTGGGCCAACTATTACGTAGATCCAATTGGACTTGCCCGTGTGTATTTGCCGGCTCTGTGCAGACTCGTTCATGAACTGTGCCTTGAGGTGAGCTGGCAGATCCGACGGCTTGGCGCATCTGCGTAGATGAGGGACACCCTTAATGATCTCGTCTGGCAGCATGTTTCGGAGCAGGCTGGAGGGCACAATAGATGATTAGTATGGGGGACTGAAACAGTCGTTGAGGGGAGCGCGGGCGGGGACAACAAGAAACGAAGGGTATGTGTTTGGTTCGGGGATTCTCGAGCGTACAGGATGGCCGGGTTGGCTGACTTGGTGGGCGTGCGAGTAATAAGCACATGCCCTGTTTGGTAGTCATCTCGTAGCTCAAGGGTCGTCTTCAGCGGTACCAAGACACCGTCCCGAACAACGTCCTGGACTAGTTCCCGGGCAAGGGGGTCCTGCGCGGGGAGCGGCAGCCCACTCCTGGACGTATCATTCTCGGCCATCTTGCCGGCGACAGTGTTCGGGCCCGGGAGCGGGGGCGGGTGTGGGGGAGGGGTCGAGATGGTCGTCTTGGTTGGGTCCGTCGTCGTCGGGGGCGGTGGTGGTTGTCGGCTATCCAATAGATGGGGAACAGCAGGCCTGCATGTAGCCCAACCGGTCCGCCGGGGAATGGTTGTGCCCGGGCGGCGCGGCCAGTGTGGTGAGTCCTTAGGAGCGAGAGCTGGGACTGTGGTTGTCGCAGGATCACGAGGTTTTTGCGAGAGATCGAGGATAGCGAGCGAATTCGGCGGTTGAGGGAGAGACGGAGCCGATTGTAGGTGACATAAATGAGCGAATAATGGCGTCCCGGTATGGGGGTTCAAGTGCGGCCCATGACGAAGGAAAGAACAAGCTCCGCTCCTCATTCAACACCTGCGACAGAAAGCTGGAAGTGACGAGATGCACCTTTGGGTTTTGTGGTTGCGGGGGAAAAAATACAGGAGCCCCACTCGCCCAGACCTGCTGTCACAGCAGTGAAGATGCTCGGATCAAAGGCCAGCCTCCTCCCTTCCGCGGGCACCTGCGAGGCTGCTTGGTTCTCCACCAACGACTTCATCCAGCGCTGCCCGGCTGCAGGTGCAACTGTTTTAATGGAATGGAGCCCCAAAGCACACCCAGTGTAATCCTGACTCGGGGCCCAACGACGGATAACTGATTAATCGACACATGCAATGTCAACCTCCAGTCATCGTTCGATGGTAGTGATTTTCTTTTGCGACTTGCTCTTGTTACTTTACGCTATACAATCCCAGGCGCCCAAGAACACAACGCCATTGCCTTGTGGATGTCGATACGGCTCGCTGCAGTGATCCACCAGTACCTACTAGGTTCGTCGTCCCGAGAAAGTGCGCGATAGTAATCTAGCTCGATGCCGCCTACCCGTGTAGCCCTTGCCTTCACACATTCGAGGTAGAAAGCTCGGTCTTCCTTCATTTGCCGGTTATTGCGAACAGAAAAGCCTTGGGCTCCATCCCCAGGTTCATGGGTGAGAAAGCGTGGGTACGCGGCTGCAAACTGTAGAGGTACCATTTCCGCCTAGCCTAAGTCGATGATACTATACTTTATGTTGGCTAGAGCGTTTCCGGCGGTTGAAACGTCCGGTATACCTCTGAACAGCAAGCGGGTCATTACCCACTATGATATTATTGTCAGAGATATCACCATGGACAAGCATATGCGGGGCATTGTCAAGATCCGGCATCCAATATTTTGGTATCAGCTGCTTCTGAACTTCGCACTCAGCGACGGTGCCACCGCGAAGCTTTGTTAGATTTCGCACGAGCGATCTTGCGGTCAATCTTAGATGTGATCCATTCTAGGGCCAGTTTCCCTGTATCTCTGTTAATTTTAGCTTAAGGTTGGGAGGGCTAGTCAAGAAGTGACAATACCAGGCTGTTGTACGCGGAGCAGATCAAGACTGACGTTAGCAACCGCCCGTATAACAGACCTGCGATTTTCTGTAGCCGGAAAAGCATCAGACCACTTCAAGGGGCTGCCGTCCGCCCAGCCCAGAGCTAGATACGGCGCTTTGATCAAGTTCTCCGTTGTATGATCATAGGTAATGAGCGGTTGGAAGAGATCGATCCCGGCAGCGTCAATATGGCGACGGATCCTAGCCTCGTCTTCAAGATGAAGGGCGGTATGGCAGCAAGTCCGATTATGTGGGATGCGGAGGAAGAGGCGTCTTGAATGTTCCTCGTTTTCTAGAGCATAGACTGCAGTGACCACCGCGGAAGGGGGTTCTATTCGTATCATGAATAAAATGGCAGGGACCTCCAATCAGATTCTCAACAAGAGTACGCATGGCCGTCGGGTCGAGATCCTCCATTCTGGGGTCTGGTCAAGTCGTTCGTAAAGGTTGGTAAATTTACCTAGCTGGTACCTGGTTGTGGTGGAAGCGCCCCGCAGTGTTGAGGCACCCAAAAATGGCAAATTCTGCATTTAATTTGGAACGTTAGTTAGGGGCCGTCTGCACGGCATGTTTGGAAGGCGCCATGCAGCTGGGTTCTAAACGGGTCCCACCCTCCTGCTGCGTGCCTTTTTTCCCTTTCCTCCCCCACAAATTGCCTCGCCCGCGCAGTCCTGCCTGAGAAAGTCATGAAATCCCGAGTTGTTGTCCCCGTATGACCGAGCCTCGCGAGCTCAGAGCTACTCCAACGAGTACGGCACCCCTCCATCGCTCCATCTCGCCTGCGGCGACCCCGCATGCTGGTTGCCCCTCTTGCGGCATCGGACGCAATCTCGCCAATCCGCTGCGAGATGCTTCCCAGCGCTTCCCCGATCCCAGTCCCTGCAGCGCGGTTTGAGAACGGCGCTGCGACGCTGCGACGCTACCGTCCCATGAACCCCCACGTGCTGGGATGCGGTTTATTCGGAGGCTCGGGGAAGTTTGACTGTTTTCAGTTTCTGTCCTCTGTCCTGCGAGGTGGGGGAGGCGAAGATGCAGAAACTCTGCAGTTGTCTGCACCCATCTTTCGGACACATCACGCGTTTGAGCGTCAGTGGCGCCACAACTTCCCCTCCTTCCCAAGCACCCAAGCTGACTCGAAGCAGAGCTGTTGGCACTTTGCGGCCTTTGTTGTTCATTGGAATCTTTGCTGATGGTCAAGACAAGGGTCATTGATGCGCATGTCAGAAACGACTCGTTCGTTTTCCAGGTAAGTTCTCTCTGGGACAGCTTAGGCAAACAAGGTTCACACTCACTGTCAAGGAGGCAGGCGAGCAGCAAGTCGAGCCGAGCAGCGACACAATCCGATCTCGGGCACTTTCTCCGCCAAGGACAGATCGGTTCCGGCCGCCCCGGTTTGGCCTCCGGCTGAATCTGGGGAAGTTGAGATGCCTCAAGTTGGGGAAGAGGAGGGCTGGGGTGTATCGGACGCCAGTGGTCAGCGGAGGACCATGACCTGAGTCCATGACCACCCCGAGTTTTGCACGGGGGCGCTCCCTTCCGCCTCAAGGAGCAGCCAAGCAAGGCCAAGACCATTGAGCCAGATTGCCTTCCGCCTCATTGTGAATCCGCCAACTTTGTTCGACCACCCATTCATCCACACACTCCTCCTCCTTGATACCAAGCTTTACGCCATTCCGCTAGCCGCTCAACCCCAGGTCCCTTGGTTTTGGTCACTGCAGGTGTCCCGTGTGGGAAAGAAAGCATGGGACCATGATATGAGAGGAGCCGGGGACTTACTTTGTTGAGCAAGGATCCACTGGATGCTTCTCTGACAACTTTTAGTAGTATGGATGATACTGCGTACAACGGAGAACGCGAGGTTGAGGTGTGGGAGTCTGCTTTGACAACTGCAGCTCGTCGCGCTTGGCACCAACCGGCCGCAGAGCTTCCGTGTGGGGGCTTGGCTTGGTTGGATCATCGGGCTTGGCGTGTTGAGTTGTTGACTGCAGAAACGGGGTATTCGAAGTATCGTCGGACTACAACGTCGGTATGTTTGCTGATTGCTGCCGTCTGCTGGGCACAGGTGCCTTCTGCGCGCCGCGTCATCCTTCTGCGGATCGGTGGTTGTATTGCGCCTCGGGATCTTCTGCTGTGCTGGTTGTGAAGCCGGAGAGGATTCGCTCAATAGGGGGAAGGCTGGCGAGGCGGGATCTCTGCGCATGCATATAAGCCTCGGCGCCCAGAGATCATGATGCTCGGTGTTGAGATGCTCCCAGATGATCTCCAGATACCAAGAAAAGCCAAGTCGGCGGTTTTCTGCAACGAGCAGGGATCCGCCTTATCTTTCATCTGGCAAAGTCAATTCGCAGACGGGCCGCGTTTTCCAAGACTTTTGTTGAACACCGAGACCCTATGGGAGACCGCGTTCGAGATGAAATAAGTGTTGCGGCCTCAAGGTTGACACCCAAAAGTGTTGTCGGTTTTACCGACATGCACCATGGCCGGAGACTCCAGAGTATAGGACAAAACCCCGAAACTATTCTTTGTCACGGCGTTTACGAATAAATTCCGATAAAGCCACGCAGACTTTTTGGGCCGACATTTAGTCGCCTGGAAAGTCCCCGGAGGCTCGAGTTGCACAAGTCGTTGCAGCGGTGATCCTCTAGTTGCCCAAGAGACAATGGGTACAGAGTATCTGTATGTCGACAGAACCACCCGGTATCAATTCCGCACATCCCATACCTACCAAATCCAATACCGATGCAGCACCGTGTGACTGTCTCTTTGGCCTACCAGAGGTGTTGCGGGCAAGGAGCCTAAGACATGGAGGGTTATGATTTTGCCTTGTTCCAAGCTTGAGTTATGGTGCAACGGGTTTCTAAGCAAGAGAAAGCCACCAAGTCATCTGCTAGTTCGTGATTAGTTCGTTGCCAGAGTTTATCGCCGCACTGAACGACACAGTCTCTCGTTACCTTGCTGCGGCCCCTATTTGTCATTTCTTGGCACCAAACAGCCCCAGCTTGCCCAGGCGCAATCGCACAGCAGGGCTGCACTCATCAGAACCAGACTCGGCTCCGTAACTAGTGTGCACGAGTTACAAGGAACAGCCAAGAGCATTGCCCAGTGCCCCGTTGAGTCACTCCTCCACCCACCGCCCAGCGCACCAAAAACGGTGAACTTGATGCGAGCACCGGACATGTCGGGGGTTACGTCACCGCGTTTTCCCAGTCTTTGAACCCATTGGAAGTTTGGAACCCCCGTGCCAGAGAGGAAGAAAAATCCAATCAGGTTCTAACAGTCCGAGCACTCACACTGGTCCAACTCATCTTTTCTTCGCCTCGACTCGACTCACACCCATCTCCCGCTTCGTTTGTGGACACACCGAATGAGAAATAATACGGCAAAAATTACCGAGCGACTTCCTACACTACGCCCGCAAGAGAACGGACGTGAAACCCTTACGCAGTGCGCAGTGCAACGGACGCCAAGGTGAGCAAGGTGTTTCCAATTTAGTCTCAGCAGCGATCGCGGCGATCAAGCATGCGCGCTGTAATCCAGACCGTTCCTGGGTTTGGGGCTCTCGCGTGGTCGGAGACAGCCGACCGAACTGCAGGTCAGTCGGGCAAGACGGACACAAAGACGTGGCCAGGAGTCCGCCGAGTCCGCAGCCACGAGTGGAGGTCGGCAGCGCGCCAGTCATTCATGAAGGTTTTGCCCTGTGACGAGACCCTCGCGCGCGCGGGTTTTTTGGGAGAAAGAAAGACCGTGGAAACGTCCACTGGAAGCCTGCCGTCCGAGGGCTCCGGGCCACTGGTGACTTTGCCTCAGGGCCTGGGACGCACCCCACTGGCCTTGTTCCGGTTGCGTTGGCTGATTTGCTAACGTCTTTCAGCTGCACCCCGCCCCCAAAAAACGCCCCCCTGGCTCTCCTAAGGTTCAGGTTCCTGCAAACACCCCTCCCCCTGTCCTGCAGGTCTTTCTTTGGTTCAACCATCAATCCACCATCCCATCCACCATTTCGGTCTCGGAGCCTTTCCATTCGCCAAACCTTCCCTCCGGTCCATGTCGCGGCATCTGGCACCCTCCTCCCCCAACCCTTCGAACCCGCCCACTCCAGCTGTCAAAGGTAGGAACTCGGCCTTATTTCCTGTCATCCATTCCATATTTAAATTCCGTCCCATCCTGCTCCCCACCCTCCCCGATCCGGTCTCTCTCTTTTTTCCCCTCCTTCCATCATATCAACAACAATATCTCGATCAACCCCGAAGAAGGAAAAGTACGGCTGACCGTGACTCTCCTTCTTTGCAAAGACGACGACGACACTGCTGGCCCGCCGCCATCACTGCCGTCACAACCTCAACCCCAATCACTGCGAAAACTTGCTATGAGCCATCGGATGGGTGCTGTGTTTTCCGGCCCGTCCTCACCTACGATCCATGCCAGCGGAGATGGCCTCCAGGGCGATGTGCACCCGGCACATGGCGCCCTGCCCCCGCCCGCCCTGACAAGAGCATTGAAGGAGTCCCTGAAGAGCGCCGACGAGTCCGGTGCTTCCCCCAGGAACTCCCCCAATGGGCCCCCGAACACATCTGCCCCGACGAGTGGACTCCCCAACGGCGTGCAGTACGACTCGCCCTACTCGCGCAGTCTCGCATCCACAGCCCCAGCCTCACCGCGGATGTAAGTCGATATTCCCCCCCCCCCATTCCCCCACTCCGTCTGTACCTTTCCACCGGTGTTCCGCCCATGTTCTCCGTCCTATGTAGTACCGAACGCTGTGTAACCCAGCCCGGTCGCTGACCACGTCTGTCTGAAGCCCACCCGCCCGCCAAAATTCCGGGAGCCACACGCCCAGGATACGCCCACATGCGACGACGCTCAACATCCCGGGGATGACCCGCTCCAAGGCGTCTCCGGATGGCCGCATCCCTGACCGGGACGTGGCCGCCAAGCTGGTCATCATCATGGTTGGCCTGCCAGCCCGCGGGAAGTCGTACATCACCAAGAAGATCCAGCGCTACCTGTCTTGGCAGCAGCACAACACCAAGATCTTCAACGTCGGTAACCGCCGGAGAATTGCCGCGGGCATGGCCAACCCCGGCGATGCCTCGCCTACCCTCGACCCCAGCAAGCAGCAGGACGTGCCCAGCCAAGCGGCCACCATTCTGTCCAAGGGCTCCGCGGGCCCCGACATTGTGGTGGAGGACGAGCCGACGCAGCTAGACCTGAACAAGACCAAGTCAGGCGGCGAGAAGATGGACCAGTCGGCCAAGTTCTTTGACCCCAAGAACGAGGCGGCTGCGAAGCTGCGTGAGCAGGTGGCCCTGGACACGCTGGATGAGTTGCTTGCGTATCTTTTGCACCAAGGCGGTTCCGTGGGCATTCTCGACGCCACAAACAGCACCATTCAGCGGCGACAGCTGCTTGTGAACCACATCCGGGCGAGAGAGCCGAAGCTGGGCATTCTGTTTATTGAGAGTGTCTGCCACGACCAAAATGTAAGTATCCACGGGCTTTTGTTTGTTGGACATTGTTGAGTGGACATCCTGTGCTAACAGCCTGCAGCTTCTCGAGGCAAACATGCGTCTCAAGTTGTCCGGGCCGGACTACAAGGGTAAGGACCCGTACAAGGCCTTGGAAGACTTCAAGGAGCGAGTCAAGGCCTACGAGAGCGCGTACGAGCCGCTAGGAGAATGGGAAGAGAAAAACGACCTCCAATACATCCAGGTTCGTTGCAGTGCGATTCCACTCGCAAACAAAAAGCGGGCGTGTGTACTGACAATAAATCCTAGATGATTGATGTGGGGAGGAAAATCGTGCAGCATCGCCTCAAAGGGTTTCTCAGCGGCGGTATTGTCTCGTATCTCAGCACTTTCAACCTGTCGCCACGTCAGATCTGGATCACACGTCACGGGCAGAGTGAAGACAATAGGATGCAGAAGCTGGGCGGAGATTCTGATCTGACAGAGCGGGGTCACTTTTACGGGCAGGCGCTGTACAATTTCATCACCTACAAACGCAAAGAGTGGCTTGCCCATCAGAAGAGCCGGCTTGCAGCCGCCAACTTCCCACCGCACCCGGGCGACAACACGCCCCCGTACCCGGAGCTGAACCAAGAACTCGACGACAAGAACTTTTGCGTCTGGACATCGACGCTCAAGCGCAGCATGGAAACAGCCGAGTACTTCGAGGCGGACGACGACTACGACGTCAAGGCGTGGGAGATGCTCAAGGAGCTCAACGCGGGCGACTTTGAGGGCATGACATACGAGGAAATCGCCAAAAAATACCCGGAAGAGTACGGCAAACGCGCCAAGGACAAACTCCAGTACACCTACCCGGGTGTTGGCGGCGAGGGGTACCTCAAGATCATCAGCCGGCTGCGCGACATGGTGCGCGAGATGGAGCGCATTACCGACCACGTGCTTGTCATCGGGCACCGGTCCATCTGCCGCGTGCTGATGGCCTATTTCATGGATCTCACCCGCGACGACATTGCGGATCTCGACCTGCCCCTCGGTATCCTGTATGCCATTGAACCCAAGCCTTATGGGATTGAGTTCCATGCCTACCGGTACAACGAGGAGACGTTCACTTTCGACGAGCTCCCCGATTACAAGCCCCGCAAGACGGTCGACCGGAACTCGTGAACGTGCACCCCCGCACGTCCAGTCTCGCGTGTGTGATGATTCGATTTCCTTTTTTTTTTTTTCTTTTCTCAACATCTGTACGAATATGCAAGACAACAAACATCACGACGACGACGATGACGACAACCTTGTGGGATGGGGAACGCGCGAAACAGGTGCTGGTCCACCAACGAACGTCGGACACTGGGGGCACTGGGCACTGGGCGGCTTCATCTTGAGAGTGATTTGATTTTTTTCATCACACAAAGAACAGGGGGGGTGGTAATCGTCGACCTTTTTTTTTTTCTTTTTTCCCTTTTTTCTTCTGTTTTCTTTGACACTTCTTCTCTCGTCACTTAACACGGCGCACATACAAAGCAGGTGTTTTCACGGGGGAGCGACCATTTTGATACCTTGCTCGGGACGGGAAACGGCGCAAATTGCGAGCACCGGCCCGGTAGTGCGTGCTTCCCAGGGAGGAGCCCGGACCAGGGTAATGTCTACGGCATAACGGATGGGAAAGTTTGCGCTTTTTTTTCCTGAGTCATTTTTATGTTTTTTCCTCTTGTCTCGGTGTCTCGGTCAAATGGCTCAACGGCTTGACGCACGCGGGTTGCGTTTTCGGGGGGTGGGTGTGTGTCATTTTACCAACATCACGGGCTGGGGGTTAGGGGAGAGGAGTTATGGTTGTGTTTTTTCGCCCGGTCTGAGGGTTTTCTGCTCTGTCTTTGTACACTGTCCTGGCCTGGCCTGGCCGCGCTTTTCCTTGGCGCGCCTCTTTTTTGGCCGTGGTGCTGTGGCTTTATTGATTGGGGTTGGGTGGTGGGTTGCGCTCGTTGCGCTGGGCTGGCTGGCTTGACGTGGCTTGGCTTTAGAGTTCACCCTTACTCTTCTGTACGAAGTACAGTACAGTACAGGGGTCATGCATAGAGAAAGAAGAACGCTACGCTATTTGCCTACCTATCTACCTTACCTCGAGCGGTCCATTTTGCGGCGTGCCGCCGATTTTTAGAGAGAGAGAGGGGTGATGTACGGGCGAGCCTGGGGAATGGGAGAAAGGCTGATTGATACAGGGTGGGTGGCATTTTTCTTGTGGCTTGCTTGCTTTGCTTGCATGCTTTGTTAACGTCAGAGCAGAGACAGACAGACAGACAGACAGATGGGGCTTCTTGGGAGGGAGGGTGTTGTGGCATAATTACATGTATTTGCATGGTGGGTGGGCACGAGCAAGTCACCTAGGGAGAGAGGGAGGAGGGGGCCAGATGCGCAGCCTGAGATTACTCTACCTACCTACCTTCTGTCTACCTACTTACCTACTGACTGTACTACCTATCTATCTGTCCACCTACAACTGTTCTCTGTCATGTCTACCTGTTCACCACCTGGGCAATAACGGGAATGGGGAGATGGAAGAATGGAAGGGGGTGTGGGATGGGATGGGATGGAAGCTGTATCGTTAGCTGTTATGTTACTAGCTCCCTTTTTTTTTCTTTTCTCTCCCAATCTAGCTTGGTTGCAGGGCGAGATTCCAAAAAAGAATAGAAAAATAAAGAATAAAATGTCATATAGATATTTTTTATCAGAACTTCCTCTGCTGTATTTCCCGTACACAGATAACCCGTTGAGCTTCCCAACTTTGTTGAAGACAACATTTCCCCTAGGTTGTTCTTTACTAAGTTAGTGTATGTCCCGAGGGGGTGGAGTGAGACATGCGTCCTGCAGGCATGACTTGACTGGGTTTGGCGAGAGCGGGAGCATGGGGGCATGGAACATGGAACATGGAGTGCGGAACATGGAACATGGAGTGCGGAACATGACGACAAAGCTGACTGCAGATGCTTGACATGAGGCACACGAGGGGTTGAGACAGAGACATGTCAAAGCTGATGATGGCTTGTCTTGTTTACCCCCATAGGTAGTGAGTTAGGCTGTGCTGTTGAGTGAGTGAAACCCTGGCTAAGCAACCTGAGCGATATACTTATGTAGACCAGTTTCTGGGTGCCTGTTTCTGATTCTAAGGGGTTGTTCTGTTTCTGTTTGGGGTTCTAATACTCAATAATGCGGGCTGATGTGAAATGCTGTGAGGGATATGCAATTACGACACAAGGGCCTGTAGCTCGTTCGACAAAGCTAGGTATAGGATATAAAATGTATGTGGGTAGGTAACCTGGGTAGGGCGGAACGTTGCGGGAATTTACAATCTGGGCTAGACACCGCTTCGGACTTTACTGGTTGTATGTAGTTACAGGCCATGTTGATCATCACCGCCACTCAGCATTGAGAGACTTCAATTTAGAACGCACGGGATTGTTACCCCCTGCACCGAATGAGGTAATTCTTCTCCGATGTAGATATGTCCCATTCCATCTTCCCGCTTTCCGGCGTTGTCCCGGCAGCTCGCTTCGTTTCGCTTCACCCAGACGGGCTCGGCTGATCCGGATGCAGGGTCAGTTTGGTGGGGGCAGAAAGCTTAGCACGCCGGTTACACTACACGATGCAGATGACATCCAAGAACCGGGTAGTTGGTGGCAGGGTTGTGGTGTGGGATTTGTGTGATTTGTGTGATGTGATAACTGGCCTTACACGACAGTACCGACCTGCCTAGGTAGGTGAGCTGGGTGATCTGGAGTGGTAGCTGCACGGCTCGGAAGGGACGCCGGGAATAAGAACTCAGTGGATTGTGAGTCTGAGTTGGGATGGGGGGGGGTATGAGATGAAGCGAGCCGAAGCGACTATGTGACGTACGTGTACTACACTAAAGGACGGGCCTGCGACCTACAGCTGCGGCCTTTTTGGAGAAAGAAAACAGTAAGGGAGGGGTGTGATTCTAAGGCTGGAGAGTAAAGCGATGGTCTTTGGCTGTGGGGGGTCTCACTCGGTCAGAGTCAGTCTCAGGTTTAAGTTGACGACGAGGCAGGGGGATGGTGTGTTGTTGGTGCATGTACGTTGTTGGTTGAGTTGGTACGCTGGCTGAGAAAAGAGGGTGTGAGGGAGTTAGAGGAGGGAAGGGGGGTCACGAGGCCGTTGGGGGCGACAAAGTGCGTGGTTTTGTTGTTGGTGTTACGAGGGTGAAAAGGGGGGGGGGATAACCTGAGTATGGGTTGAGTGGTTTTTGTGTTGTGAGCAGAGTGTCTCGATTCTTGCGGGAATATGGGTGTTTTGTTCCCGGTATCGATACCGTACACTACGTATATCTAATCAGCGGAGATCGGTTGTGGGTGTATTAGCTAGGTATCTGATCATCTCACTCCCATAGGGTTTCAGATGTTACACCGCGTTAAATATAATTAATTATGGCACCACGTATGATAGGACGAGCAGTCACTACTGGGAATTTCAGCCGAGAGATCATCACACCATAGTAGTTAAGAAAGTGAGTCAAACTGAATTATCGTATTCCAATGAATGAGCCATGTCTATCTCATGCCAGAACATATGTATTAATCCAAACAAAACGGTATCCCTACTAAGCGCTAATCCAACCTAACGTCACTACCCACTCCTATCACACATCATAATCCCATCTCTAGTTACCACCAGCAGCACCCGCCATAATAGCAATCTGCTGCGCCCGCCTACGATCCACCTCCCTCTTCATCATCACCAAACACGTAGTAACCACCAACGCAACCGCCATCTCCCTCTCCCCCTTTTCCTCCACCACCCCCGTCCCATCATCCCCCGCAGCTCCGCCGGCGGCCCTCACCAACCCACCCAAATCCATCACCAACCTCCCCCCATTCCCCGCCGTACTCGACCCGCTCCCCGGAGTCCTACACCCCTCCCCCCTCAAAAACTGCGCCACCACCGTCCGCACTTCCTCATCTTTCCCCGTTTTGGAGGAGGAGGACGCCCCATTCAGCGCACGCGCAACCTTCACCACCCTCTCCAAAACCAGCACACTATTCAAATCCTCCACCCCCTTAATCCCCGCCCCCGCAGCCGCATGCCGTTCCTTACGCCCCGCATACCGCCACTCGAAATACCCCAACCTTGAGCGAAACCCGATAGAGCGGGTCAACAACCCGAGGGAGTTAATCGTAAACGTATCCCATGCGCCACAAGCGCTGGTCCCCGTACCCGCGCCGTTGACGTCGACATCCTGGTTTTTGTTGTACAGCAGCTGGTTGAGTGTCTCGACGGGTAGGGGAGGGGTGTGCGGCGCGAAGAGACGGACGACGGGGGGACGGTTGGGGCCGAAGCGGTAGGTTGTTGAGGACGTCACGGGGATGGTGTTGTTACTACTGTTACCGCTGTTGCTGCTGCCGCCGGTGGTGAGGTAGCAGCTTCCGGAGCTGCGTTCGGGGCGGAGACAGGTGTAGTAAGGGGAAGAGGAGTGGGCGCTGGCGGAGAGGCTGGAGTCGTCGGGGTGGAGGGAGAAGATAGGGATGGGGTCTGGGCGGGAGGGAAGCGGGAGGGAGAGCCAGGGTTTGCCGGTGGTTTGGATTTGGAAGTGGAGGGTTGGGTTGAAGGGGCCGCCGGGGGTGGGGCCAGCCGTGGAGGTTGAGAGGGAGGTGTTGCTGGTGTTGGTGCCCGCTGGGTAAGGCGGGGGAGCGGTGAGGAGGGAGGGTGAACGGCTGCGGCTGGAGCTGTGGTCGAGGTGGGCGAGCTCGACGTCTTGGGGGTGGGAGGTGTAGACGGGGGGCGCGGAGGTTTCGAGGGTTGTCATGGTGAAAGTCGTTTGTTGTGTGAGTGGGAGTTATGTGTTGATGTGGTGAGAATTGAGTTGAGTACACAGTGAGTGATTGCAAGTGATTATGGCAGTAGATATCTGGTAGAATTGTCGGATGAAACTATGCAACAAAAATCAGCAATGAAAACACCAAAGCCAAGCCCTATATACCCTTTCCCCCAACACCTCCCGACGACGACGTTGATCGTCCCCATGATGAAATGGAAGTAGCCTCGCCCAAAAGCCCCACCGCTGCCCAAAAGTCAAAATGCCCACCGTCCAATCACGCGACGATGCGAAGAATACGCTGGCCGGCTCAGCCCCACCGTATGGCTCGGTTATCGCCCTGAGACTTCCACACTCGAGTGCGGCGCGTGAGACCAGCACGTTTTGGTTGAAGATCGCACTGCTCGTCCCTGACGCGCAGTGGCTTGGCACTTTTTTGATGACCCGCTCTTTCCGCCAGCACGAAATACGGCGGTGGGGAATGTGGACGAGCCCGCGGGGCTCGGCAGTCCACTAGCTAGTAGGTGGGGCTGGGCAGCGTCGTGAGCTGCATCAACGGATGAGAGCGAGGTACGAAGTACGGATAGTGCAGTGAGGTGCACTGTGTAGATGGAGCTCTGCAGGAAGCCACGGCTGGTGGAAAGATGACAAGACGGAAGGAAGCACTAGGGAGCATCGTACTTGTCGTTGTCAAACCGAGACACATTTTCCAAATCTCGCTCTGATCGGATTGACATCTTCGAGAACGAGTAATCAAAAAGCTGGGTATTTATTACAGTTGTACTATTCCTTGTGCCTCTTCTCAGCAGATGTGTTTCCTCATTAACATTTCGTGTCTTCCAGGCTCCGAAGGAGGCGGGGTAAATTAAAAAAAAAAGATACAAGAAATGGGACAACATATCAGCACAGCCCGGTTCCTTTCCCGATACCTCTGTTAATCAAACGTCCTCCCAAAGAAGCCCGGGTTCTCCGCCAGCTTGGTCGACACCCACGTCGGCCACTGGTTGTACTTGCGATGCTCGGCGTCGATGAGCGTGTTCATGTAGCGCAGCCAGCGAATGTTGCCGAGACTCGCCCCCGTCGAGGACGAGTTCCGGTTGCCGCTGGGCATCTTGAGCGCCGCCTTCTTCTCGGCCTGGCAGATGGTGGTCATGGTCTGCTCCAGGGCCACCCAGTGCGTCGCCAGCAGCAGCGCGGCCTGGTTGTTGGGGTCGACCAGCCGTTTGAACTTGTCGTGCGGGAGCATCATCCACCAGCCGTAGTGGTCGGAAAGAGCCAAGTATGCTAGGTAGGTATTTGTCAGTATGCGATACAAGACGGCCGACGAGGTATGCCGACGAGGTGTGCCGACAAGATATGGACGAAAGAAACATACCCTTCCACGAATCGACCTGCAGATTCCGCGCCAGATCCCCAATCATCTGCCAATACTTCTGCTCCACCTCTCGCCCTTCCACCAACCCCCTCAGCCCCTCCACACTCGCTATGGCCCGCGCCGACCAGTCGGTCTCGATCAACGGCAGATCCTTCATGTGCGGCTCCAGCTTCTGAGTCTGCCGGTCCCCGAGCAGGTGTCCAAACATGATGTTGGCGCCCTTGCAGTACATCTGGATGGCCACGATCATGATGCCCCGGACAAACGTCATGAACTCGATCATGCCGTCGTCGAGCAGCACCGACTGGTACGTCAGCGCGAAACACGTCGCCATCAGCGCGTTGCCTTCTTCAAACATGTGGTCGTACGCGCGCCCGCCGGCCAACGGACAACTGGGCGGGTCGCCAGGGCTAGGAGATGCCGACTTTGCTCTGGCCGCTGCGGTGGCCGCTGAGGCCGCGGCGGGAGACAGCGACTTCTTGATCGCCTTGACGGCCTTGTACCGATGCGCCATCGCGGCCTCGGCCAGCGCGGGCTCCCCGTTCGCCATCAGCTCCGACGCCGAGTACCCCAAGATCGCATGCATCAGGTAGTCGTACCGCTCCGACAAACACGGGATCTCGTGCGTCCACAGGTCTTCCGAGCCGACCGGATGGTGCGGGTAGCACCGCATCAGGAAATGCTGGAAGAACCGCATGTCCTGCAGGCTGAACAGCGGCACCTGGTGCTGCGGCTGGTGCACGATCGTCGGCAGCGCCGGGTACTCGCACTGCAGCCCTTGCTTGGTGCAGTGCCCGCACGCCGGCCGCGTCTCCTGGCACTTGATCCGCCGCCGCTTGCAGTTGAAGCACCCGCGTCGGCTCTTGGTGTGCCCGCGCCGCTCCATCCGTGGCTTGCTGATCGCCCCGGAGTGCGGACCGCCTCGCGGCGGGCTGCCGCTAGAACTGCTGCCCGCTCGGCCGCCACCACCACCACTGCCAAGGTTACCATACTGGTGATACCCCCCACCATAGCCAGGCTGGGATGTCGCGGGCGACAGCTGTTGCTGTTGCCCCTGCTGTCGCGGAGCCAACTGGTGCTGCGGATACGACGGCTGCGGCGCGAGCGCTTGCATTGACGCGTCGGGGTAAACGGACGGGGACGTGACATCGAGAAGCGGGCCGCCGCTAGAGCTGGTGCTTTCTTCCCCGGCGAAATAGTCCAGGTCGATATCCTGCTGGTCCTGGAGGAAGCTCGCGTAGTCCAGCTCGCTGTCGGCCGGGTCGAGCGAGAGGAGCGGTTGGTTGTGCCCGTGGCTGTAGCCCCCGCCGAGGCCGCTGTTGGGGAGGGCTTGCATGGTTGTACTCGTGGTTGGTACTGGTGGTTGTTACTCGGTGGTTGTTGCTATGTCGGTGATCGTTGGGTTGGCGGTGTAATGCAGTGCTTAATCTTCGCCGCGCGATTCCGAGATGATTCCGCCTGCCGGAGCTAGTGATTTCTCGACTCCGCAGTGTTGTTGTTGTTCTAATTGCCAACAAAATTGTGTCTAACGTTTAAGGTTAAACGTCAAACTCAACAGGGGCGCCGACGGCATTTACACAGTCCACGGCCGAAATATTCCGCAGCGGTCACGTCCCGTCCAAGTGCAACGCGATTTCGGGCAGCGGAAAGTCCACAGCACGTTCCCGCAAATGCCAAGCAGCCCCGCGCCGCGCCTCGTTCGTCTGATGAATGAGAATGGGGCAGTGCCTGCCGGGCGGGCAACCTACCCTGTTCCCGGAGTGTAGTGTATGTCGTTTGCCCGGGCCGTGAATTGAAGCTTTTTAGTGGAGGAGAACCGGATGTCGATTCTCGACTTTTGACTTTTTTCCCTTTCTCTCTCTCTCCTGCACATCTGGTTCGTTCGTTCGTCTCGTTCGTCGAGGGTAAGAAAGAAAGAAGGAGAGACCCAAAAAAAAAAAAAAAAAAAAGTTAGATGACGTCTTGGTCCCCCTGATGAGCCCCGAACCCGGGGGGCGGCCCCAATCTCCGTCGTTTCGGGGCTCCCGTAGGGGACTCGCTACACTATTCGTACATAATAGTACCGTGACCGCAGCAGCCGCAGAGAGGGTACGTTGAATTTCACACTCTCGAGGCTCAAGCGCAACGTGCTACGTTAACTATTTCCATTTCGGGACGCCGAAGCCACGGCACACATGGAATGGGCGAGGTGGGGTGGAATATTATGGGGTACAGACTGGACTTGACCAGTGAGAGGAGTGGAACGTCAGGAGAAACTGGAGCGGATGGCTTGGCGAGTCGGGTCATCTTCTCTCCGTTTGCCTGCCTGCCTTGTCACCTTGTGTGGTTGTCTTTATGTGTGAGGTGCTTGTCTTGTCCTGTCTTCCATGTCAGGAATTCTGTCTTTGTCCATCTTGTCTCGTTCTGTGCAAAGTGCGCCGTGTGCATGGCATGGCATGACATGGCGTGGCCGAATGCCGGAGCAGTCAACCCACCCAAACCAACCCTTGAAACGGTGCGGCAAAGCACATGGACGCACACGCGGCCACTCTTGGCCACTTGGCTCGCTTGGCTTTTTGGGAGGGGGGTTCTGCCCTTGAGAAAGCCACGCGGTCAGCCTTATTTGGCCACTCGCGACACTGTGTGGGAGAGATGAACCGGACGACTGGGATGGTGGATGATATCGATGGTTTGGAGAAGACTGGTGTCGTAACCGCTTCCACTACATTACACTATGGTAAGTAAGACCGTATTTGGACCTGTCGGAGTGCGTGTGTGTTTGTCCGTGGTGTGGTGTGGTATTTTGGGTGTTTGGATCGGGCCGTTGGTGGTTTATTGCTTGGTTGCTTGGGTGCTTGGGTGGTCCGGTCCGTTTGGGTGACCGAGGGTGACTTGTTACACAGTATATCCGAGAGTCGGTGTTAGCCATGGTTGACGTTGACGGAGATATGCGTGACGTTGGGACGGTATTTTGTATTTTGGGTGTTTGATGAGAGGTTAGAGTATGATGATTGTGATATCGAGGAGTGTTGGTTTCGAAGCGGGGTGTTATTGCTTGGGCATGGTATGGTCATATGGGTGCAATCGAGTTTGACGTTAGGTTGCTGGCTTTGGAGTTGGCGCTGCTACAACCACTTTGAGTTACGGACATAACAGAAGATGCTGTGACGGATAAGCCAGAGCCGTTATCTCCTCGCCCTCGGGGAATTCAACCAGCAACCAGGACCCTAACCCTCAATATCCCGATATCTCACCATGTTCACAGCCACCTTCAACCGAGATGATAATACCCAACCAACTCACCTGCTGGCTACTGGGTCACTGAAACACCTCGTTAATCACCCATCCTTTGCCCAACTACAGACCCCAAATCCGGGCCCCCTTGAACTCCCCCTCCCACAGCCCTCTGCATCAACACTGTATCCAACCATCGCCCAAACTTGAACCCCGTCCCCTCTAGCAGCGCAACGCGCCGAAACCCCATCTTTTCGTGGAATATTATCGATCCGTTTGCTTCCCTTTCAACTGTCTCTTTCTCATCTCTCTCCTCGCTATCCCCATCCTGATGATATACCTTCCCAACCTGCCCCTGCTCCTGCTGCTTCTGCTGCTGCTGCTTTTGCTGCTGACCCTGATCCTGACCCTGATGATAACCCCCGTGATGAATTCCCCCATCCCCAACAACACCCAAAACCTGCCTCACCCCCAGCCTCTCACACCTCTCAAGCAACACACCCATCAACGCACGTCCTATTCCACGGCCACGTGCGTGGTGCTCCGGAGTCACATAGATAGAGTGTTCGGCTGTGAAGCGGTAGCCTGGACGTGCGCGGAAGGGGGAGGCTGAGGCGTAGCCTAGTATTATCTCTGACGTTTGTTCACTCGTGTTCTTCTGGGCTGGTAGGGGGTTGGGGTTGGGTTTGGTGAGGTCCGGTTGATCCGTAACTGGGTCTGGGTCTGGGTCTGGGTCTGTCTCCATGTCTGTGTCCCTGTCCGGGACAGCCTCGGCGTCCGCCTCGGCAACGGCTACAGCAACGATAAAAGGATACCCTGCCTGTGTGACAGCGGCTATGCGGGCGCGCATGGTGGCTGGGCTGATGGGGTCGAGCTCGTAGGTGGCTGTGGAGGTGAGCACGGCATGGTTGTAGATGGCTGTGATGGCGTTGATGTCGGTGTTTGTGGGTTGGACGTTGCGGATTGTGATGGGGAGGGGGGACATGGTTTCTGGTTTTGTTTTGGTTCTTGTGGAGAGGTGTGCTTTGGGGTGTTGAGTGGGTGGTTAGATGGTGGGGTTGTGATGAAGAAAGGGGAGAGGGGAAGTAGTACTATTGGGATGGAAACCCTAACCCTGACGCCCTGCGGAGGATTGGCTGGAGATAAGGGGAGTCACAGCCATAGGTGAGTCAAGTATGAGAGGGAGAGGAAATTACACGGTGCAATACTAGTACAGTTTGTGCCAATGAGTCTCCTCTCGACAGGCCCGCCCCAGCTCGGGGAGCGTACAACGGGTCGATAACACACACCCTCGCTCACAGTCGCGAGAAACACGCGCTACGTAGCAAAACACCAATGCAAATTTGAAACCCCCTTCTGAGACCCGTACTCATAAATTGCTAGTATCACAAATAAATAGCAAGTCCGGCCCTCCAACGCCTAACCGCTATTAAAAAACCATCTACACAGGACAGGACCAAGCTAAGCTATCCCGACCTTTCACCCCATACCCCTTAACGAGCCGAAGTATTCGTAGCCGCATCCTTCCCCTGGCGCTGCTGCCCCTGCGGAGCCGGCGACTGCTGCTGCGACTGCGGCGCCCTAGGCTGACCGACCGGACCCTGCTGCGCCAGCCTCGGCGCCCCCGACGGACCACTAGCCGGCGGCATCTCGGGCATATACGCCGTCCGATGCTTCCCCCCCGCCATCTCAATCAACACACTCTTGAACCGAAACCGTTCCTCCAACACCTTCATATACGTCGCGTTGATCTTCCCCGCCTCGACACTGGTCAACTCCTTGGGGACTTCGAATTCACCCTTGAGAGTATCCGGGACGCGGGTGGCGCTGCCCAGGCGGAATTGGAAGGTGTTACTTCCTCCCGAGGAGTTGTTACCCGTGGGAGCGTTGGGGCTGGCGGTGAGGTGGGCTTCGAGACGGGATTTGAGGGCGGCGTGGGCCGGGGTTTTGTTGAAGGCGATCAGGTAGTCGATGTCTTTGTCGGCGAAGGTCCAGGCGCGGCGCCAGTGGAGATCGTTGATGCGTTCTTTGGCGATTTCGAGTTGTTCGACGGAGGCGGTGTCGGCGGTGATGGTGGGCCGGGAGGGGGCGGCGGCGGAGGTGGAGGCGTTGCTGTTGCTGTTGCTGTTGCTGCTGGCGCCGCCCGTGGTTTGGGTGCTGGTGGTGCGTGTGGACATGGTGATGGTTTTTTTTTTTATTTGTGTCTTTAATTGGGTGGTTTGCTTGGTCTTTCTCTTTTCAAGATCTCTTCAAGAGTCAAGAATGATGATGATAGTGTGAGAATAGAAAGGCAGTCGACGACTGTGATCGGGCCGAGTGAAGGATCGGTGTTCAGGCACAGCGGCTCTTCTTATATATTTCCCACATCAGTCGATCCATAGCTCGGCGTAATACACGGTACCTACGTAGTATAGTCGAAACTTAGTAGACCACGGCCCGGCCGCGTTACAAGATCCTGCCCGCCAATTATCGGGCGACTCCATTTACCTAAGATGCGGCACAGCCGGACATAGGTGTGAAACAGGCCGCTTCATCTGCGATCCTGCGCACCGCCCGAGGGCCGAATGTCGGGGGGAACATAGCTGATGGAGATTCTATGCAGCAATAGATCCAATGCCAGGTTAACGGTATTCCGCATCAAAAAACTATTCCTCCGCGTTTTTTTTGTCATTTCGTCGACAGTCGATCCGTTAATCACAGTTGAGGTCTTTGGCGTGTAAGCCAGATTCGTCCCAAAGCGGTAACTGAGTTGCCTATTTGGGAAAGTTCATCAACAAACCCCCCCGATGCCCAAACAGAATCCACGGTCCTTATGTTCGCTAGCTAGCTCTTGCACATAGGATTTCTTACATACGCGGAATATACTAGGGACGGAAAAACTATGGGGTCTGTCCTGTCGCAGAAGCAATCGAGTAAGGGCTAGGTCCGCCCTATACAGTCCGGCAGCGGGCCACAGGATTCGGCTTACTAGTTTCACGTCGTCGGAGCGATAGCAAAGTCGGAAAAAATGCACATAACGTCCGATAGACTGGGCTGACGACCCGCTAAGTCCGAGCTTCTCTTAGTCACCCCAACCTATGTCCCCTATCCCTTATCCCCCAATACTCCAATATCCATTACCCAATACGCTGCCCACCCAACCTCAACCTAGCCCACGGCCGAGTCATCCCAATCCTTCCCTCCACAGCATATGGCCACGGCAGAAACGCGAGCTAATGTCTGATACCTCTTTGCTAGTACCGAACCCGGGCCACGATGTCTCGGGAATAGGCCGCGGGCAGATTGGTCATGCTATTTTCTCGTCCCCTTGTCTGGCATCGGGTGGTTTATGGAGTAGATCTGGGCGGGCAAGCGAGCAGGCCATGAGACTAGAGAATCCGGGGTGAGTGCGGCCAGATAGGGGGGGGGAGGTTGGTAGGTAGGATCGAGACATACATATACGGCCGTCTCATTGTACAATCCCCCCTTCTCTTGAATTGATACTGCGCTGCAAAAGACTGTAAGATATCTCGTCTAGATCATCATCGTGTACACACACATACCTCGCTCCCTCTTTCTGTTTCTCTTTCTCGTCCTTCACCTTTCCCTATAGTTATAGTGGCTGTAGACTAGCCCACTTATCTCTCCTTTCCTTTCCCTCCCTTCCTAGTCTTGTCATAGTATCATAGTACCCAGCTCGACACCATGCCTCCGAACAACACCAACCGCCAAGGCAACCAACGCGCCAACGGCACCGCCAGCCGGCAGTCCAACACCAGCCGCAACACCACCACCACCAGCACCCGCACAACAACAAACAACAGCTCCTCCACCTCCACTCACAAAACCCGCAACCCCCACTTCGGTCTCGAGATCGAAATCTTCGTGCGCGTCAAGAGCAATGTCGAGTCCGGCGTCCTCGCTGCCATGCGCGACGGCACCCCCATCAACCCGCTATGGCGCCAGTTCGACTTTAACTTGAATAACTACCGCGATGAGACGACGATTGGGCGCCGTGGGTTGCAGCGGGAGGTGGTGGGGAAGCTGATTAAGAGCATGCTGGATAATGAGCTGGCGGATGATCATGGGTGGATTTGTGAGGCGGATGCTAGTTTGAAGGAGTGGACGCTGCAGGACCCGTCGCCGAGGGCGAATAAGTGGTGTATGTATTTCCCCTTTTCTTTCTCTTTTCTTGTTTCTGTTTCTTTTCTTGTTGTAAGGTGCTGGGAGGTGCTGGGGTGTGTGTTGCTGGATAGGGGGGCTTGACTAAACAACGGACAACTGATAACTGACAACAACAGGGGGCATCGAAATCATCTCACCGGCCCTCGCGGCCAACAGCGACTGGCAAGACCAAATCAAGCGCGTCTTCAGCGCCGTCACCGCCACCTTCGAGCTACGCACCGCCGAAGTCTGCGCCTGCCACGTCCACGTCTCCCCCGGCCCCAACAAAAAAGCCGACTACACCATGGACCAAATGCTGCAAATCATCAAAGGCGCCTACTTCTTCGAAGAAGGCTTCCGCGGGCTCCTCCCCCAAGAACGCCGCGTCAACCGCTACGCCCTGCCCAACTACGAATACTACGGCCGCGACGAGTACCGCTCCGTGCCCTCCAACGGCTGGGCGCCCGTCTTCAAAAAGATCGACGCCCTCAAAAGACTCAACACCACCTCCGCCGTCGCCAAGCGCATGACCGTCGCCAAGGAACACCTCCCCGTCGACGACGACGACCGCTACACCCGCTACACCTCCTCCAACCTCGGCGCCTACCTCCGCCACCACACCATCGAATTGCGTCGCCAGGCCGGTGTCGCGTCGGCCCGTACCGCTATTCGTCGCGTGTTGTTGGCGCTGACCCTGCACACGGCGTCGTTGAAGTTTGACTTTGAGAAGGCGGGCAGGGCCCAGGGGAGACGGTACCTCAACACGGAGGATTTGATTCCGATTTTGTTTACGTCGCTGAATAATGATCTGCCGAAGAAGGCGTATGATGGGGCCGCGTTTAAGACGTGGATGGAGGACTGTGAGAAGAATTATCGCCGGGAGAGCATGAACTTCACTATCTTTGATGAAGTCGAGGTCAATGATCGTGAGCATAGTTATCACGTCCGCGGCAAGGCTTATGTAAGTCCCTCTTCCTCTTCTTACTCCCTCTTCTCCCCCCCTAACTTCTCCCCCCTAACTTCTCCCCCTCCCCCCCCCTTTTCTCCTCCCGCCGCTAATGGTACATCCCCACAGCCCCCCGGCGCCGACGGCCCCGGCGTCTCCACCGAACGCCGGCGCGCATCCGGCGCCACCCTAGTCGCCCCGCGCCCGCCATCCCGCGCCACAGCCTCCGGCGCCACCATCATCCAACGAGTCCCCGCCTCCTCTCTCTCCAGCAACAGTCCGCGGGTGATCACCGTCGAACAACCGGGGCAGCCGACTGTGCACTACCCCACGCCGCTGCCGATTCGGGCGCCGGTGGTGAGTGTTGGTGGGCCGGCGAGGACTACGGGGGTTTCGTCGTCGGGGGATAGTTATTATTATACTGTTGAGAGGCGGTAAGGGATTGCTTTTCTCTTATTTTGCTTGGTCCTGCGGTTTGGTTGGCGTTGGATGGGGATTAGGAGCGTTTTTGCTTTTTGTTTTTGGGAGAGACTGTACTCGAGGACGTGAGGTACATTAGGTAGCATATAGCATAGCATAGCAGAGCAAGCCGGGGGGAGTCTGACTGTGGCGGAAAGGGTCAGGGTTTTGGATAGCAGTTGGATTACCATGAGCAGAAACGTGCAGGGCGGGCCTTGCGCGGTTGTCTGAGAAGAATATATTCCATTCATACTTACCTTCCTCTGCGTGCTCTGGCCTCGCATGGAGGCGGTGTTGGGCTGTGGTTTTAGTCGGCTGTCGTATGGCGTTAGGATATCCTCAAGAGTTAAATCGGTGGATTACTTTTTTCTGTCCCGGCCACGTTGTGTGTGCGGAGCTTGGACAAGGTGGGTGCAGTACCTACCGCGGGTCCCAGGAGATATAGTACGTGATTCAGGAGGACCGAGGTTGCAATATGTTCCCAGAAACGAGCTTTGGTATCTGAGAGAGCGCCAAGGAGATCGAGGATGAGATCGATCTCCTTGGGACAAACCCCTCAAACCTTAATAAACACAGGGTAGGACCCTGCACCTGAAACCCGTTTCCGTCTGATTTCGTCAAGAACTCAACTACGAGCCCGCTGCGGCTACTATCAGGCATATTTAGTAGTAGGGCTCTGTAAATGGTGGTTACAACGATCGAGTCTTGCCGTTGTGCGTGTTGGTGGGGTGGCAAGATGATATGCTGTTGATCCAATGCGTGACGATTTCGGTGTATACCAACCACAGCGAGGTAAGGGCAGGACGGTGAACGCAAGAAACGGTAGAAATCCCGGGAAAGGGGGATTGACGAGTAACATCCGATTTGGCAATATCAAGTCGAAGGAATAGTCGACAATGTGCGTTGACGCGGACACGTCTTGGACTCGACGAACTTCAACTGTAGGTATCTCATAAACCTTCTCGCCTCTCCAGCACTTGTCCTCGCCACCGGACTTCTCCGAGCCAGTCGGCAGAACCGCTGCAAGGGACGAACAACTTGCCGAAAGATCCTCAGGCACCGATGTCAGCCAGCATATCGACAGCGGACGCTGAGTCGAGCCACGGAATCAAAACACGCATCACTAACGCACACTCGTCCGATACACAGAACAATGATCAGCATCCTGTCTCTCCACGAGCGATCCAATCGACAGTGAACGCATCATCAACATGACTAGCAGCCCCCCAGTGGCCCCCAACTCTGATTTCCCCATCTCCAAAAATCCTGTAATTTTGCGTCACGCCAACTCCCGAGACCCGCCGTTTCACGAGGCAAAGGCACATGGCGGCTGACTATTGGCGTGATGGGCAAAAGAGCATGTGTGCTCTGCTGAAAAAACCGGGCGGTGGGTGAGGGAAAATTCGGGAAGCCACCGCTATCAAGCAAACACCCCGTCGGAAATCGCCCGATGTCAAACAGGTTGGCCTCGTCATCATGCCTGTCAAAGCGCCCGAAGTGGGCCAGGAAGGAAAAAAGAGAAGCCAAAATGGAAAAAAAGAACAAAGAGGCGGCAAACTCTGCAAGCAAACAAGTGGAATCTACATAGTGATGGGGACACGCACACACACACAAAAAAAAAAAAAGAGGAGCTTCGCAAGCAAAAAACAAGATGCGAGAACCCGAACCTGCACTTGCAAGTGCGACCGAGCAAACCTGTTTTTTTTTTTCCTTCTCCTCAGCTCCTGAGAGAAGGGGGAGTGGGGGGCTCAAGGGGCCATGGCTTGGATGGTGAGGAAACGGGGGACCGTACCTGCATATCGGAGCTGTTTACGATTGGCCAGGGACCTGACAAGCGGGTAAATGTGGAGCCAAGCTGTCGCAAGCCCGCCACGTTGGTTCGTCCGATGTCCCCACATTGAAGGGGTCGAGCGGTAAGTGGTGCAGCGCCTGTGTCAGACCATTTGTTTCGAAGGTTGTTCCCCTCCTTGCCCTGCCTTGCCTGCCTGAACCATGGAACTTTCTTGCTTGCCCCTCCATCTCCGGTCGTTGTGGTGGGCGGGCCCGGTGGGCCGTGAGGGATCTTGCTTTTCCTCGCACGTGTCTCCTTGGGAGACGCCAGACGGCAGACTGAGAAAGTTGCGAGGGAGCGATTGGGATCGTGGGAAGGGAGTTTGCCGAGGAAAGCAAACACGGCCACAGTGAAGTGTCCGGTCGAGGATAATGACCAGATCAGAAAATATTGGAAATGGTATAGGACCATGAAGGAGGCCCCTGCTCTGCTGGAACCTCCTTATCGCGACCTCGCGCGGCGTTATTCCCGCCTTTAGAGGAGCCGTTGAGGTGACAGGCTTGGAATCATGTCCGGACCTTGACAGGCTTGGCCATGGCCACCTGAAGCTGGGCTTCGCCCTTCCCCTCCCCTTGCCGCTCTGCCTCTCTCGGGACCGTCGTGACGAAGAGAGGCACAGTTTACTGTGTAACAGACTATTGACGGTGCTTCGCCGGGAAGCTGCATTGAAAATTGCGTCAATGTTCCTTGTGTTTCCTAGCTGGAGAGGGACCAAAGAGACGGAGATGTTTTTCTTTTACACAACACAGTTTGTGCGAGTGGTTTGTCCCGAGACCTCGGCCCAGGCACCCGAGTTCATTTGTTCGGGCTCATTTGTTCCTGACATTCCAGGACGGGAGCCATGTTGTGCGAGGAGGTGGTGATGATGGTGGGTGACCCCACTGCACCCCTGCGGGCATTTTTCGTCCCACCATGGTCCAGAACAGCGCCGTTGAATGCCCCCCTGGCGATCAGCGCCGCCCAGACCCGCCAATCCGCCCTTCCCGGGTTCTTTCTTTCCACGATCGGATCACCGTTCTGGACCCAGGCACACATCCACACTCCTTCACTTATAAACTTCCGCATCCGTTCCTTCCTCCTCCGGTCTTGGCTTTTGTTTCTCTCACCCACGCTCTCGGGCTCTTCCATTCCTTCCTTTTGGGCAGCTTGTGTTTTTGTTTTCCTCCACTGGTTGCGAGTTTCAACCGTTGAACGACACCCATTTCCTCGCGCCCTCTGGTCACGGCTGCAATCGTTGTTCGTCTTTGAACATTCAAATTCGCATCATTCATTCTGCGTCTTTGACAGACAGCGACTCGGCTCTCCAAATTTAAACTTTCATTCACCCAGCGAGGCCTGGAACAATCGGCTTGTATCCGACGATACGCCCTTTCATTCTTTGTGTGATCCGTTCGTGCTGGCACTCCTTGAAACAGCATCTACAACAACAATCGCGGTCCGGTGATACCGACAAAACAAACCTGCGGTTTCGAAACAGACTCTCGAATCGTCACTCCCTTCACGAGTTCCTAGAAAGAACCTCACCCCTTTGACCGACTACCGCCATCATACGATGTACACCAAGACTCTCACCGCGCTACTTGCGGCGGGCCTGGTTGGCCAGGCCATTGCTAGCCCCAGACACGGACTTCAACATGCCCACCAGAAGAAGGCTCTTTACACCGACCTGACGACCGTCACGGACTGGGTCACTGTTACCGTGTATGAGGGCGACGAAGCTACCACGAGCGTCCACAAGGCCTTCTACACCAACTCAGCCCATAGGGTCAAGCATCACTCTAGCTCGGCGAGCACCTCCAAAACCTCGACTTTGGCTCATGCGGCGGCGACTCCGTCAACCACCCTTGTCGCCCAGCCGTCCTCGACTGCTGTTGGCGTCAAGCACGTTAACCCGCCCTCTCCCAAGCCCCCCGCGCCTTCGAGTACTAGGTCGGTGACTCCTGTCGTCAACTCTCCTCCTCCAGTCGTCGAGGCCCCGGTGCCAACCCCCCAGCCTTCATCTTCCGCTGCTCCTGCCCCTACGCCTACGCCTTCTCCCACCACGAAGGCTGCTTCGCCCCCTGCTCCTGTCGACACCAACAACAACAGCGCCGGAAGCGGCAGCGGCAGCACCGGTGGTGCTAAGCGCGGCCTTGTGTACAACAATGCCCAGTTGCTCCCGTCTTTGCTGAACGCGGGCAGCAAGGTCTCGTGGCTTTACAACTGGGGCCAGTACGACGACTCGGGCACTGGCCTGGAGTTCTGCCCTATGCTCTGGGGCCTGAAGCTTGATTTCGCCGAGACTTGGCCCGCCAACGCCCAGAAAGCCATCGATGCGGGTTCCAAGTGCCTGCTCAGCTTCAACGAGCCGGAGCTCGACAGCCAGGCACACATGTCGCCGGAGCTGAGCGCTCAAAAGCACATTGAGCTGCTGAACCCTTTCTCGGGCCAGGCTCGCATCGGCTCGCCGGCCATCACCAATGGCGGCGGCCCCGATCATGGCATTGGCTGGCTTCAGCGCTACTTCACTGCCTGCGCCGGCGGCTGTGCCGTGGATTTCATCAACGTCCATATCTACGGTCTCGATACCAACGCCTTCCTGTCCCACCTCCTCGACGTGCACGGCGCATTCAATAAGCCCGTCTGGGTCACCGAGTTTGCCTTTGACGGCTCGGACGACCAGATCAACTCCCAGCTTGAGACGGTCATCGATCAAATCGAGACTAACTCAACCTTCTCCTTTGTTGAGCGCTACTCGTATTTCATGGTCCAGGACGGCACCATGGTCCACGGCAATACCCCGAGCACCTACGGCAATACCTTTGCGTACGGCGCTTAAAGCGGGTGCTTAGCCGCCCTCTTCTTTTCGTTTCATGGCAACCTGTTCATGCTCTATGTTTGCAATGGGTACTTGCAAGCCTTTTGGTCTGCTATTTTTGAGCACACCGAAAGCCAAGGGCGCTTTCCAGCCACCATCTTCACTTCACTTCACTTGTACATAACCTTTTCTCCTTCTTTTCTATCGCTTGCCCTCCTCTCCTTTGAGACAGTGAGGCCACTTTTCCGTGTTCTTTTGCCTTTTCTTTTTCGATTCTTGTACTGATTTTCCGCTGTCGGATGAATGTATTCAGTCCAAGGAATGGTGCGTTTGATACCGGCGCTAGCAAACGGACCAATACTACGGCCGGTGGGCGCATATGGATGGACATGGAACAGGGTACATAACGTTCAAGCTAGAACGGGTCTGGGTTAGATCACGAGATTATGAACCGGGTATCAAAACGGTGGCTTCGCTGCTTTTCCCTGCTTTGCTTCGAAAGACAAAGAATATCGTGGTTCATGGGAGTCCGACCTGGAGCTATCTGTGATCTGACAAAGACCATGTACTTGCTTTGTGGCATCCCAATCCCGAAGTTGCTCTGCCATGTTTATCATTGTACCGTATCGGGTCTTTGTTCTCGAGAAACCATCGACGCAAGGGATAATGTAAAAATATGTTACCGCCGGGCCGCCTCATCGTCATTGTTCCCCATTTCTAGAAACAAACTCGCTTCATCAACACACCGAACTGGACTCAAACTTCGGTGTCGGGACATGTAAGGTGTTTGTCTTTTCCCACCTTGGGTTGGAAACGAGACAAAAGTAAAAAAACCGCCTTACTCAGCCGACTGCTGCTGCTAAGTTAGCAGTGAGGGTTGTATTGTTGACATTAGGCCGTAGAAACAGAAAAGAACTAGGGGAGAGTGTAGGGTGTAGGAGGGTGGCTACAGACCCAGCCTGGCTTGCTGTTCAAGATAGGTAGGGAAGGTCGAAAGGTTGTTTCTTGTGTTGGGGAGAGAAAGAACAAGAGACGATTCTTCTGGAACAGCCTATGTAGACCCTGGCCATACAGTATATTACGTTCGGATGTTCGGCAGCCAACCTAGGGTCAGTGGGTGGGTGAGGGGGGTTGTAAAAGGGCCTGTGAGTCTCTGGTCCTCTGTAGATATATGGGTTGTTCTTGGGGAACTAACTCGGTAGTGGTATTGAAAACATTCTCCTGAGACTACTGAGTACATGTGAAAAAGAGTTGGTAGGTACGAACGTGGCATTCTACGATGGGGGGGCTGGTGTTTCTGGGCAGGTTGGGCAGTGTCTCCCCGTGTTGATAATACGCTTGTTGGTATCTGGTCTCACGGGGCGTATATGGTGTTTGGGGGAGGTTGAACATCAAGAGAGGATGTTGATATACTCACAGAAACGTGTCGAGCAGAGTTAAGACACCATAAATCCTCCACGGTGGCGGCAGAGCCATGGAGCCTAGCTTAATCCCCCCGTCTCACCACTTAGACTAAAGGACTTCAGGATATACTGCTCTGCTTAGAATTCAACTGTGGCATTTTGTTACTCGAGCATGGCAGGTATCACTCAGTTCTATCTGTGTTGTTCCGGACAGATTATATACCATTGTAAGGACTCGGAAAAGAGAAGTTCAATAGTGTGTTCCAACACTTGCTAGATGGTAGGGTAAGGCAGGATTCTTTATTTATTGTAGGGAAGGAGAAGGGGCGTCGAGGGGTAGAGGTTCCAGGCCTTTTGGGGGTATGTTAGGTAGTTGATAATCCGCAGTTGAAGACCTTGAAGTAATTATTTGGTATCTTGGGCATTATATTCTTGTCTCATAGAGAAACAATCCGTACCACATTTCCGAAGCTGAGACGATGATGTTTATCTCCGAAATTTTGAAAACCAACTAGCCCGTCTACCCTCCATTCATCTTTCATCCGTCATCCCCGATTAGCAACATGTCCTAACACCATTGTTGAGCCCAGCTTGGTTCTTTCAGACACATGATCGACTCGAGAGCCTCCAAGGTCTCGCCAGTCGCCTACAGTTACTCAAAAAGTATACCAGTCACAGCACATCCAGCACCCCAACCAGAAGAAACATATCCCGAACCATCGGCTGCATCTCGACTCGGCGGTGTAAACTCGCAAGGCTGGCTCTGTTTGTCGTCAAAGTTCCCGACCCCTTTTCAACAACATTCATAGAGGCACGTCCGGGTAGAGGTTGCAAAGCATGATGCAAGGCATGTGCAGGAGGTATGCGATCCATCACATCGGCCCCCACGGAATCGATACAGTCCATCCGCCCTCGGGCGGAGCGGTGTACATAGTAATCGAGGCTCCCCCACCTCCCACCGCATCTGTGGATATGTAGGTTAGAGAACGTGGGTGATGATGGAACGTAGTGTGCATAGTAGTGGTGTAAGAACGGGACAACACCATGCGGCGTGCAGCGCTTCCTGTGGCTCCTCGACCTCGCGTCAAGGGGGGGGAAGGGGCTGGAAATAAATCTAGCTAACTATCCCATAGCAGAAGTTCCGGCATGAGAATCCCCCAGACGAGGTGTGTGTGAACACCGAATACTACTTTGATGCCGGGACAAGAGACGCATCAACATGCTTTTTTTTCGGCCAGTGTTACCCGTTCGGGAAACGGAACTTTGGGAGGCATGTTTTCGAATTGACCAGCGGTTATTGTACCTAGTGTAAACGGAGACAAAGCACCATCAAAACAATCACCCTCAAATACATACCTTCCAAACTCCCAGGTGTTTACATAGCCCCCATCCTCCGTTCGATGCAAAGCAAACAACACCCAGGCGGTCCTATCCCGGGCGACGACCAGACGAGACAAAAGGTCGCAACCGAACTTCCCAAAATGGACATTCACGTCAAGTCGTCAACGCACGTTTGCAGGCAGGCCCCCCCTGCAAAACACCACAACACCCTTGTCATCCACTAAAAAAACATCCTAGCGTCGATCAGTTCCAGGGGGGTGATCTGTTTGAGAAGCTTCCGGCGGGGCTCGCCCGCTTCTTGGCATCATCCCCATGTTCCGGGATAGAGAAGTTTCTCAAATTCCAGTTTGTTCCCTCACAACCGCGTGTTGCCTGCTGTGCCGCAGTGGGCCTCAGCGCAGTTTCCGGACCTGGAAGTACCTATGGAAGGGAGGTATATGAGCTGACCTATAACAGGATTGATACCAAGACCCGGGTTCATCGACATTATGCAATGGAGAGCAGGAAGGAACAGACCGCCTATAACACTTTTTCTATAAGACCAGCCTGTGCTTTGCCCTGAAAGACGCCGAGCCATCAATCCGTACCTGACAATCTTGGTTTCATGGACAGTTTCATGGTGAGGTTCAGTGTAGAATGGCTTTTGTTACTTGGGCGAAGCTTGTGAGCTTCTTTTGTTGTTTTTGCAGTTCGGTTTGGAGATTTGTGCGAAATAATCCGATTCTGATAGATCACATATGCCATCGCACACGGGTATCTTGGGGATATACAACGAATGTGGATAACGTGAATACAGATGTAGTAAACAGGTCTCGCATCAGTGTGTCGTTCTCTTAGGGCCGACCGGTTCTCTCGAAGCATCGTTTTCAAGTACGACAGACGGCTGAATGGTACGCGACTGTTTGCATGTTGTTTGTATATCCCACACGGACTACGTTCTTCTGCTGCCATATGTGACTTTCACATTCCTCTTTGCATCCCACCCGTCAAGCAAACGCCACAGAAACACCATCCTCAGCACGACTCCAAACTGAAAGTAGACCTAGTCCAACCAGGACGAGTCGAGTCAAACCGAATAAACCCGCCGACCCATCATGTAATATCTGATCCATGAACGTAACTCATAACTATAAAAAGAAATATGTCAGACCTGGGAGTCCCATGCAACTCCTCCATAACCCAAATATCCGTACTACTTCCTATTCGACAGACCCCAACCCCCCATCTTAAGACTTAACGCCAACCAACTGCATTAAACAGATGTGTTCATCCGTCGATCCGCCAAAGATATTATCTCCCTGCCTCGTTCCCCTCTCCCCGCTATTATTAGAGAGGATGGAGTGTTATTTGGGTAGGGCCATGAAATAATGCGAGGGTAATATGTACGGGTATCTCAAAATGTGTCGTGAATGTGAAATGTAAAAGTAAAGTTGTGACTGTGAAATCGGGGTGGGCGTAAACGTGAAGTAGGTGGCCTCGAGGGTGAATATAGAATTAGAAGAAACAAGGGGCACGCTTTGGGGAAGGAGTAGAATCACTCCCTTCCAGCACTTGCGTTCGATGTCGGTCCGCCTTCATTATCATCACCAGTCCTGGTACCGGGACCGGACTGGTTCCCCCCCACCGTCGGATTTGTAGCCTGGTTGTGGCTGCTCTGTCTGTTATCACGCGGCTCCAGCCCCCGAGCCCCTACTCCCAATCTTCCAAGGCCCATCAAAAAGCTCGACCTCCGACTCCTGCGCCGTTCTTGTTGCGGTTGCTGCACCGATACCGCAGCACGCGCCCCAGCACCGTGTTGGGTTCCACCCCCCTGCGACGGGGCCGTTAGGCTAAAACTTATTCGATGTCGCCGGATAAACTCCCTCCGTTCTTCACTGGTGGTTGCGTTCCAGAAATCAGGACGGTACATCGGGTCGAGGTTGAGGCGGCTGTTTTTGGAGTTCAAAGTCAAAATGTGTTTGGTGGACGATGAAGAGGTAGGGGGAAGGAAAACTTGGGGAAGAGAAAGAAATCAGAGTGGGTCGAGGGGTTCAAAGCTTACCAGAGTGGACAAGTCCCTGAAACGTTGACAAGCCACGGGTCGATACATGGAGGGTGGAATTTGTGGTTGCAAGGCAGGACGCGGACATCCTCGCCAACTGTAAAATCTTCGGTGCAAATGGAGCACCCGATATGGTCTTCATCTCCCACGGGTGCCTCAGTGGCCCTGGCATCATTCTGAATGCCCTCGGACGTCTCCGTGCTCTTAGGCGGGCCGCTGTCGGTGGTCTTGTTGGTCACATCCTTTTTCTGCTTGTCCTCTTCGCCCTCCTCTGGAACCGCTCCCGACATGGGTGCGGTGATATGCCGTACTGGTGGCGTTTGTGGCTCTTCTGGGATGGCCGACAAACGGGTTCCCTGTGCCGGATCAGAATTCGACGGCGTATTGGAGTTTTGGGACTCGAGTTCCAGCGACGGATCGGGTTTCGCCGAGTCCGGATCTCCAAATTTGATAATAGGTAATGTCTCCAGGACTGCCCGTGCTAGTCCCCTCGCTCGGCTTTGTGCCGGCCGGCCCCCGAAGCCCAGCCGTGGGCCGTACCGTTCGGGATACCGATGCGCGCGAACTGCGCCTGTCCCGATAATAACCAAAAACAATAGCGTGGTGAGGCCGGTGATGGTGTACAGGGTACTCATCGCCGCCGCAGAGTTTCCGCCACCCTTCGGGTAATCTGGCGTTGTCGTGGTCGTATTCTCTCCGCCACTGATGGTAGCGCGTAGAGTTCCCCCGGCCCGGACGGTGTTGTTCATGGTCTCCCGAGCTTCGTTAGCGTCGCCCATGGTGTAAAGGGTGTTGTAGATTAGATCGTTGCCGTCGAGACTGCACGCATTTCCCGCAACACTGTAAAGTAATATCGCTTTAGGTTGATCCCCCATGACTTCGTTGACCATCTCCGTCGCATTCTCGCCATCGCAGGAAAAGAATACGATGGTCTCCTCACGCTTGAGGCTGACATCTGCCAGGACCTCGGCCGGGACTAGGGTCCCACGGATCCATATTTGCTATCAAAAGAGTGTCAATAAGAAAGCCCTCGACAAGTACGCACCACATAGGAATTCGAAGGTATCTCACGTTTCGGTCATGGTCACTCTGGTTCAGTCCCGCGTGCCTGGTTAGCGGGTACACGCTGTATGATAACAACTCTAGTCCTTCTGTCTCTGGGGTGTCGAGCTGCAGGTGCATGAGCGAGGCAAGCTCTAGATCGGTTGCGTCGGGGACTGAAGCTATCCTCGCGCTCTCTGCATCCGCCTTGGGAAGTATGGAGAGGCATGACAGGCTAGAGAGGACGAGGAGCCGTCGAAGAGAAAGCGCCATCTTTCAACAACGCTTCCAGCGCCGGCGACGGTCGACGTCGCTGCAGGCGTGGGAGGCGGTGATGGTTTTGGTTGTCGGTGGGCCCGGCACATACAGGCCCGGGGAACGTAGTCGCTTCCGGCGGAAGTGGGTGGGAGGAGACGGGTACGAGGAGAAGTCGGAAATGACGGATAGGAACAGAAAACGTTGTTTGGCTCTACTGGGTAGCTGGGCACCGAGCCGGGCCTCACATCTCGCATCGCGTGCCGGGCACGTCTCTATGCCGGGGTTGAAAGATGCGTCAAGGGTTGTCGTCCTTGGTTTCTTCGGTTCCTGATCGCCGGTGAGGTTGTATGCGAAGAGAAACCATGCGCGGATGGTCACTCGGGTAGCACAAAAATATTTATTACATAGTAGGCCGGGAGATGAGAAACTAGAGAACCGGCACACGTTTCTTGGGGACCGCTCCCTCTGCGAAAATGAGGAACTGCGAAGTCCAACCGCTGTACCCGCACGGTGTTCGGGTGCGTAGAGCCAGCCGGGGTGGAGAAATCACGGTCTTTTTCCACGCGGCTTTTCGCGAAGAATGTTTCCATCCGGTAGTTGGAGGTCCGGAGCCTCGAGCATGAGAAGAAGTAGGATGTGTGGGGAAAGCTCGAGAGCTCCGAGGAGCATGAGATGCTCTGCATGGTGGGCTGATAACACCGGAACCTGGGTACCCATGCTGCTGTGGATCAGTGGACAGTGCGTTTTAGAACTGTTTTGGCTTCAAGCTGTCCGGCAAGCTCCGGTCCAAGCGCTGAGTCGGCTTGCGATTGCATCATGGTAGGAGCACGTGCCAGCGCTCTCCAAGGAGCTTAGTCCCTCACTCTTGACTTGGCATCATCACCATTGACAACGAGACTGTCAACCGTTAAAAAGGTATGAATAAACGGGCCACCTCACCATATCGTCATTTTTATTGTAACCCGGACTCCAAAGTAAAACCCTAAAGGCGTTTGTATTCAAGTGTTACGTTCCAACGCAGCCTTGTGGTTCACCATGTTACCGAATCCCCGGGGTCAGGTACGTACCCGCGTCCGGCCTGTAGTGGGGGACCTGCGTCTTCAAGCATTTCTGTCCCGCATTCCACCTATTCCTCAGGCCATGCGATGTCCCACAAGCTCTCACAACTTTGTCGGAGAATTGAATCGGAGAGCGGGAAGTTTCCGGGCTAAGATCAATATTTTTGACAGCCTTGTACGCCCATCCATGCTGTGCTAGTCAACCCAAAACAAAACTGTGTGTCCAAACCCCGCCATTTGAGCCGTTTGATAGGAAGGAAAAAAGCACTGTGGCCCAGACGCCGAGAGATGCCGGTCTCCTGCAAATGTTTTTGGCCGCTCTTTATACTTTTTTTCTTTTTTTCATTCTCTATCTTCCCCACTCCTCACTCTAACTAAGTGTTTGTTTTTTATTCTTTTCTCTGAGCTTTTTCCTGGATTTCCTGCCCCCTTTCTGTCCGGTACGCGGCAGCGAAACCAAGCACAGTCCGTGATCAACTCATCCACGTCTCAGCCACTTGATTTCCGTTACCGGATTCCTGGCACGAGGCTAGAATCAGGTCCGAAAGCGGCGATAGGTTATGCGCCTGTGATATTAAACTAATAGCACAAGATAACCACAAACGAACCTGCATGTTTTTGGATTGCTGCAAACTGTCAAAGTCGTCCCGAACTTGCAGTTCGATGTCAAAGCCCAAACACCCGATGAGCTGGGTGGCTGGTCAGGCAGGCCGGGGCCGAGTGGCATTGCGACGTCAACGAAGTGGTGGTGGTCACGGACATCACACACGTTCCAGCTTTACCCTTGAACCCTTGCCGCACCACCGGAGCCTGGCACCGACGATGCGGCTAAAACCTCCGGCACCCTTGCTTTGACATCCTGCAGGGTGGGTGCTGATTACATACGCACTTGGCAATGGGCGTAACATCTTGACGTTCAATATCGCAGGAGCCACTGCATTCACTTTAGTTGATATGTTTGCGCAAAAAACGGGCGATGGTGGTGAGCTTTTGCCGTTTCACTGCGTTTTTCGCTCATCTTGATTTGGATACAAAGCGGGCGACATATGTAAGCTACAAAAGCTCCAGGGTTGTCGCCGGCCGGCCCGGCTCGACACCCAAGTTCTCCATCCCTCAAATCTCCTCCAAATCTTCAAGGTCATTGAGTGCCGGAAAATCTCCCACCTCTACCCGCTCCGGCCGAACAAACAAGCCTCGCTTGAGCTCCGACTCCTCACCCCAGTACCGCGTACCCCCGATGCTCCCATCGTTCTTACCCACCGGCTCATCAAGCTGAACACCAACCCAGGCACCCGTGCCCGGGATTTCCTTCACGTCGCCGACGTACATGATCTCTCCGCGTCTGGAGTCGTCCTCGCCAATCTTGCATCGCTTCCCGGCCGCGATACCCCGTGACTTAATCTCTTCGGCGATGGCGTCGATCTTGGCTTGCTCGTGGGTCGGCGCGTTGGGGTCAAAGCGTCCGAGTTTCTCGGCCTTTTTCCATGCGAGAACGGAGTCGCTCTTCTTCTCGTACTCCTCTTCCGGTAGCACATACTTTTCTACGTCGGCTGCGGCGGCGAAGTTTGGCCTCGCCGAAACCGGCCGCGTGTCGGCAACCTGGTGAACGTAATTAGCGGGCTGCGTGTGAGTGAGAAAATCGTGCAAGGGAGAGTGGGTTGGGAATAGAGGCGCAGAGAGATGTAACGCCCTGCTAGTATTGCATCACACCGAGAGAACCGGGCGCTTGGGAATGAAATAAAAACGAGGACGGGGCTTCACGCACTAGTAACTCAGCATAGGGGGCGAGCGGATACTGCTGCAAGTAAACGGACTCTTCGTCCGCCGCCTCAATCGGGATCTTTTCGCCCGAGGATGTTTTGAGGGATATCTTCTGAGACGAAGGAGGAATGCCGGTAATATGTTCGAGTTTGGTCTTGAGTTGCCAGATGGACCATGATGGGGTGATGCGCCTCTCGGACGCGGCGTAGTCGGAGACGACGTAAAGTGGGACGTCCGCCATGGCCAAGGTTTGAGGTTTTACGGCTCAAATTCTTAAACCTCGAGTTTGTTTTCAGCTTCTTATCGCTGGTGTTGTGTTGAATGCTGCTACTCTTGTCGCCGTTGTTGTGATGTTTATTCGAAATGAGAGCGGGACTGGGCCGAGTTGGGAATGAGAGAAGCCAGTCGAAGCTCACAGATGCTTGCCACGTTGAACGTCGCCTTAGAATTCTAGGAACTCGAGGACAAATCCATTCAAACCAACTGAGTAAACAAAGTAGGTGCTGACAACACGATTATGGAAATTATCCGAAAATATCTCAAGATTCTTTGACATACACAGAGGTCAGTTGTTGGAAGGGGTCGGACTCGATTTCGTTAGGCGCGCCACACCTTCAACCACAAAAAAGCGGCCCACTGAGGCGCAAGGGAGATTGGACCCATTTTCCATGTGGCTGGTGTGTGGAGCCGCAATGAGACTCATGGTGCTTTCCGTTTCGGGCACTTCATCATGAACTTCTGACCTGCTCGTTCCTTCCTTTTTCATGATTTTGTGTGTTTTGACCGTCCTCTTGTGCGAGAAGCCCTTATTATGCCCACAAATTCTGTCCGATTCCATAAACTCTACTCCAAGTCCCTCCCTTTCGAAACCCAAACTTCTAGCCATCATGACTGGGCAACCTCTACACATTATCTTACGCAGGGCCGCGCCTCGAAGCAAGGAAACGGGGAAACAAACATCAACCCACCTCAAACTCTCCGAACTTCGAAGTTTTCGGGCCCTGTAGCGTTTGAGCCACCTTCCAGCTCCGCCTCATTGGGTATATCTGCCCTCGGCAGCCATCCGTGACAACAATGTGGTCCGACATGAGATCCCGCAGCAAACGGCCCTACAGGATGCGATTGGTGGAGTCGGCACAAGACCACCGGACTCGTTAGCGTTTCTCTCAGCCTCCCGCTTTCGATGTATGTCGATGCCCGAAGCGGAGGGCCCACCGCCAGTCGGTGCGAACCGCCCATGCCCGCCTTGCCCCGTCCGGGTACGGAACGGCCGCGAGATGGATAGTTGCAGCGCAGAACAAGCCATCCCCTCCCCACGCCCAAGCCAGGTGAGAGTGTGCCGCGAAGCCCGCACCCTACGACAGCATGCCATTGTGCCTTTGGACCACTAACGTTGATGGTATCCGTTTTCTTTTGCAGCATCCATCTCTGCCCAAGTCACCGCCATATGCAATTGACCGCCTCGAGCGGCCTGCAGATACAAGGCACGAAGCCCCTCGGGTCGCGGGGGACTTCTGAAGGAAATGGGGAATTTTGTAGTGAAGGGCCGCATCAGTCGCGACGCGGCCTATATGTTGAAGCACGACAGGGACATGGTCTCAACGAAGTGGTGTCGGGCGACACATGCTGTGCATGCTTGCTACCCAAGATCGCGCCGGTGCCGCCTCACCGCCACGTTGGGTTGTTGGACAAGATCCCGTACACTTCATTTGGAGACGGCTACGGCGCGGGCTCTGTGACATGATGGCTGAGTTTCCGTTGATCAGGCCAAAAGGGGGGGGTGGCTTTACACTCCTATGTGTCATGTACATCTCCTGCCACCGGAGAAAACCGAGAACTGAGGATACACAAAGTATCCGCTTTCTTTTTAACGCATTTATTACACGTGGGTTTGAAATCATTTCGCCGGCCTACCACAGCTCAGAGCACTTACACGAATAGTCTAGATCAAATGCGTCGCTGCTAAGGCCGGCGAATTAGCCACAATCACCGAGGGTGGCTTCGAGTCGAGAGTACCCTAGCGCTGGTCACCATCTAATGACGTTAGGATCGCCAAACCACACCTTAGAGCCACGCTAAAACAAACCGAGTTCCAAGGGTTTAAGTTTCCCTGATAGTCTCGCAATTGGAGGCCGAAGAGCGTCTCCCTATATGCGGTTCCCTTCACCGGACTTCACAATGGTCCAATCTGATGAGCGGTTCGTTGTCAACAACGGGGACAATGGAATCGGCTATGCCCGTGTTTCATCCATGGCCCTTTATGATACCAGCGACCGCCGCGCCATATTCGGCAAGTTATTGCCAATGATTGGCCGATTTCCTGTGGCCCCCGCCCGTTCGCGTCTGACATTTGAGCCGTCTTAGGGTTGGAGGCTGGCATCGGCTGCAACACGAACGGCTTCTTGCCGCTTCGCTTCTTGTCCATTTGCCCCTGCGGCCGCTCCCTCTAACGCGTCCCGGAAGTAGTTCTGGAGTCCACAGCTTCGAGAACCCGGAGAGCCGCCGCTGGACAACGCAGCAATCGGCGCGTACCCGTTCCACACGAAAGTGGTCGTTCATTTTTCCGGTCGCCGTGCGGATCCTTCGACGTCGTCGCCCATGCGTGTCTCAAAAGGCGGCAGGCCGTGAGACTGGGATATGTGTCAATTCAGCTGCTTCCCCTGCGTTACATCCAATTGACATGAGCTGTCGTGATGCCGCCACCGATCCGTACTACTATGTCAGTGCAGATGTGTGTCTTAACCGATGACGGATGGGGGACCAGCCGGGGGGGGACAAGATCTCGATTCTTTACTACCTTCCGAACCTGCGGGTTTGTCTGATAACTGTTCAGCGTCACAACAGCCCAAGCTTGCGCAAATTGCAAAGTTCGGGCTTGTGAGTGTGGAGCTCCGCCCCCGCAGACTTCCTCAAGTGCAAACCCGACCCCCCCTCCAAACGGAAAGACGATTCATGATCGCCTTGCCGATACTCCTACCACGCCAACCCTGATCCCGATGCGGGGAAGTAGTCCATGCAAAGTTGACCGCCAGTTTGCTAGCAGAGCAGAGCTGACCCTCGAGGGAACTACCGAGAAGATGACGGAGATTCATCGTTTAGCGCCTCCTTTTTGCGCGGCTTGGCCGACGACAATTCCATTGTTGAGCTGGGCGTTTGGCAGCCCATTGTCGAGGCGAGGATATCCGACAAAGACCGTCTGGTCCGGGGTTAGCTCCGGAGGCGCACAGACTCCGGACGGCGCTCGATGCCCGGGATCTTGCTCCACACTTCTCCGGGAGGCTCTGACCCCGGCTGTTCTGCTTACAATTTGCCTCTGTTGCTTTTCTTGAACTCGCGGGCAAAGGCGGCTGCTTCGATGGATGAGGGGCCGACCGACAGCTGATGCGGCAATGTGACGATACTCGGGCATTCGCCCCCCGGCCGTCCATGCAAGCAAGCAATGCGCCGCCCAAGGTTTGTGGATGGGTCCTTGCCTCCGCAGGACGACAGGGGTTAGCCGTCTTCCGAGAGAAGAGACGCAGGTTCACGGCCCAATTTTGCGCACGGAAGCGCAAGGAAAAAAAAGACGTTCGAGCGACACTCGCAACATCTTCGTCGAACCAGTAACCCAGTAAACCAGTAACGGCATGGGCGCGGAACGCCAGATCGGGTAGGCGATTTGGATCCGAGCCGCCGCGGTGCAGGGTCTGAGATCTCAAACCCCATGTGTTACCCGGGCGAGGGTGCGAGCCAGACAGTGCTTTTTCCTGGGAACGAGACGGTGTAACCATGGAAGCGATGCTCGCCTCCCGAACTCGAGCGACCCTTCCATGCTGCCTGGATTCCGATCAAGGTCATCTTCGGGCACATTTTCCACTCGCGGGCCAAAAAGGCGGCCGTCTCGCTGCTGCAAATGCCCTAATATGGCGAAGCCGCCCATTGTTCGTTCGCCCGGGGGCCGCCGAGACAAGTCGATAACCCACAATCCCGCCACCGAACAGGCGGGGCTCATGAACGATTTTGTCGAACAACTGACGACACACCGGCGACCAAGAACAGGGAGCCAGGGAGACAGGGAAGGTTTTCAAGTGGAATCGGAGGCATGGGCCACTGGTTGGCGCCTTTCAACCGTTCGCAAATCCTCCCCCTCTCCCGCACCACATGCCTCCCCTGTCAAAGGTTTGCCAGGTAGAACAAGTCGCGGGCAGCTTTGTCGTGAGTGGAAGTTTGAACCTTGATGGGGTTGCTGCTCTCCTCCCAAGTTGCTTATTGCGGTCTTGCGGTCGCTCATTCGCCGCGGAACTCTTCCCCGTCGAACTCCACGTCGTTTCGGCGGCCAGGACACGTCCCGCTTCCGCTGAGATCTGACGTGGAGGATGTTGGAACTCTGCAGAAACAGTCTGTTCAGGTTAGCCAGACCAACGCCTTACCATGAACCCACGCCACCAGTTCTTTCTTGCAGCAGGTACATACCACCCGCCCCGGGCCCTCAAACAGATGCATAACGGGCCGCGGGTTGCGCTCGGAAAGGCGTGGGGAAGGATGAAGAGCTCTCCCAAGCCAAAAAAAAAAACACACCATAACATTACACGCCGATCGAGCCCAACGATACTCTGGTGCCTTCCCGAGAATTGCAACCCGACCACTCTTCCGAGGTTCTGATCTGTCTCCGTTGTCTCTCTGCCCTTTTCTCTGACCTCACAGACCCCTTCAACACGGCCCGGAGGCATTGACGAGGTTTGTCCCAACCCGTTCTTTTTCGACCACAAACCGCCCAGGCCTCCCGATTGAACACGACTCTAGCCACACCGGCAGAGGAGCTAAATGTACACCCCGCTGGCAACAATGTCTTCGTTTCGGCCAACAGTCTGTGAGGCAGTCGGCTTTTTAGGGTTTGTGCCCGGCTTTTTGAGCTTATGACTCTTGGAGGCCGCTCGCCTTGGACGCCCACGTCACCTCACTCAGTGCCATCTGCCCCTCTCGTGGCCAAACAAGTAGTTTCAGGTCGGGCGTGTCCCTGTTATGGGAGCCAAGCAGCCTCAGTCATGGGCAGCTGGGCTGAGCTTGAAAACAAGAAACCGGCTGGCCCGGTTCTTCTCATCTTTTGAAGAGGCGAACACCGGGGGGCATGACAAGGCCAATGCTGGGATCAAGTTTTAAGCAGTTTGCCCAACCAAAATTTTCAGAACCGTCAACCGAATAAAGGCTGTTACTGCTCACTCGCGCGAGTCACGGCGGGCTCCCTTTTACTGGGGTTTGCCTGTCTCTCCCGGCACATCTTCCTGCGGAGGAACCCAAGCGTTTGGTGGACACGGGGGCCGTTGCATTGTTGGACATCCAAGCCCTGGTTGCCCGTCAAATTGTCCGAAGCCTATAGTTTCTGAACGGGGCATTCGACACCCCAGCCCTAAACCCTCACGCGAATCATTCTTAAATTCAAGTTGTTCTGTTTCTTTTCTTTACCCCATATTCATATTAGGCCTGCCCCTGCTCCGCACACCCCCTCCCCCGGTCCAGGACACCCCGATATACCAGGAGTACAATCGTCCGTCCCCTGCCGGGTCTCGTCTATGACTTGCAGCGAGTTCTGCAGTCTCCCGTTTCGATGGTGACCGACATCCATTCTGCTGGCCTCTTTTATTTTCTTTTTTCTTTTTTATTTTTCCTTCCTTATTTCCCTGTACGCAGTATCGACCCCAGCGTGTGGTTTCCCTTACCCCCGATCAGGTCTCCCACAATCCGATTGCACTTGTGGGCAGACACACCGTCATCGAGACATCGAGATCACGGCAGGTTCATTGCCTTCAAGCTTCTTCCCTGTTGCCTGAACTCACAACCTCACGCCCCCAACATCCCCGGGCCCCGCTGAGCAGAAACCGTTGAACGGGGAGGGAAGTGGTTCTGTTCTCTCCACAGTTTAAGAGAGATCCGTCAAGTATAATCCGCCAAAGCACCCCTTGCCCCCGTTTCCAGCCACTTGTTCTGTACTTGGCCTACCTTGTCTCTTTTCATTGGCGAGTATTTCACACACCAGGGCCAATCATGATGATGATAGGCACTTGGACCCTACGAGCCACCCCTTCACCCCTTCACAAATAGACGAAAGCAACACCTCCAGCATCAGTCCCATTGGGGAAGTGACTGAATTCACTTGCCTTGCCCCGTCCTGGACAAGGCGTGTACAACAACACCCCCTTTCGGTACGTACCCGGGTACCCTGGCCTGATACTTGGCCCGTTCGCCCTCTTCTCCCTCCTCCAGGGCGTCGTGGATGTGCCGGATCGTTTTTTTTTTCTTTCACCGCTTGCAACACTTCAGCTGGCTGCCTCCCTAACTCCTCTACCTACTTACCTAGTCGCCTGCTTGCTCGGATCTGAAGGCCGGATCACCGCCTGTCTCGACCGGCGATCGACGCACCCTGACGTCTACTTCTGTTGCTTCCTTACCCACCACCCATCAGTTGCTGTGATCCACCTACCAGCACTTGTTTCAGTCAGTTGTGCGCTTAGCAACCACACCAAGCTCGACTATCAGAAAATCAACACTAGGGCTTTGTCAGTCTCTAGTACCTGAAGAAACGGCCCTATCTCTCGTTCAAGCACACGCGGTATCCCCCCTTCTATGAGCCCACTGCTTGCCCTCTAAGGCAAAGCTCGGCGAGACACCGCCCATCCTGGATATCGCCTCTCTCCTCAAAGGCCCGGACTTCAATGAGTCCCCCTTGTCTCCTACCTCACGGCCACCGCCCAGCTCGTTCCCAGACTTCACGACGACAGCAGCAGCAGCAGCAGCAGCAGAAGCAGCAGCACCTCTACAAGCACCACCACCCCAGTTGAGCATACCTCAAGCCGCGTTTGCGTTGACAGCGGCAGCAGCAACAGCAGCAACAACAATAACCAGTCCCCTGTCTCCCCGGTCTTACCCACGGGGCACGATAGGAGCGAGGGCTCACAGCATCTCGAGCGGCAGACCGACAACACTGACCCCCAGTTCGAGACTTGCCGGTACACGCCCCCTGAGCGGCGGCGGTATTAGGAAACGCAGCATGCCTTCACACACGTCAGAGTCGCCGGCGAAAAAGCAGAGCAAGTGGTCACCAGAGGAGGACGCGCTGATCATTGAGCTCCGCGGTAGTGGCATGAAATGGGACGACATCTCGAAGCGGCTCCCCGGCCGGAGCTCGATTAGCTGCCGGCTACATTACCAGAACTATCTAGAGCGCCGGAGTGAGTGGGATGAGGAGCGAAAGAATAAGCTGGCGAGGTTGTACGAGAGGTGAGATTTTGCCCGAGGCCAGGTTTCGTCTCTATCGGTTGTTCTAGGAGAGCTAACCACCCCTTTGGTGCCTAGGTTCAAACCCGAGATGTGGGCCAAAGTTGCCGAGGAGATGCAGGTTCCTTGGCGCGCGGCCGAGGCGATGCACTGGCAACTAGGTGAGACCGAGATGGCACGGCGAGCCGGTGTCGTCCCGTTCTCGCTGAACATGGCAGCGAACGAGGCCCAAGCCGCGATCACACAACGAATCTCGCCCACACGGGCCGGTCACAGCGGCCACAGCTACGCCCACGGCCACTCCCAGTCTCAAGGCAGCTTTCCTCGCGAGTTCTCCGGCCTGCCCTCGCCCCGATATGCCCGCGCCCAGTCTGGACCCCATCCAGGCCCCCCCCCGCTTCAGATCCCTCCTCTCATTCCTCCACCCACTCCGACCTCCAGCAGCCGCCCCCATACTTCTCGTCGCGAGAGCCTCCCACCCCATGCCCGCTTCGGCCCGCCCACAATCTCCGAACTACCGCCCGCTCCGCCACCCCCGGAGTACGGCTACGGACTGGCGCCGATTCAGACCGCCGTTGGGTTCGGCAGCGGTGCGCATACTCGAGGGTCGACAAGTGCCGGAGGCGGAAGCGCAGGCGGCAGCATCAGTGGGAGGAGTGACGGGCCGCTCCCAAGCGTGGCCGAGCTCACCACGGGTGTGTGCGCCAGTCCCTATGGTACCCCGGCGTATACACTGAACCCACCACCTTCTGCGGCCGGCTCTGGGGGGCATTCGTATCCGCACGCACACGGGCACGCTCGGTCACAATCGCATTCGCATATCCTACAGAGCACCATGCCGACTACCAGCCCGAGCAGTGCAACGGCCAGCCCGGGGCTGCCGGGGACTAGTCTCGGCGGTGGACGGGAAGCCATTTCAGCTGATGCGCCAAACCCACGCCGAGGAGGTAGTGTCAGCGCAGGAGGAGGCGGACTCCTTCCCGCACTTAACCCCTACCCACACTCACACGCTCACCTCGAACCTACCGGCGGTAAACGTCGCGCCAGCCCTCCCGACTACGACTACCCCGGCGGCAGCCGCGAGACCAGTCGCCGGCGCCAGCATCTCAACCACAGCACCACCACCAGCAACGGCCACAGCTACGGACATAGCCACAGCCATAGTCTCAGCGGTGCCGGCAGCAGCAGTGTTGCCCGAGACCGCCGGCATCGCCGTGATGGCGACAGGGAACGGCCCCAACACAATTCCTGGGATAGTAGCAGAGACACAGAGGACTACCCGCCGACACCACCACACCCGGTACAGCTTCCTCTGCCGCCTCTATCCCAATCCCACTACCCTTCCCATTCCTCGCATTTCCCGTCCTCGGCTGCTTCTGCTGCAGCTGGTGGTCCTCCACATGCGGCCGCGGCGGGCGCGTTTGGTGGGATGGGCAATGGCGGTGTGGGCGTGGGGGTTGGAGTGGGGAGGCGAGAATCGAGAGGGGGGCTTTGAGTTGTAGATGAGAACGAAGAGGTAATGATGGTTTACGAGCAACGGAAACGGGACACGATACAGGGCATGGATCACGGAACAGCTATGGACATGATGAACAACAACAACAACAACAACAATCCCGGGGGTATCGAAATATCTGGGATATCACAGGTACCACCAAACACCGCACGCCGCTCTTTTTTCCCTTTCCTTTCTTTTCCTCTACTTTTACCCTATTTCCTCTCCAACTTCCCTGCCTTAATGGCCCTATCGGCCGTGGCCACGAGCCCCTCGCTATCACTACTACCACCGTCTTTTTCCCTTTGTCCCTGTCCATCAAACCCATCATGTCCATATTTTATTTTTATTTTATTCATGAATATTTCCCACTTATTCTGTATCATTCAAATCGACATGACACGAAAGCAAACGAAACTCCACGACGACAACGACAGTAACGAATTCGGAAAAAAATAAGGGACTAGGCTGGCTACATATGTGTATCTTTCCTCGGGTGTTCGCTATTATCTACTCTTTCTCTTTCTTGTCTTTTTCTGCTCTCTCCCTCTCTCTTTTTCCGGTGAAGACAAAATACCTACTACAAGAACAACTACCCATTCCTCCATCAGATACACGCACTCCTCTTTTCCCTAACTTGTACTCCCCTAAAATGTACTCCCCTAAACTGTACTCCCCTTTTCTCTCTCTAGATTTCCACTCCCCGTATTGTACTACCCCTTCAGTCCAAGCCCCCTCAAAAAACCATTTAATCCCATCCCCATCTCCGCCCCGTTCTCATACGCTGAAAGAGGGCGAGTTGGGGGTTTCACATCCATCACATCACATAGAACCAAAACATCCATCCACCACATCAACAGCTGAAGAGAAAAGCAAGGCAAGGCAGGGCAACGAGAGACCCAGGGGATCTAGACAGGGTATTGGCTATCTCCTTTTATCTTCTCCTTTTTCTTTCTTCCTTCCTCCTCCTCTTCATTCGAGGAGGACGAAAGCCACCAACAGGAGGACGGGAGTCACCGGAACAACAGAACAGCTAGGAACAAGTTGACTCTAAAAAGATGGGGCACGGTAGGCTGAAAACAGCCCTGTTGGGCCGGCTCGCTTGCAAGGTCGGTTGGGTCGGTCGGTCGGTTGGCTGCCAGGAGACGTGGAGATCGGAGATCACAGTACAGTATAAAGGAATAGGGGGAGGGGTAAGAAAATAAGAACTTGGGGGGGGTACTGATGGAAATGGAAAAGGCCAATGGTGTTTATTTCTTCTCACTGTTCAGGGGGAGAAGAATTGGGGGCGGATGGGCGGGTGGGTAGGCGTGTGCCTTGGATACAGGCAGGCAGCTCATTATGGCAAGGGACGGGCCGCTTGATGAGGCCGAGTCCACCATCTCCCACGCTGGCGATTGGTTTGGGAACAGGCAACCGGACGAAAGCCCGAGGCGGGCGAGGTGGGCAAGGCCGATGAGTCGCGTAGGTGTCATGTCGAAGGAAGGCCAATGGATAGCCAAAAAGCTAGGGGGGCTATGGATGGGATAGACAAGTCCACCGAATGAGAAAGCTGCGGTGGCAAACAAAAGGAACAATAACACAACAGTAACAGTGCGAGTTAACCAAACATTTTTGCCCTGGAAGCGACAAGAGGTGGTGAGACGCGACGCGCCTTGGACGGAGGGACACCAGTCGATGCCATCAGGGATATCCAACTCCCCCCCTCCCCCCCTCTATCTGTGTGTTAAGGGGAAACATGTGTGTGAGCTAACCCCTAACATGGAAAATGTATGTCTCTTTTGTTTTTCAGCTTCGGGTTTCTCATTGTTGACCCGCGGGGACGGGCTCATTCGCGGCCACGACCCACCAGTTGTCCCTCTCATACCCGCTGGAGACGACAAAGCCGCCTGCGGCCAGCACATCCTCCTCCAGCTCCCCTTTGCGATAGAGATGGTAATATCGCCGGAAGACGGGGTCAGGATTGGGATCGGTCTGGCCAAGGGCGGCCTCCGGCTCCGCAACGGGGGTGGTAGCCGGTGGTGTCGGCACCGATTCACCGCTCCGGTCGGCGGAATCATCACCACCAATGCCTTGGCTTTGAGATACGGTTTTCAGCTTCTGCGGTCTTTTTTGCTTCGGCTGCTTCGGCTGTTTCGGCTGTTTCTGTTGGGACTTCAAGACCCATGGCACCAGCAGATCCTGCTCACTGCCTTCGTCCCACCCGCGGCGGCTGGTACCCTGCTCGAGTGCCCAGACATAGACGAGAACCTGACCTCCCGGTTTGTCAGCCTCTCCAAGCCTGACACATCGCAGCAGTTGCCGAATTGCTTCCTGCCGCCGCGCCCGCGTAGACATGTGGTGGATGACCGCCACGCAGATGACGAAGTCTGCCACACGTTCTCGGAAGGGCAGGGAGAGCCCATCAGCCACGAGGACGTCAGTGCCCACAGCAGTGCCAGCAGTGTCCCCTCCTGTTCCCGGTCCAGCTGTGTCACCCCCTGGTTGAGCTTGAAGTTTCATGCAGCGGTCCTTGGCTAGCGTAATCAGTGATGGGCTCCGATCAGATCCCACCATGAAGACGTCTCGGTTCACGCCGAGGTACTTGCCATTACCGCAGCCTACATCGAGCCCAACGGCGCCGGCTGCCCGAGAGTGCAGGAACGATCCCACAGTAGGCCAAGGCTTGTAGCGAGTGGCCGAAAAGTGCGGGGCGATGGCCTCATAGACGCCGTGGACGTGGGTACGCTCATACGCTTCTGCGTCTGCTTCTATCTCAACTACAGCTGGCTCTGTCTCTGTCTCGGCACCAGCGGCCACGGCGGCTGTTAGTTTTGCAACCGCATCGGCTGCCGAGAGAGACGGCAACGCCGAAGATGGCGTGGCGGATGCTGATGAAGCCATGACACCTCGGCCTTGGGCTGATCAACACCCTTTCCCGGTCGGGCAACCACGGCCGCGAGGTCCTTTCGCTGCAGCCCAACTTGACACACACACACAGCGCACTCCGCGGCCACCAGATAAAAACTAGCGTGTCAGTCTCGAGGGAGAACAGGCACGGCTAGGACGGTATAGAGATTGGTTGTAGCGGCTGTGGCTATGGTAGCCGGTGAGGTTAGGCCGCGAGAGCGAAAGTCTTCGCACACCGCTGCGTCACAGCTTTTCGAACCGACGTGGAAGGTTCCCGAGTCCTTCTGCGCGTTTTCTCAGTCGACACCTCCTCCTGACCGCCTGTTGCTCCAGTTAGCGTATGAAAAGAGCGGAGCAGAGGGGTGTGTAAAATGCAGCGGTCGACAAAGTATGAGCCAGCAAACTGCCACGCAGCAGACAATGAAGGTGCTATAATAAGCTCACCACGTTACGTTCGATTACAAAGTCGAAGTCAACACTCGCCGGTATCCGATGTGAGAGTCGTGAAGTTGCATAGACAGGGGGTGTTAAGAGAGACGCAGCCGCCGACCCCCTTAGCACGTTATCCGTAGCGCAGCGGATATCGGATGAGGCTAGCAGCAAGAGCCAACGTGGGTTGGTCCCAAGCTTTCATCGCGGTAAGGTCCGCCAACTGGAGGGGTAGAGCATAAGATACGGCTGAGAGCAAGGCACATGATGTGCAGTTCCGGGCACTGGCGTTACCGACAGGGCTGAACGAGGCACGAACGACGGGACCGGTGGAGTAGAGAACGAGAGAGATCTCCCCCCCAAGAACCTTCAAGGCCCGGGCAGTACCGCAAAACCAGCACAATAGAAAAAGTAAGGCACTCACAGCGGGCAGGGTGTACCCAAACTGCGTCCAAGATTGGCGGATGCAGACGCCTTGTCCCGGTCGGTCAATCCGAGATGGTGACCGTTCCGAAGGAAGCAAGACAAGGGTCCGGGTGAGAAAAGACCCCGAGGTCAGCCGGGGAGCCGGGTCAATCGATCGGTTTTCGGGCTGGCGATTTGTGGTTGGGTTAGAGTTGGAAATGGAGGTGTTGTTTGGGTGAAACACTGATGCAGGTGCTGATTCGAGAATTGCTGTTTGTGGGCTGATGTGGGGGTGGGGTTAGATTCATGAAGGTTCTTCTGTGGTGGTTGAGACTTCGGCCATCCCAAAGTATTCGTACCTTCAACATTTTACATTCTCCCGCACTGGTCCTGCCTGCAGACCCCCTTCCACCCTCCACCACGAGGGAAGGAGCGGATGAGAGGCAGTACCCGGCATCCCACGCGCACAAAATGTGACAAAATTGGCAAAACTAAAAAATTCTGCAAATTCCCTGCATCTGCCCTTATCCTACTTTGGCGCTTCTGCAGCCTCAGAGATCGCGTTCAGCCGTCGATGAGGTAACCCCCCACCACCTATTGCATGAGTGTCTCGGAACTCCAGCCCCGCAAGCCGCTTCACCTCCTTTCTCGACAAACCGACCGTCTTCCGTTCCTTTTGCCCATACCCGCCCCCAACTGCATGATGTCAGGGGAACGAACGGGGCGTGTGGACTTGTACGACGATGATACGACCGGCCACTGTGGCAGGATCTATCGGATGACAGACATCAACGCGACAGCAAACCCGGGTTCCAGGGGTCTGGGCCCAATGTCATGGAGTTTGGCTGCTGTCGTATGCATGGCGCACATATCCGACTCCCGTCAAGATGTACGGCCCGAACGAATCCAACGGCGGTCTGTCCGACTTACACGTACCATGGTTTACATATTCTCCCCCATCGGACAATGGCCCGCTCTCGGTACCAGACCCGTCATGGACCTGGTTCCGAGCCCTCTTTTTTTTGCCAACCTTTGTCATCCTACTCTAGCGGTGGGGGGTGGTTTGAAAATAAACTTTGGGTGGGAGGGCCGAGAGACGTGGTTGGCTACAGTTGCTGTCGAGTCACGATCCTCCTGTGCGCCCCAAGGCCAGCGAGGCAAAAACCATGAAAAGTCCGAGACATTCGGGCAGTGCAGCCTCGTCGGGTGGTCCTTGGCTATAATACTCTCAAATATCGGGGCTAACTACTCGGGTGCAGCAACCACCATTCGATCAGTTTCCCCAGACCACAACCATTACGTCTCAGTCTTACTATACACAGACACGCGACCTCCACGTTCACCGCTTGCCAGTGTTCAGCGGGCTTTGAGCATCATACACGTCGGTCGTGATGACGTCCGGGTACACGACACCGCCCTGTCGCAGCGTCTCCTCCATGACCTCCATGATGACGATGCTCTCGGTCCACGGCAACGACTTGCTCTCCTTCTGGCCATCACGCAGGCACCGCGCGCACTCGTCGGCCTCCCAGAACATGCCCTGGCCCCAGCCGCTCTCGGGGTCCTTGGGGATCGGGCAGTCCACGATTTTAATGTCACCGTTGCTGTCCTTCTTGATGACCCGGTACTGCAGTGGGCAGTACGCAGGGCCCATGACCTGGATCTCACCCTCAGACCCCTGAATGCGAATGGCCGCCCCGCTGCTCTTCGTGCCGTCCACGTCACTGCCCACGCGGAGCGATGTGAGCGCAATACCGTGGCTCTTGTGGTTGGGGAATTGCAGAATGATACTGGTCGTCTCGTCCGCACCGGTGTGGTACTTGTTGACGGCCGCGGTGACCTTGGGCGCCTCCTTTTGCGCCTCGGGCTGCACATGGTACAGCGTCTGGAAGACCCAGGTCAGGGCGTAGATGCCGAGATCCAGGAGAGCGCCGCCCGCCAGTTCGGGGTTGACCATGCGGTTGGCATCCGGGTAGTCGATCTTGCCGTCGGCGCCCTGCTTGGCAAGCGACAGATCGGCTATGACGCACGTTGTTAGCTGGCTGCTCGTGTGGTGTGGCTGACATAACAACTAAGGTATAACTAACCAATGGTGCGGTAGACGTCGCCGATGGCACCGGACGAGATCAAGTCCCTCACTTGGATGCTCAGAGGGAAGTAGCGCGTCCACACGGCCTCCATGAAGAAGACACCCTTGTCCTTGGCCGTCTCGACCAGCTTGCGGGCCTGCGAGGCGTTCACAGTCAAGGCCTTCTCGCACAGCACGTTCTTGCCGGCCTCGAGGGCGAGCATGGCGTTCTGGAAGTGGTGGCTGTGGGGGGTAGCCACGTAGACGATATCGACGTCCGGGTCGGCCACGAGCTCGTGGTACGAGCCATACGCCTTGGCCGAGCTAGGCGCCTTGACCTTGTTGATGAAGTCGGCGGCGCGGTCCTTGGCGCTGGACGAGGCCACGGCCGCGACCTCGTGGCGGACATCCTGCACGTTGCGAAGCGCCGGATTGGCGAGGAGGTCCTTGGTGAAGACTGCGAGGCGCCTGTTAGTGACTGTACTTTTATTTCACTCAGCAGAGGGGAGTCGATCGAGCCCCTTACTTACCCTCCGCGATCCAGCCGGTGGCCATGATACCCCACCTCACCGTGTAAGGAGTAGACGAAGCCATGGTTGTGGTTTATACCGCTTGCGTTGATGGCTTATGTTTGATCAGCGAAAGTCTCTGGCAGTCGTAACCTAGTTCGTTGACAAGAGGAGAAGCGACAAGATTTGCACCTCCCACAGGAGCTGGTGAAGTAGGCGTCGGCGCAGACTCTTAAACCCGAGAGCAACAACCTGTTTCTCGGGTGAACCTGGAAATACCCCTCCGCCCCTCCATCCTCCGCTCCATCACTGGAGCTCATGGCGGGGTTAGCGACGGCGTTGCGGGTAAATGGCCGGAATACAGGCCCAGCGCGGCGGAGTGGGCGGGTGCAACCCCCTGTACCCCTCTGGAACTCCAGATTGTTCCACGCTAAAGTGCTTGGCTCGCTGTGGCCAAAAAAAAAGCGACACACTAAAACAGATAGCTCAAGTCTAATCCATTAACATTCGATCAGATCTTAATAAATTTTGATTGATATACTCTTTTTTTGTCTTTTTTTAACTTTCTGGATTTATTCTTTTTTCTCTTCTTCCCTTTTTTTAGTTTATTCTTTTTGGTTTTTTTTTTCACCTTTCTAGCAAAGTAAGTTATCCAGGGACTTGGTGTACCGCTTTTTTTGGCCATAGCGAGCTTGGGGAGAACCCACTTATTCACCTTACAGGGGCAGAACGGCGAATGAGAAGGCGCCGAGACGACGGCCTGGGATGGCTCGATCTGAACCCCGGGAAGAGGTTCCCCGGTTTCCTGGGAGGGAATTTGGAGATGACATGGGTCTAGCGACGTCATTTCTTTTACACAGTAGAGTCTGTTACTTTTGATGGTTGATTTGGGTGTCAACTTGGAATTGTGCATGTTGTGATTAAGCAGAGGATTTTAAGAAGGCTTGCTTGCTGATGTTGTTGCCTCTGGGCCAGCGCCTAACGTGATTGAGACTGTTGACGGGTTTACTCAGAACATCGTTTCCCCTCACCTCACCCGAGAAATCCATCAACTTTCAATGAATTACGTACGGTCAAGAGCGCCCCCATTCTCACGACCTACAAAGCTATCGAGTCACCTAATACTTTCCCACCTCTTGAACCGACCAAGGCCAGCTCCAATCAGCCCCCATATATCTCCAACTCACCAAAGAACCAACCACGCCATGGCGACCCCTTTCCCAACGGCCGAGATGCCGTCGATGATGTACGGTACGGCCTGGAAAGAGGAGCGCACTGCAGATCTCGTGTACGAGGCTATCAAGGCCGGGTTCCGGGGCATCGACACCGCCGCGATGAAGAAGCATTACAATGAAGCTGGGGTTGGAGAGGGCATTCGCCGGGCTATTAGTGAGGGTATTTGTAGTCGCAAGGACTTGTTTGTATGGCTTCGTTTCTTTCGTTTCTTTCGTTTCTTTCTTCTCTTTTCCGTTGAGGTTTGAGTCGAGGCTGACTTGATTCCATTAGATTCAAACGAAATTCTCCCCTATGGATAACACCTCCGATTGTACGTGCATACAACAAACATCATAACCGAGAGTCAAAGTCAGACTAACACCCCCAGACTCACCCACCGACCCCCTCCCCACCCAAATCCACGCCTCCATTATCTCCTCCCTCACCAACCTCTCCACGCCAGACCACTCCCCCCCCTACCTCGACGCCCTCGTCCTCCACTCCCCCTTCCCCACGATCCCCGAAACCCTCGACGCCTGGGCCGTCCTCCAATCCTATCTCCCCTCCTCCTCCTCCTCCTCTCCCAACGCAAACAAAATCCTCAGCCTCGGCATCTCCAACACCACCCTCCCTATCCTCCAGGCCCTCTCAACCCCAACCCACCCCGTCTCCGGTGTCCCCCTCACCCCACCAGCAATCGTACAAAACCGACTACGAGCAGCCGAGCGTGTTTGGGATGTTGATGTGCGTAACTGGGTCGCGGAACAAAACAACAACAACCAGAATCCCCCCACTGGAAGGAGAACTAAAACGACATACCAAGCCTTCTGGACCCTCACCGCGAACCCCTCCCTCTGGCATCCTCAAACAGCACCTCCCTTTATCCGGTCTGTTGCCGAGGGGGCGGGTGTGTCGCTCGCTGGGGCGTGGTATGCGTGGCTGATTATAGAGGGGGGGGTTACGGTGTTGAATGGGACGACGAGTGTTGGGGAGAAGGGGCATATGAGGGAGGATTTGGAGGTTGTTGGGATGGTGGAGAGGTGGAAGGGAACGGTGGAGGGGAGCAGGGTGTGGGGGGAGTTGGGGAAGGGGTTTTGGGGGGTTGTTGGGGGACGGTCGGTGACTGGGGGATGAGATCTGCTTTTAGAGCTTTTGTTGGCTTTTTTTGAGGGAAGGGTAATAATGGGTAAGGAGAGGGGTTAAGTGGTGAGGGTGTTAAGTAAAGCGGACGTTTGAGCTATCTTAGGTTAAGCCTAGGTACCTAGTTAGCTATCTGATTGCACGGAAGGAACATATAACGATATTCACCAGAAACACAGTCTTCGATCGTCTGAAAAGTGCCATATAACATGCCATGTATCGACCACTACCCCAAACACACCACACATCACTCTCCCTAACTACAGCAGCCACACATCCCCACTCAAACAAACACTACGAACTACTCGCCACTCTCGCACTCCTTGTCACTCTAGCACTACCCGTCACTCTGGCACTGCTTGTCACTTTGGAATTGCCTATCACTTGCAAAAAGCGGAGAAAATATAAATGATATACACCCCCTAGAAAACAAAAATGTACAACAAAAAACCACCCGCCCAACAATGCTAGAATTCACTTCGCCTGCCCGCCCGACCGCCCGGTCCATCATCTCCATCCGCTACGCCTGGCAATGCAGCCCACCCACCTCCAGTTGCTTATCCCTAGATTCTGTTCTCAGCTAGCCTGCCTCACTCCTGAGGGAGTACTCATCGCAAGGCAGTACTCCTCGCAAGGAGAGGAAGGAGTTAGGTATCATCCATCCCAGTCCTCCACTCAATACCCCTCGGTCTTAATCTTCCCTCGAAAACCACCCACATCCTCCTGTATAACCATTAGCATACCGTCCCATCCCAGACCACACTGACGAAAAAAGGAGTTCAAAAACATACCTCAGCCTTCCTCTTCACCCCCTGCTGTTGTTGTGGTTGTGAACCAGCTCCATACGCCTCCCGGTAACAACTAGCATGAAACACCCTCCCCCCGACCCGTACCGCATCCATCCACACCCACTCCTGCGCCTCATCCAGCCACTTCATCTCAAATTTCTCTTGGCAGATCGGACACGCGCCGTTTACGCGTGCTGCTGAGTCCTCGGGGACGGGTAGGTAGGGGATGTTGGATGGGCCGCCGGTGGACGTCGAAGAGGATGATGCGCCGGGAGCGGAAGGCTGGAAGTGGTTGAAAGTACCGGGCTGGGAGCCGGAGGGGTTGTGGTGGTGTTGGTGGTGGGAGGAGGAGTTGTAGGAGGAGGAGTCGTAGGAGAGGGAGGCGGAGGAGAGGTCTGGGGCCGGGTGGGTGTAATCTGTGTCGATGGCTTCGCGGGTGCGGATCCAGTCCTGATGATGGTCAGTCGGTACATGTATCATTTACGCGGGCGTGCACAAATCATATGTACTGTGCAGGCTGAAAAAAAGGGATAGAGAAGAAATACATACCAGCTCATCAACATACCAACTCCGATGCTGGCCGCGCTTCTCGGCATCATTCATACGCTGGTGCACGCGGAAATGCCAGTCCATATGTGCCGTCTTCTTGCGGCGGCCTTCGTCGTCTGTCCTGAAGCGCCGACCACACTGCGAGCACGGTGGGCCGAGGTCATCGTATAACCGGAAAACGGCGTGCGGGCGGAAACTGGAAAGTATGTCAGTCAGTCATTACGTCGATGCCACTCACAATGTGCCCCGTTGTCCATGAACGAGGAGGAACATGGAGCAGGGTCTGTAACTTGGATTCATAACTTACGTCTTCAACGAAGCAGCCCCAAGCTGAGGGTTGCCCGATACAACACCAGCAAGAGACGGAAGTCCAGCGAGCCCAGCAAGCGCAGAAGAAGGCGTCGGCGTTGACCCTCCGGAGTTAATCAGGCCAGACTGCCTCAACATAGCCAACAAAGCCGATGGATTCGACGGCGGAGCAGCCGGTGCAGCTGATGCAGGCCTGGGCGGTCCAGCCGGTCCTTGCTGTTGGGGAGGAGACCGCAGCGCAGCGGCAATAGCAGCTGCCGCAGCCGGCCCGAGAACTGGTGGTGCGGGAGTAGGTGCCGGCGCTGGTGCGGCAGCGGGAGCTTGTGAAAAAGGAAGCGGCTGTGGTGTGGGAGTCTGTTGGGGCGTGACTGATTTCCGGGCAGCGCCCGAGACGAGGGCGGCTAGGGCACCTTGGCCGAACAGCGAGTCGATAGATACACCTGGTGTTGATGCTGGTGCTGGTGCTACTCCCCCTGTTGCGGGCGGGGCAGACGAGACGGATGAAGGACGGCCTAACGCAGCAGCAATAACAGCCGCTGCGGAAGGGGGCATAGGCGTCGACTGCTGAGACACAGCCGGCGGTGGTGTTGCAGTGTTGGCATTGGTATTGTACGGCCCGACAAGACCAAGGCCGGTTAGGCCGGCAGAGCCAGCAGCAGGACCAGCAGCCGTAGCCGGGACCTGCGGCCGCGACTGCGGGCGAATGTTTACAGCAAGTTCAGCAACTCGATCTCTTATGATCATCAACTGCTCCTGAGGCATCTCTTGGTTGTGGATTATGGTTTGCAAGTCCAGCAACGCCTTCAGTCTTGTCTGTTTACTAGTATCAAGAGGATCACTCGCAAATTCCGCCTTCTCCGCAACGATCAGTTGCTGGATATCATCTTTCAACTTGTCTATGCTTATTCCTCCAGACTTGGGAGTGCCATAGACTGGGCCTGCGCCCGGCTGCTGGTAAGGGGGGTAACTCCCGATAGGCGGAGTGGGCTGGGGAGTTGCGCGGTGAGGGATGGCATTCGGGCCCTGGCAAGATGGTTAGTACCGGACACAAACAAGATATGGCCGATCTCAAGAGAAAGGTAGCCGAAGAAAAAGAGGGTCTTACGCTAGCCGGATGGTTCTGGTACTGTTTCTGAGACGCGTCCTGTCGTTGCTGTCCGTTAGACCCAGAATACGAGGGCTGCTGCTGCTGTTGTTGTTGCTGGTGCTGCTGTCCTGGTGGAGGATACCCCCGGCCCGTCGGAGGAGTGGGTGTGTCCCTTGGGGGAGCGGCTTGCCGGCCGCGCATCAGCTGCTGTTGTCCCTGATAGCTGGTCTGTTGGGCCGCATAGGCCGCATTCCGGGCCGCCATGAGGGCATGCTCAATGGGACGGACTTGTTCCAGCGGGAACACGGGTTTTGTTGAAATCGATCCTGGCACCGGCTCTTTCCATGTCTTCAGCATCTCATCCATCTTACGCCGCGTGGAGTTGTCGACCTTGGTGTATGCGCCCATGAAGATCGAATAGAGCTTCGGGCCAAAGTATAGCGCATACGGCGTCGGGACATTCTTGACGACGGAATCGAGGACGTAAAGGGCCGGGAGTGTGCGTGCAGGCGGAACCTGGTCAGTCAACAGTCAGCATTCATATTCTTGATTATCACGGAGCCATGAGGAGAAACGGCATTTAAGAAGCCAAGCCCGGCCCAATTCACCAAGCAAAACATACCTTCTTAATGTGGTTCGCCAGTGCCTCGGCGATGGCAAACCCATGGCTGGCATTCTCTCGCGCAATGTTGGTCAAAGTGGCGATCTCGATCCGCGAGTTGACCGTGAGATCCTCCAGGGCCTGTCGGTAATCCTCCGCCACGTCGGCAGCGTTATCCGCCATGGCTATGTGTCGAGCAAAATGTTGTGTGCAAAGCGTCTGGGGATGGAGCCGTGTGCGGTCAAGCAACAAACAGGCGAGAGGCGAGGTCAATCGAACGAAAGGAAAGTCAAGGTATAGCCGCGTTTGTGTTGCGGTTTTGGGGAAGGGGAGCGAGGGGAAGAGAAAGAAAAGGATGCAAATATGGGCGAATGTTCCGCGGTTGTTGTTCCAGGTCACGGGTGGGAGCAGGTAAAATCTCTGAGGGGTGGATCGGCCCCTATTCAGACGAGAACAATAGACGGAACGCAGCTATTATCCCTCTTTCTGAATGGAGGCTGCCTGCCTGGCACCCCAGCACGCCTTGCAAGAAAGAAAGAAAAAACCTCCACGTCCTCCCCGGCTTAATTGCCTTCCCGACCGGACGCCTAATGAATTAAACACGCTCGCGCCGTCACAATGATCCCCTTCTCTAGTTTCCAGCACAGGGAGAAGAGACTGGCAGTGGATGGTGTGGACGACAGCGATTGTAGTGGCCAATGGTGTTTCCCAAGGCGAACAAGGAAGAAAAAGCGCTGGCGAGATCAATCCAGGGCGAGGGGTTCGGAAACCAGCTTGTCGTGTTTAAGTCGCAGTGGTCGTATATATTGAAGAGGTATCACCTGGCGCAACTCTGTGCGTGTATCATTAGGTCAAGGTCGCGGAGTTGACTTGTCATGGGGAAATTTCCAGTTTGTTGTGCGGAGGAAGGAGGTTGTCGTCGTGTTCGATCGCGCCTCCCGGTAAGGAGGGAGGGCGAATGTGCACGTGCCACCGGGACGTTGGCTCCTGCCAGCTGACTCATCCAGGGCACACAACCGGTAAGGTTCTGCACCGAGACTCCGAGGGTACTTCAAAGAAACGGGAAAAACACACAAGCAGAGGAGAGAAGTAAAAGCCACAAAGAGGATGCCTCAACTCCTTCGAATCAATCACGTTGGAAACCTGATGGTTGGGAATTTACCGGTTGTTCCTCTTGCTGTAGCTTGATACATGTAGATGTGTTACGCCACTATCAGAATTATACTGATATCCCACCAAAGCTAGTTAGGGCATCATCTCACACACCACGCGAACACCAAATGTCTTCACATCAACAAGCACATTTCCACGTCAAAGCATGCAGCCACTTCATGAAACCTGGAAATCATCGAATTGCTAGATAGTTTTCCGTCCCTACACTCCCCCTCAAACGCAAAACCTGAAAGCAGATAAAATTAAGGCAACGGGTATAACACGATCAAAGAGCAAAACCAGCCCCCGAAAACGCCTCCTCCCCTTCCTTCACCATTTGTTCAACACACTCCGTGTTCCCACCCCCGCCGATTGTACTGTTTGAGATGAAGAAAAAAGACGAAAAAGAGAAAAATGCACCGTGTAGTAAGGCTGTCCATGCAGAATGAGGGTGTATGCATGCATTATACGGACACCCAACAAGTGTCGAGATGGATGGTGTTGCCGGACCGGACCGGACCGGGTCCCAGTTCTGTTGTATGACAAAGTAAAGGAAGTGGGAACCCGGCCTGACGAGTGACTGACTGGCTGACTGACTGACTGACTCGAAATGAGGGCGAGATAGAAAAATGAGAGTCGTGGGTGCATTCTCCTTGGTATCATACCATTAACCCCCCTTCCCGACCGATCAGCCGAGCTTTTTAGAACCGATCCATATGAGCCGCGCTGTACAGACTCGAGCGGTTGGTACCCAGATACGCCGGGTGCAGCGCCGTGGGAGGGCGCTCAACGCCCGGCACCACAGGGCTGCTGCGGTCACGGCTCGGGATACGGTTGCTGCCGTTGTCACCGCCAAACCCATCGCCGAGGTTGCCATACGTATGGTGCGTATCGACGTGCCCGTGGCTAGAGGGGAGACGGTCATCGTCGTGGTCGGAATCGACGGCAGCGTCCTGGTGATGCGGGATGGGCTTGCTGATTTGGATGCGCGACTTGCGGAATTGGTTGAAGTTGATGTTGCGCGGGTTGAGCACGCGGGTGAGGCGGCGGACGGCGGACGACGGCTCGACGACTTCCTCCTCTTTGCTGTGAGCGGCGCCGCCAGCCCAGCTGTGGGCGGACCAGTTATCGCGGTGCTGCGGGGGCGAGTAGTGCGAGGAGGCGGCGAGGCTGTGCTCGATGTCGTCGCTCTTCTTGACGGCTTTTTGCAGGGCGAGGTTGCCGTATGTGCGGATCTGGCGGGCCGTGACCTTAACGGGCTCGCCGCGGAGTCCGTCGACGGTGGTGCGGAAGATGACCGAGGCGGTGATGTTGAAGAAGCCGAAGGTGACGGAGAGGATGGCGGCTGCGAGGATGGCGCGCCACCACTCGAGTCCGAGGGTGTCGGCTGTGTAGGCGGGCTTCCAGGCATCGCCGAGGATCTCGAAGCCGATGAAAACCATGCCCCAGCCGAGCCAGGCGAGGGAGTGGTCGGAGCCGACGACGGGCCAGTTGCGATCGTAGTACGCCTTGAGCTTCTTCCAGGGGACGGGAAGCTCAGAGACGAGGAGGAAGGTGGCGAGGAAGAAGACGAAGAGGTGGGTGGCGGTGTCGAAGAAGAAGAAGTGGCCGTGGATGCCGGAGAGGACGGGCATGGCCATGCTGGCCATCATAACGGCAGCCAGGCCGATGATGTTGAACGCCCGCAGGACGTTGAGGGCGACATGGCCAGCGCCCAAGAGCTTCGAGTCCTGCCCGAGTTTAAACATTTTGTATGATGAATTAACTAGTTTTGTGTTGTTAGCCTCTGGCTGTCGATGGGTAGCCCTCACTTGGGCTTTAGGAGCAGAACGTGGAGCTGATGATGCGACTGGAAAGGGCAAGGGATGGTCGGAAGACTGTGATCGGTAAAGGGGTCCAGCGTTGTGAGGTGGTAACCGGGATGCCGACCCCCCCTCGGCTGGCCTGCTTGTAACATATGAATGATAACTAGCAGGATCTGGAGCGGGTGTTGAGTCACTGGATGGCCCAGTTGCTCCACTCATCAAGAATCCAGTTCCCGCCGGTGGCATTTGGGGCACCCGGTGAGCAGACGACTGAGTCTGAGTACGTGGCAACCGCCGCAGTGAGATATCTGGCCCGCGTTCATCGTCCGAAACCATTCCCGGGTCCCCCGGCGAGTTGTAGAAGTCGTCTAAGTCAGACACTTCCGAAAGCGGCCGGCCGCTATTGGTACAGGATTTCGCCATGACGAGCAACCATTTCCAAGATTCGATACCGCGTCGTTTCCAGTGGAAGGTATCCCAGAAAGGTGTGGGTTTGGGTAGGGGGGTAGTTTGGGGGGTTTCAAGGTGTAGGCATGGCAAAAGAGGGTTTTATACTTACAGAGAAAGTGTGTGATCTGGTCGAGTGCGATCTGGGTCAAGTGACTGGCCTGCAGTTCTTAGGATGGAGGAAGCGCTGGTAGTGAGGGAGGGTCTGCTGGCAGACACACGAGCGGCTAGCTGTTGGAATTGTTGTTGCGTTGGTGCGATACGAGGTGAGTTGAAAGAAAGAAATTCGGATTACAAGGCACCGAGTAGAGAGAAGAAACAAGAGTTGGTCGAGGGAACAAGAGGGCGTGACGATCCGGGCCGTGCCGTGTAAGAAGTGGACGAAGGAAAAGAGAGAGTGGTGGTATTGAGTCAATAGGGGGACATGCTTATTGTTGAGAAGGGAACAATAGCGGCCCGACAAAGGTGTACGGCCCAAAATTGGAACGGGATGGGCCATGCAGCGGTGGCGAGCGGTCTTTAAACAATAGCGGCCAGCTGGTCTGGCCACGGCTATTGACGCCAAAGAAAGAAACAGTGCAACACTGCTACCTGCCTGCAAGCTGCACACTTGCAGCACTCAACTCGAATTTGGACGACCGACTGACATCGATTGGCTGAGGGCGCGCCAAGACGGTTTCAGAACTCATTTAGCCTTGGGCATCGGCACCATGAGCCGGGGTGCTGCAGCTGCTCGGCTCGACAAAATATTCAAATCCCAGCCGGGGAGAGCATCAGAGACATAGGGAAGAGCGCATTTAGAAACATTTGAACTTTATGTCCGTACTAGGTTCTCGATGTTGCACGTGGAAATGGGAAGTGGGAAGAACTTTCGTTGCAAGAAAAAGAGATGCACGAACTGTCGTTGCACAGACCAACTGGTGCTGGTTCCCCAGGGTTAGGGCATCAAGAACGAAACACCACCCACGGTAGGTATTCGGTAACTTGCTTCTTAAGAAGGCCATATACACTATGTATGCTAGTTTGGTAGGAAGTTCAACACCCATGATGGAAAAAAAGAAACAAAAGAAACAAGAAAACACTTATCGTCAATGAAAGCCTTTGGCTCATACCCCATCACAAACTGCGGTCCCGCGAAGTTCTTCTTTCAGTGCACGTGACCCGGGCCCGAACGGCAACCCTCAAGCTCCACGACTCGGACGCCATCAATGACCCTGGAATTTCAAAACCACCAGGGTCAAACATCAAGCTGTGTCCGTCTGAGGCTATTTTCAGATCGTATCATCCGGTCGCGGATAGCGGCGGCCAGAGTAACGCGAACGACCAGGTCTTCCCGCGCGTCAAAAGCAGAACAAAAATAATTCAAGAGACTCGATTGGGCAACAGTTCAAGACGTCGAAATCGCTTGGCGACCCCTCGGACCCACCTTCAAAGAAGCGCCGAAAAGCCCCACCCGCCCGCAAGCGCTTCGCCCTGTCAGGCCTGGCACCACCTGACAGCAATGACAAGTCAGCACAAGCACAGGGCCTTTCAAAGAACGGCAGGGCGTTCCTCGTCTGCCGGCCAACCGATCGAAAAAGCAGCCATCGACAAATCTCACTGTCGCATCCACTCTCCATCCATCCCCAAGGCAAGAACAACCGCTAAGCGCGAAACCCTTTCTTCGATACGACGCCGTCGCCGCGATCGAGCCGCTATTAGCGCGACCTGAGAATAGAAACGAGTTCCACTTCCATTTTCCACATCCCCCGTCGTTCAGAATGGCCCGCGGGAATCAGCGCGATAAGGCTCGCGAAGCCGCCCAGAAGAAGCAGGCCGCCCAGGTTCGCATACCTCCCCTGTAGAAGTTAATACGAACAGGGCCATCTTGGTGGTCAGAATCGAAATGATTCGATATTCTAACATGCCTCTCTCCCCCTGCAATAGAAGAAGTCCCACGGCATGAGCGGTAGCGAACTAGCCAAAGCAAAGGAGGTCGCGGCGCAGAAGATGCGCGAGAAGCAAGCTGCCGGTACAACCCCTCAACTCCCAACATCAACCTCAGGCCACCCATCCATCGAGCCGTCCCCGAAAAACCTCTCGAATAACCCTTGATGAAGACACCGTACTAACCCTTCCACCCCCTCTCTCTATAGCTGATGCGAAGAAGGCGGGCGAGTCGGCCGGCAAGAAATAGACAAAGAAACTCACGCCCTTGAAGCATCATCACACCGTCACACGACCGACACGACACGATCCCCCTTATGATTACCACATTAGCGAGAGCATTCTTATTGTTTTTACCGGCGAACGAGACAGGCAGCGCGCAAGGAAGGGGAAGGGGGGGAAGTTGTGGGATTTTGATTTAGCCCGGCGTCCAAAGACATACACAGCAAAGGAGCAAGGGAGTCTTAACTACCTCACAACATGTATGCCTTACCGCGTTCTGGCTGGCGAGAAGAGGATGGATGGGAGGGGGGGCGCGGACCAGGTTAATTTTGTCATTCCATTTTTGGGACCCTGAGTTCTGGCCTCTTGCCCTTCGGTTCGGCCCTTGGTGAGAAAATGTTTGCGTTGTTGTCGACAAGCTGATCTCTCCTTTTCTATGTCACTAGACCACACAAAACGGCTTTTTGGGTAGGGTTACCTAACATTTCCTTTGCTGTCTGTTTCCCTGCGCATTGGAGGTGGTGTGGTCTCTTTGTTCCCTAGGTTTTGAACTGCCGCAGTGTGATGACCCTTGACATGGATGACTCTTCGCCGAGTCATTATAGCAGTAAACTGCCATCGATGGCCGTCACGCGGGTGTAATTTAGCGGTGAGGCCGTGGTCAAAGGGTCTTGTGGCCTTGTTGACATCAAAGTGATGAGAGGTCGTACTTGGCCACTTGTGCTATATGGAATAGGAACGATTGAGCACCGTAACTGAACAAAACAGAGTGACCTATCATGTGGCGAACCACGTCGCGAAGCAGTGGTGGTTGCCGTAATCAGATATCGTTGGTAGTGCGAATTGCAACATCTAAGCCCGCTGTATTAAATTAAAATGACCAGCATGTGACCCAACACACTGGACACTAAGTCTATAAAATAAGCTAACGAAGTGCGAACGGCGAGTTAAACTATTTGTCATCCCTATAAATCTAAAAGATGTACAACCATATCATATGCCACAGTTCATATCAACACAAAGAGTAATCAAACTCAGCAACAGAAATACGAGCCAGTCATATATACCCCCCCACCACCTCTCCTTCCCACCAGCCCAAGCAACACCCAGGTTGAAGGGCAGCAGGAAGGAGTCGAAGGACTTTAAAACAGCCCTTCAGTACTAAATACTAGAGAACCCAACGAAGAGTGTGACACAGGAGAGAAAACAGGGAGTAAAAGACAAGAGAAGAAAATATGAGGAAAAGAAAAGAACATCTACACATGATACTGGTATCTCCCACCCAACCGTCCCACCACCCGCTCGCCTGCCAAACTGTGCTGCCCCCTATCTTCGTCCCTCTCATACCCGTTTTCAAGAGTCATTGCTAACTCACACCAAGGCAGAGAAAAAGGAAGAAGACGAAAGAGACAGCCACAAGCCCAGCCCAGCTCAGCTCACCTCGCTCTGCTTTTCATTACCACTAAAACTCGCGATAGGAGAGATCAACACCACACAACAAACAGACAAAGGAGGCGCTACTCCGCCTCATGGGGTTTCCCACGTTCTGTCCATCTGTCAGTCTGTCCGGTCCGTCCATCGCTATCTTCATGCCCGACGGGCGGGAACAGCAGCCTGGACCATAGCCATAGGGATGGCACCTAAAACCCACCAAAATCAGTAACCAACTCTAAACAAGGGAGAGTATAAGAGGGAGAACATACCGCCAGCCCCACCAAAACTATCCCGTCCCTGCATCGCCTGATTCGGAAACCCCCCAAAACTGCACTGCACAGCACACAAGCACGACCCATCAGCAGCGATCTGGCCCGATCCCATCGCCACACCGGCAGTGCTCGCAGCCCCCGCCGCGCCGGTACCCGTCGCGATACCAGGCGGCGTCACCAAGCCCGTTGCGGTCGCACCCGCACCGCCAGCACCCGCGGTGGCGGTGTCGACTGCGGAAGCGGAAGCGGAAGCGCTGGCATTGGCACCACCGGCTCCGGCTCCGGCGTTACCGCCGTTGCCGGTGATGGCGCCGCCGGAGCCTTGGCCGGCTTGTTGGATGGCCATGGCTTGGAATTGGGCGTGGGTTTTGGCGGCGGTCGGGTTGATGGATAGGACCATGCCCTTGCCGCAGTGGCCGGCTTGACGGCAGTAGAACCCTGTAGGTAAGAAATAAGGGTTAGAATTTCTGATGGGTTAGATTTATAGAGGGAAGGGGGGAGGACATACACAGCGGGGTATCAACCATGATCTGCATAGCGACCTGCGGCGGGGGGTTGACAGTATTGTTCGCATTGGCCTGGAACCCAGAGTCCATACCACCAGCGAGAGCCGCACACGGCTTATCAAACGCCGACTGCGTAGCAGTGTGGTTCTGGCTGAGGAAAGTGAAGATAACGGTATCACCAATCGCCGCGGTCAACTGCTGCGGGTTGAAAGACAGACCCTGCGGCCCACCGACCGTGACGCTGTGCGTGGCACCGCCCGCACCGCCCGCCGTGGCCGTGGCGCCGCCGGCTACGGTGGTGGTCGCAGCGCCCGCGGCATCGCTTGTTGCGACGGCTGGCGGGGCCGTGGCGGCTGCGTCTCCGCCCGCGCCGCCGGCGTTCACGGTCTGGGTGACGGTGACGGTGGAGGCCGCGTTGATGACGGTGGTTGCGGCGCCGCCACCGATGTTGACCCAGAGGAAGTTGATGGAGGTGCCGGAACCGCGGTTCACGCCGATGAGGCGGGCTAGCTCGGCGAGCTGCGCTTCGGAGGCCTGGACGCTGTTCTTACCTCCTTGGCCACCACCGCCGTTACCGTTACCGCGGCCATTGCCGTCGCCGCCTTCACCACCACCGCCAGGACCACCACCACCGGATAGATGGCTGTTTCGGCGGACTGGATAGACGTTGTGGACCGCCTTGCCCAGCACGAAGGGCGCCATGCCCAGCACTGCTGCTGCTGCTGTGATGAACTTCATTGTGTCGTCTCTGCGTTGTGTCTCTCTCTGTCTATTCCTTTTCTCGTTTTCTCCGTCGTTTTCGTCGTTGTTTTAGTGTTTAATGTCGTTCCTCGTTCGAACCTCTCTACTAGGGAGGGGGTGTATGATGACGATGTTGTGTTGTGAAAATAAAGCGAGTCCCTGCTCGTGTCGAAGCGAAAATAGTGGCGAGGAAGAAGATAAGAAGGAAAAAGAACGGATCAACCAAAATGAGCGAAAACACACACGTATACACACACGCAGGAAGAAAAAGGAGGTGGGTGAGAGAGAAAGAAGAGAGAGGAAACAAGACGTCTTGGAGAAAGGCCACCTGGGGGGGCCGTGTAGGGCTTATATCGCAGCATGATGATCTTCGTACACGGCCGTCCTAGGCTGTGAGTTCGACGAAGATCCCGGTGCGCGAGGAGGGGGGTGAGGATGGCTCGAAACACTTGGGAAGGCATCACCGTGGTAATGGTCGTCCCCTTACACGCCCCCTCTAAGCCCATCTCTCCTTGCGATCCCGTCTCAAAAAATCTCAAGAAACCACACAACCTAGTCGAAGGGCGCCTATCCACCTTGCCCAGCGCCCGGGAGTACTCGAGTTGTCTATGCCGTGGTGGCTATACCACTACCATTTTCGCAGGGAGGCGACGACCGGCCCAGACCGAGGGGGTATAGACAGGAGGTTGTTCTGTGACACAGGCGTCTCAGAATGGTGTTTGGCATCGCGCCAAGCCCGACGTGCACAGACGGGACGAGATGGGACGAAGGAGCCGAAAACAGGGGTTCGTTACCCCAGACCCGGGCCCGGCGGCGCACTTACACACGCCATTCCGTTGTCGTGCTGTCGTGCTGTCGTGCTGTCGAAGAAAAAAAGAGAGCGAGGCGATTCGCCTTCCCTTGGATGCTCGACGTGCCCAGAAAACGGGTTTCGGGGCCAAGACTTCAAAAGCGCCAGCCGCTAACTCTACTTCATACGAAGTATGTCATCTTACTCCATTAGCCCGTTTGATGTTTTGGGCGGCAACATCATCTTCGCTTCTGGGGCTCCGCAGAAACGCAAGCGGCCGATATTCTCGGCCAGGTCACCGCGCTTAAGCACGACATAATTAGATAATCCCAGTGCCCAGCTAGGCCTTCTCAAACGGCCACTTCGCGAAATAGAAATAGACTACAAGAGTAGGCCGGAGAAAACGGCAGCCGCCCGGGATGTTGAATAACCATTCTTGTGGCCCGCAACGGCGGCCCCCACTAACTCGTTTCGGGTTCTTCTTGTGTTTCTTCGCACGGGGCAAGTTGCTTGACTCGACGAGCAGCATCATCCTTCTTTTAGAGTGAGGAAACGCAGGGAAATGCAGGGGAAGTTGTGGCGGTATCCGTCTTGGTTGCCTCCCGAGGCCAGTGCAACAGGTCCAACTTTGCTTTCCATCTCCATTGATGTCGGGTTGAGGTTAAGTGAAGTCAACTTAACGATTTGGCTTCCTGGCTTGAGGGCTGCGGGCCTGGATTAGAGTGCCGCAGCGGCCCACTCGGGCGACGGGAGCCTCGATTCCTTCACCCGCATGGCTGGACTTCCGGCCGGAGGTGTATCTTGGCAGCCTGGGCAATGAGAATGAGACTGAAGATGAAAACTGTACTTCGTAAATGAAGACAGAAAAATGATGAAAATCCCGGTCAATCCATCATCCCATCCCTCTACCGTGCTTGGCGACGAAACCTCGATGGCCCGGAAGAGGCAGCCCACGAATACTTCGTACGTAAAGACGCAAAGACGCAAACGCAAGAGGGTTCAATCGACGCCTTAACGTAACGTTCGTTAGCATCCGTTAAGGCGTGTTTGAAACGAAGCACCGGCGGCTTCAAAAAGCCCAGGCTAGGTCCTCATCGCTCGGTGGCTATGCCAACTACGTCGGGTGTGTCTGCTCAGCGCATAGGTAGCAGCGAACAACACCGGACATGCTGCTCTTCCGGGACGTTTGCGTGGCCCGGGTCTGCCGGAATCTGCTATCCGTCTGCGGCGGGATGCCACGGGGCCTGGGGTGAGTGGGGTGTGGCCTGATTGATTGATGGGATGGCAGGCAAGCGAAAAGGAAACGAAAAAGTGAAAAAGTGAAAAGTCGAAGGGGTCGGTGGCTTGCGCGGTTGTTCCATGATACCGAGGGCAGTGGTGCTCAGACGTGGAACTTGCGGGAGCCGTGTGCAAGAGTCAGGGTTTTGGAACATGAGTCGTCGCAGGCGAACTTTTTTGGCGTCGATCAGGGTTTGGCCACAGGGCGTTGTGGCCCCGGCGCTTCAGGGTTAACGGGGCTCGCGGGGGTCTCCAGGGTTATCCCATTGAGGCGTTTGGCGCCAAGTCTCGAATTTTCAGCCTCGAACTTGTCGACCCACTCACTCACCTTTCTCGCTTGCTTTTGGACCGTTTCACATATCACGACTTGAACCTTCGATGGGTCTTGAATGTCAAGGAATCCTCATTTTGAACGGAGCAACTATGGAAGGGGGTAAGTTCCTCAGCTCAAAAAACGGCCGTGCTGATGTTTCTTGTTCAACGAACCCGTCGATGTCGCCATTTGACACTGATCGGTCAAACAAATCAATAATCTTTCCGCTCGCCCTTTGCCTGTTGATTCCCCTGCTGCTTGCCTTCAAAAAGCCCGGTATAATATCCTAAAACGGTCAGTAAAAGGGACATGACTCTAGCAAGCTAACCAAATAAAACACAACCTACCCGCGTAATACCACGACATCAGCAGCTTCTTCAGTTCTTCATCTTGTACTATACCGCAAGTTAGCACAATATTGGACACCGTCAGTCTCAAACATGAAAACCCACTGTTTCCTAGAAGCATCTGTGGCCCTGACATTGGCGCAGACGCTCCAGCCTGCACCTCGTTTGCCTACAAAGATTCGCCTGTCAGTCACGAACAGAAACATCCCAGGGGTTCCGCTCAGTCAAAAAAAGAGTCAACGAGAGGGAAAGGCGTTTCACGCCAAGCCTCGACCGATCTTCGAGGATTCCCACAACCATCCGTCCGTCCCGTTGCCCGCACGTCAAAACTGCAGATGGATGGGCAGACAGCCACAGACATGCGTTGCGCTAGACGCAAAGGTAGGGTAGCAAGGTGAAAGAACTTGCCTTCGTTTCACCCCCGGAGCCTTGGACATCCGAAATTACTGGGTGCGATGTTTCGTCGCTCGAGCCTGTGAGCATCGTCTCGTCGAGCTCGCCCTCTTCTTCCTCCTCCTCCTCTTGCCCCTCGCCTACCGTCTTGCCGTCTGTTTCAGGCTTGGCATTGACTCTGTGCGTAAAGATGGATTAGTGTGAGGATCGTACGATTTGCTCAAACTCCTCCCTGTTATTTTCGAGTTTCCATTTTTGTTGGCGTTTGCCATTCTCCGCTATCTCGTCTTCTTCCTGTTTCCATCACTCCATATCTTTCGGGCCCAGGAATGACACATAAATGGCGGAGGAACTTTACCTTTGGGCTCCATCATCCGGGATATCGTCGACGGTCCCACCTTTGGCGTGGATACTATGATATTTCTGGGAGACCGAACGTCAGATCTGTTGCAACCCTCCTATCGCGTCACCGCCCGTGGGACTGCTGGAGGGACACGCGTGCCGCGATCATAGCCATAGGCGTACCTTGTACTCTTCCAGTGCCTGGTTCCAGGAGTTGATGAGAGCGGAATCGTCCCATATTTCTTCGTGGGTTGCTGCAGTCTCGGAATCCATTTTGGAGGAGTGTGATGTTGTCGAGTTGAAGATTTTTAGATGCGATCGCTCGCTCGCTCATTTTGGGAGCTCATTCCCCGGCCTCCGCTCATTTTACAACAACTTCAAACTTGGCACCCAATCTACATCGACAAACTAACAAATACTCAATATTAACTTTACACTAGGTTCGCCTGCTGAAATCAATTTTTCAGTGACTAGCACACACTTTCATCTCTTTGACTATCCTACCATTCAACCCCGATCAGCAGAACTTGCGATTAGGTGTATCTTCACCCTTTACAGGTCCACCACATCGACTAGTACAACACAGTCTTTATCAAGATACACGGGAGTGAAATTATTGTCTTTTGCAAATCAGGAAAGCCGACAAGTCCTACACGTGTAAAGCTAAGTTAATGTCAATGGACAAACTCCTAAACACTCAACAACAAACAACGAAGCCAAGAGACAAGTGCAGGTCAACAAAAGAATCCCTGAAGACTCAACCACACCAATTCAACCATGTCTCTCTCACTGCCACACTCCCACGCTGCTTCATTCCTCCAGCTGGTCACGAGACCGTTCCTGCCCACGCACCGAGTCTCGGAATCCCGACTTGTCACACTCGCTACCGATAAAGGAGATCAGAATCACCCCGGTGTGGCGTGGCGGTCGCGAATTCCCCATGCACAAGAACCGCATTCGGAGATTCCGTCAAGGGAAATCTCGAATGCAAATCGTGAAATGTCTTGGGCGGTGTCCATCGACTTTTTTTCCATCAACCCCAGTGCCCCTCCATAATCGCTCTTCAGCACCTCGACTTCCCCGCAGTGGCCCCCAACTTTCCCCCCAAACCCCCCTAACCCCGCACACACCCGCCGTCCACGCAAGGACCGCTGCGGCAGAGCTCTGGGAAATCTCCAACGAAAAATCGAGAAATAAAAACCTTCCCCACTCAACCATCAGCACAAACCTTGAGATCTTCCCAAGACCGGAGCGACGATCCAGGCACTTCGCGGCACAGTGGGCACCCGTTCTGGACCCTGCGGATGAAAAGTCTTGCATGTCACGCGGACACCAACGTCCCTTTCAAGCCTCTCATCGCCCCCATCGAGCCCATCCCCAAGGATCTCTGGGATGTCAGACCCGCAAAAAAAAGCTGCCCATCGCTGCGGACTCTGCAGCTGTCTTCCCGGCCTGCCGGCCTCCCCGCCGCGCCGCTGCAGCAGCCGAAAGCTTCCAAGAGGCGCGCTGCAACCTCTTCACGCTCCCAGGCTCCCACCGATAGGGTAGTCCGGAGCTGTTTTGGCAGTTCGGTGTTGATCCTTTGTGCTGATCCCGAGAGCCAGAACCTTTTTTTTTCTCGGTATCCCGCGCTGCTGGGTTGTGTTGTTGTGTGTGTTACACTGTTAGCTCGTTCTCGACCCGGCCATCCCCCCTGTAAGTGTTTGGAATAGCCGTCTACACACACCACCATGTCCGACCATCGTGCGTGTTCGTGTCGTGGTCTGTGACAGGACCTACGGATATGCAATCCCTCGTTCCCCCTACCCTGTCTTCTGAGGTTAGTCGAGTTAGTGTCCCAGATACACATCCCCGGTGAGAGGAGAAAGACTGGAGCATGTTGGAGAATGGATGATGAAGCCCAGTGGGGAATTACCTGTCGCTCTTCCGTTTCTTGCCCCAATCGCCTATCCACGCCCATCCACCCACTCCATGGTTGAGGTCATGGACGTGGCTTTGTTGGTGTGTAGGAATGGGAGGTGAGTCTTGTACCCCCAAGTCACGAAGTACTGGGGTGGCTTGGAGGGGGGGAAGGGGGGGAGCTTGGGAGATATGAAAGAGCTGGCTCCTTCCCCCGATTCTAGGAGCTCATCCGTCTGAACATTCACCTCTTTAATCACTCTTCTTGGTCCTCCTACCTCTTGCCTTTTGGCTTGACCTAACGATAATAATAAATAATTATTCAAACACAATCCTAACTCTTTCCTTTTTCACCCCCGTGATCCGGAACCATCCATCACACAACCCTCGCAACGCCGAGAACCACAACCACCAACGGCGGCAAATCAGACCCGCGTCAGTGCAGGGAAAATAAAATGTAAGTCGGATGGCGGATAATTCAGACCAATTGATCTATTGGCCACTTTCAAAGCTACCGATGGCTAACCTGTTCTCCATTCTAGGGCGTCTCCTCAGGTTAGTCGCGACGCCGATTTCCCGGTCTGGAACTCCTAGGAGGATACCACTGAGCATTGGCACTAACATAGCGGAACATCCAGGACCACCACTTTATCGGCATCGACGTCGGCACGGGCTCAGCCCGCGCTTGTGTCATAGATGCGACCGGCGAGATCAAGGGACAAGAACTCAAAGAAATCAAGCTCTGGCAGCCAGCCAGTGGCTACAGCGGCTCTCACTATGTAAGCGATCGTTGGATTTTCCATTCGTTAATGACCCCCATTTACTAACACACTCCACAGGAGCAATCGACCACAGATATCTGGAACGCCATCGCCTACTGCGTGCGCTCCTCTCTCGCCAAGTCGGGCGTCGACAAGAACACCGTCCGCGGTATCGGCTTCGATGCGACCTGCTCCTTGGCCGTCTTCACCCACGATACCGATGAGCCCGTCGCCGTGACCGGCCCGAACTTTGACAATGCTGATGGCAACGACCGCAACGTGATTCTCTGGCTCGACCACCGCCCGGGGGCCGAGACTGAGCTGATCAACAGCACCAAACACAACTTGCTGCGCTACCTCGGCGGCAAGATGAACATTGAGATGGAGATGCCCAAGGTGTTGTGGCTCAAGAACAACATGCCCCCCGAGCTGTTTGCCCGCTGCAAGTTCTATGACTTGGCTGATGCCTTGACCCATCTCGCTACTGGCGGCGAGACCCGAAGCTTCTGTAGCACTGTGTGCAAGCAAGGGTATGTGCCTGTCGGTGTGGATGGCAGTGTCAAGGGTTGGCAGGAGGATTTCTACCAGGCCATTGGCCTGGGCGAACTTGCGGAGGATGGTTTCCGCCGGATTGGTGGTGTCAATGGCGTGGTATGCATTCCCCCGCTTGTGACTACGTACCTGACTTGCTCTGAATGGGAGGCTGACCGAGGATGATTACTAGAACGGTGACTTCTTCAGCGCTGGCGAGCGGATCGGCGGCTTGTGCGAGAAGGCTGCCAAGGACTTTGGTCTCCCCGTCGGTGTGGCCATCGGCAGTGGTGTCATCGACGCGTACGCGGGCTGGATCGGAACAGTTGGTGCTAAGGTCAAGCTGGATCCCGACTGCCTCGACGACTCCGTCGCGCACAACGATGTCTCGCAAGCTTTCACCCGTCTGGCGTCTGTGGCTGGCACCTCGACGTGCCATTTGGCCATGTCCCGCGACCCCGTTTTTGTGCCGGGCGTCTGGGGCCCTTACCGCGACGTGCTCACGCCCGGCTTCTGGATGGCCGAGGGCGGTCAGTCAGCCACTGGCGAGCTGATGAAGCACATGCTCGAGACTCACGCCGCCTTTGACGATACTACCAAGGAGGCCGCCGCCGCGGGCCAGAGCATCTACGAATACCTCAACCACCACCTGCGCCACCTGGCTGACCAGTCCAACGCGCCCTCGATCTCGTACCTCGTTCGCCACTACTTCTTCTACGGCGACCTGTGGGGCAACCGCTCGCCGATCGCCGACCCCAATATGCGCGGCGCCATCATCGGCATGAGCTCCGACAAGAGCAAGGACGGCATGGCCCTGCTGTACTATTCCACCATGGAATTCATCGCTCTGCAGACCCGCCAGATCGTCGAGACCATGAACGCGTCGGGCCACACCATCAAGAGCATCTTCATGTCAGGCAGCCAGTGCCAGAACGAGATCCTCATGGACCTGATCGCCACCGCCTGCGGCATGCCGGTGCTGATTCCACGCTATGTCAACGCCGCTGTCGTCCACGGCGCTGCCATGCTGGGTGCCAAGGCTGCCTCTGCCGATAAGACCGGCAAGACGGAGCCGCTGTGGAACATCATGGACCGCATGAGCAAGCCCGGCAAGGTCGTCTGGTGCCGCAACGACCCAGCTGAGAAGAAGCTCCTGGATGCCAAGTACGAGGTGTTCCTCGACCAGGCTCGCACTCAGCAAGAGTACCGCAAGAAGATCGATGAGGCCCTCAAGGGCTCCACCCTCGAGGTCGAGGTTAATGGCCACGTCAACGGGACTGCTAACGGCACTGTTAATGGCCATGGCAATGGCGCTTCCGCTTGAACCTGAGCCTAGTCTTCCTCCATTTGCCTGATTTTGCGCTGGATCGGATGCAGGCTTGCTATCTATCTCAATCTCTATCTACCTTCTTCTGGGGCCCGGATAGGGAACGGGAAGGTACGGGGAAGGAAAAATACACGATGGGATTAGAATTTTCGGGATCGGATTCTTTTTTTCGGGTTGTGGAAAGCGATGTTGCTTGGTCGGCGGGGAATGAATGCCTGGCGTTGCGGTGATTTTTCGATGACATGGACGGACGGTGTTCATTTTCAAATGGGTTTTAGAGAGGCTTCCTTTAGCAGAGGGATGGCTAGACTTGGTAATAGCCGAACTGATTTTTTCGAACTGCATCGCTATGCCTCTCCGTGACTTGTGAGTTGTGGTGCTGTTTCTACAATGTTCAACGCTTTGAGGTTACCTAGGTAGAGTCGATTGATGAAAGTTGTGGATTGCTTTGTCCGGTGTTGAAAGCGCGGGTTGAAATTGGCGGGTCAACCACGGGAGTCTGCTAGCTGCCTGGGTGGTCCAAGCTCCTTACCAAAAGTCTCTCGGCTTTTTTCACTGGCCCCAGCCCCTGTAGCCGCCCCACCCAACGCCATGCAGGCGCGTCCAAAGCATTTTTGGGTTGCAGAAAGGTCGTGCAGCATCAACAATTCGCAAACACAACAAGCGGCCTCAGCGACTTCCGACTTTCCCTCGCCGGCCTTCGTTTTCCGCGACCCCGTGGCCCTGCGCGCATTTTATATTGCGCGTTTGAGCTGCTATTTCCGGCCGACTTCGAAAACACCGAGAAAAAAAAACCAGGGAAGAAGGTGGGGAGACAAACGGGGAGAAACAAGAAAAAAAACGACGAACCAGACAGGAAAGAAGGACGACTGACTGCCCATCATGTTCATGGGCAGAGGTACGCCGGCAACGGCCAATTCGACCGGGTTTCTAGGCTCCCTGGGCCCGAACCAGAGCCAGGGCCAAAGCACAACTCCCGCCGCTGGGAACAGCATCTTCGGCTCGACGACGAACAGCAACTCCCTCTTTGGAAACAGCGCGGCATCCACCGCTGGGGCAGCCACCCCGACACAGGCGAGGCCGTCCGGGCTCGGAGGATTTGGCTCGACGTCCCTGTTCGGCGCCTCGACCACGACCCCGCAGGGCTCGCTTTTCGGCGGCAACCAGTCGACTGCCACGCCGACAGCCCAGCCTGCTGCTGGCACCGCCGCTGCTGCTCCCGGGAATAGTTTGTTTGGAAGCACGTTGGGGTTGAGCGGTACCACCGCGACGACCAGCCAGACTGCCCCTGCCGGGGGAAGTCTTTTCTCCTCTGCTGCTCCTGCGGGTGGGCTGAGTCTTGGTCTGGGAGGCGGCTTCTCAACTACCCCGGCCGGTTCGATAAACCCGCAACAGCAGCAGCAGCAACAACAACAACAGCAGCAGCCGCAGCAGCAGACCTTATTGCAGTCGCAGCAGCCGCAGCAGCAAGGCCCGCCGTCTGCGCTTCCGACTGGCGCGCTGTTTGACAGCCTCCTCGCCAAGAACAAGAAACAAGCCGAGGGCGAGACGGCGCTGGGCGAGCTGCCAGCGCTTCAGCTCGGGCTGGGGGACCTCCGTCAGCGGCTTAGGCAGCTTGGCCCCACGCACGACAAGCCCGTGGAACATGGCAAGGCACACTATTTTCTCGCGGCGTCGGGCGTTGACCCCGGTGCGGCGGTTCGTGATCTCGGCGCGTTCGGGCTCCAGGCCAAGGAACGCGGAGCCGGTGGTCAGGGGAACGGCGGGTATGGGACTGGCTTGGGCGAGCTGGATGTCGACACGTATTTGTCGAACTTGCAAACTAAGACGACGCTGAGCATGATTGCGGATGGGCTGGACCGGTCGGTCCGGGACTTTGACGCGTTTCTGGAGGATAATGTGACGATGGAATGGGATGCGAAGCGTCAGAGGATTTACGAGCATTTTGGAATCAAGCCGAGGGAGGATCTGGCTGCGGGCGGTGGTGGCTCACAGCAGCCGGCTGGGCGCGCGTCGACGCCTCTGAAGGACGGCCAGGGCACGTTTGGGCGATCTCGACGCAAGGCAAGCCAGGCGGCTGGTGGGGAGCGGGCGTCACAGCGGGCGAGTGTGCTGGGCCGGTCGGCGATGCAGCGCTCGGTTATTGGAACGCCGAGCAGGATCGGGTCGCATGCGTCTGAATTTACGGATGTGGCGCCACGCAAGGACGGTGCGAACGGGGCGGCCGGATCGCTGGATGATCGGTTCTTGCGGGAGAAGCAGGGCAAGCTAGCCGAGAAGATGCACGAGTTCAACAACGCTCGGCAGCAAGGCACGCCCATCTACATCTGCCGTGACCTGGCCGACTTGGAGTCCAAGTCGGGCGACCCGCATGCCCCGCATGTTGTGGAGGCATACCGGGCAATGATGGAGATTGTGGGTGAGTACCCCGAGGCCGAGGAGACGCCCAAGGCGCGGCAGTTTGCGAAATCGTACCTGGATCCGAACCCGCAATCGGCCGACGCGGTGAAAATGCGGAAGCAGATCCTCAACGGCGCGACGGCGTTCCTAGAGAAGCAGTTCTGGCACGAGGTCAACACGCAGATCGCCAAGTACCCGCAGGACGCCAACCTCGGCGGGCTGCCCGATGTGATCAGCAAGACCAAGGCGTACGTGCGGCTGAAGTTTGCGCGCAAGACGCTCATGTCGGACAATGTCGACCTGCAGCAGGCCAACGGCGAGTACATCTGGGCGATTGTGTTCTTCTTGCTGCGGTCTGGGTTTGTGCACGAGGCCGCGCAGTACGTCAACGACAACCAGGGCCACTTCCGGACGATCGACCGCACGTTCTCCGGGTACATCAACAGCTACGCGTCGAGCGAGGAGCGGCGGCTCAAGCGGCAGATGCAGGACCGGTGCACGAGCGAGTACAACCAGCGCATCCGCAACGCGCCCGAGGGCTCGATCGACCCGTTCCGCATGGCCTGCTACAAGATCATCGGCCGGTGCGACCTGACCAACCGCAGCCTGGAGGGCCTGCAGACGGACGTGAACGACTGGGTGTGGCTGCAGTTCACCCTGGCGCGCGAGACCGACCGGTCTGTCGAGCTGGCCGGCGAGTCGTACGGCCTGGCCGAGCTGCAGGCGAGCATCCGCGAGATCGGGCTCAAGCACTTCCCCAAGACCCCTGCCGAGGACGCTAATGGCAGCTTCGGCATGTTCTTCTACCTGCAGGTGCTGGCGGGGCTGTTCGAGCAGGCCATCGCGTACCTGTACGCCTTCTCGTACGTCGACGCGGTGCACTTTGCCGTCGCGCTGACCTACTACGGTCTGCTGCGGCCCACGCCCGCGATCGCAGAAGCCACTGGCACCAACGGCGGCAATGAGCTGCTGTCGCACAACACGCGCAACCAGCCGCAGATCAACTTTGGCCGCATGCTCGGCTACTACACGCGCGACTTCCGCGCGGCCAACGCAGCCGCCGCCGTTGACTACCTCGTGCTGATCTGCCTCAACGCCGACGAGGCCACGGGGGCCGCTTACCAACAACAGGCCGCCCTCTGCCACGAGGCGCTTCGCGAGCTGGTGCTCGAATCGCGCGAGTTCAGCCGGCTGATCGGCGACATCAAGCCCGACGGCCAGCGCATCCGTGGCGTGATCGAGCAGCGCGGCCCACTGATCGCCCTCGGCCACGAAGACGAGTTCATCCGCGCCATCACGGTGCAAGCCGCCAGCTTCGCCGAGGACAACGGCCGCACCACCGACGCCGTGCTGCTGTACCATCTCGCCGAGGACTACGACACCGTTGTGTCCATCGTCAGCCGCGCGCTGAGCGAGGCCGTCTCGCTGGAGATTGGCGAGGATCCCATGCGTCTGGTGCCCGTCAAGCCGCGCGTCGAGGGCGGTGCCGAGCCGGATGCGGCCCAGCGCGGGACCAGCTTGAGCTTGGCTGCGATCGATGACCCGGTTGAGTTGGCTCAGACGATGATGGGCATGTATGAGCGCGATAGCATGTTCCGGCAGCGGATCCGTGATCCTAACCGTCAGGCGTGCCGCGTGTTGTTGAGCATGAGCGCTATTAAGAAACTAGTTGAAGAGGGGCAGTGGCCGACGGCCTTTGATGTATGTCCTTCTCTTTCCCCCTTCACTATCTCATCCCTCTTCAACGTAGAGCAATACTAACCCAACAACAGGCCATCCGCGCCCTAGACATCCTCCCCCTCACCGCGAACGGCGACCCAACCCAAATCCGAAACTACGCCGCCCGCTTCCCGTCCTTCCCCCAGCCCGTGGCCATCAACGTGCCCAACCTGCTGCTGTGGACGGTGGTCTGCTGCACGCGTCAGCGCGAGCGCCTGCTGATGAGCCAGTTCACGAGCGGTAACCAGTCGACTGCGCGCCAGATGGTGGATGATTTGAAGCAGGTTAGTCTGGATTTGACGGCGTATACCAGCCAGTTGAGGTATCGGCTGCCGCCGCATTTGCATGAGGCGTTGGCAAGGGCTTCGGCTGATTAGGGGAATCGGCCGGAGGAGAGGAGAAAATGTGGAAGAGAGAGGGTTGGCTTTGTTTGGGTTTGTTTGTGGGGAGAACGGGGGCCGGGAGGACATGAGAGGAATGGGGAGGAAATGAGGGATGAGGAATGAAGGCAGTGTCGTTGTTGAAGTTGAGTAACGGTCATGTATGTATGGACTACCTCGCTCTGGCCAGTTCTGGCTGGTCGTTAATACCAAAGAGCCTGTGATATTAGTGTGGTGGTCTTTTTCTTTCGTTTACTGTTTACATATGTGTCTACTTGTCTACACCTGGGTGCATAATACTAGAGTCACACCAACCTACCCCCTCGATCCTTTCCTGGTAACTTTCGCCGTCATGCTTGATGTGACTCCCTTCTAGCCCTCACAATCGGCAAAGCTGGGTTTGGTGTTGTGACGAGTCGTTACCTCGGTTTCCTACGTTCCCGAGTCCGTGTTTGAAGCCGGATAGATCAATCGATGGGTAATGGAGTCGACCACAAACTTGGAGATAGCAGATACCCGCATTCACAATTGACGAGTCTGAAATTGAAATCCTTGAAACTAAAATCTGACATTGTGCTTGTGAGGAAGGAGAGACGGAGATGAGTTTAGGAAAGTGGGGCTTCCCTCCCAGCATGAAGCCAATCCCTGCCAAGACCACTCAGCTTCGAGCCACCCATGAGCCACCTTCCCACTGTGCGATTCCCGTTACGTGAAGCCGACTCGCGTCCGACGATGGCCTGACTCGGGCCGGCATGGGAGGACCGGCGCGCCTGAATCGTTGTCGCTCACAAAGTCCTCCCAGACCAGCAAATTTCCACCCGACTCCGCCTTTTCCGGCTTTCCAAACCGCTGCAGCACTGCACCACGCCCCAAGTTGATCCAACAAACTCGCAGGCTCCCGAACCAGGGTTTGGCTGGCCCATCCGCGCCCATCGCGCCACTGCCGAGCAAATCTTGGACGCATTCTCCCGCAGAATATTGATTATTGATCGATTTCGGTCGTGGTCCGGGTCCCCGACCGGCCGCTGTGCGAGGCAATTTCGACCCCATTTCCGTCCGTCCGTCCGCCAGTCAACGGCGGTCAGCCCTAGCCTAACGTTTAGTTGCCTACTGTGTACCCTAGGTAGCAGCAAAGCCTAACAGCCGAAGCAATGTCCCTGGCGGTCAACCCACCACCACCACCCAACACCACTACTTCTCCTCCCACCGACGCACCCAGCCGAGCCAACCTGGCCCAGCGGAGCTCCACCCCCCACGGTTACAGTGGTGCTGGGCGGAAGCGTGGCTTTGCCGGCCCCGTAGGGCAGGGCGAACAAGAAGAGGAAGACAAAGGAGCACGGCTAGATAGTGGTGGAGGTGACACAACAGCCACAGACAAAGACAAAGACACCCAGACCCCTGGTAGCCAACGGCCGAGTGTTGTACATGTAGACCCAAGCCTGTGTGCAGGTACAGGTACAGGTACAAGTCCAGGTGCAGGTACCGGTGCAACGGAACACGAATCACAGTCCGGTTCGCCAGACGACCATCAGCGGCATGACGACGATGACGAGCAGCACCAACACCAGCACCAGCACCAGCCCGGACAACAAGGTCAAGGTGATGGGGGTGATGATCAACAAGGGGCTGATACCCCAACTCCGGGGAGCGTCGATGCCGGGAACAGCTTCAAGAAACGCAAGACCACAAGGAGCTCCCGGGGCGTGGCCCACCTAACGCCGGAGCAGCTCGAACGGAAACGAGCCAACGGTGAGTGGGGACTTTGTCTTTCTTTCCCCTAGTTCCCCGTCTCGGCACGGATCCGGTCCGGTTCGGTTCGGTCCGGTCTAAAAGGGCCCGCTCGTTTGGAGTCCCGTTCTCCACCTGCCGGATCAGCCCCATTATCGCACTTGTTTCCGAGTACATAGTACACCACACGGTGCTTATTATCCCTGTGTTCGCAACGGAAACTAATCTCTGCTATGTTGTAGACCGCGAGGCCCAGCGTGCCATCCGCGAACGGCAGCGTCAGAAGACGGAACACTATGAGCGCGAGATCGCCCAACTCAAGGCCACCAAGCCGTACCAGGAGCTGCAGCATGCGGTCCGCCAGAAGGAGGCCGTCGAGGCCGAGCTGGCTGATGCGAAGCGGCGGATGGCTGCTGTCATGGCCATGATCCAACCCATCCTCGGTGCGGTTGATGGTACTCGTAGGTTTCTTATCCCTTGTTGCTGCTTTCTAGTTCAAGAAAACTAATACATGTATGTATGAAGCATCACCCGCTCAGCCACCACCATCACAATCACAGCCTGTCCGGAGCCAGCCTCCCAGAATCAATACCGCTGGCTCAACGCCCAACAGCGCTGCTTCCCCCGTCTCGGCCGGGCCACACAGCCGTTGGCAGAACAGCCTCTCACCGGCCACGACGACGACAACGACAGCCACTATCGCACCGCAACCGTCCCCGGAGATGGGCGTGTTTGACCAGCAACGCTACGACCTCGCCAACAACCTCAACTTTGACAGCTCCAGCCGGCTCGGGCTCGACTTTCTTGTCGACTCCAACACCAAGATCGCGCGGATCCAGGACGGCTTCGATGGCGCCCAGGACTCGCCGCGCTACCGCCATGTGCCTATGCAACACGACTGGACGGCCACCTCGTGCACGTTGCCGGGTATGCATGGTGGACCTCAGTCGGTACAACCGCCACCTCAGCAGCAGCACGAACCACAGGCCATGTACGGCCACGGGCCAACAGCCAACGGGCCTTACTTGCCGCCTGTGACATCTGCCATGCCTACTTCTTCATCCAGTACTGCACCTGCTCCGGTACTTTTGCCGATTCCCCATAGCTCCTCCTCCATCCCAACAGCGACGATGACAACGATGGCACCCATAGCGACAACAACAATGCCCCCCATAACAACGACAACGACAACAACAACAACAACCACCACAAACACCAATACCTCACCCCCCCTCTACACCCTCACCCCCCGCAACTGCCCCCCCACCTGCCCCCTCGACTCCATCCTCCTGGACTTCATGTCCGAGCGCCGCCAACGCGCCACCGAAGGCCTACCCCCCTCGGAAATCGTCGGCCCCCGCTACCCCTCCGTCTCCTCGCTCCTCAACCCGGCCATCTCCGTCTACTCCCACCCCCTCTCCAAAGTCTTCACCGACATCCTCGTCTGTTTCCCCAACCTCTCCACCCTCCCTGAGCGCGTCGCCGTCCTCTACGCCATGTTCCTCATCATGCGCTGGCGCGTCTCGCCCACCCGCGAAAACTACGACCGCTTACCCCCCTGGGCCCAACCCTCGCGCGTCCAGCTCGAATACCCGCATCCGGCATGGTACGATTACATACCGTTCCCCGCGCTGCGGGAGAAACTGGTGGCGGAGTATAGGGAGGGGGTGTGTTTGTTTGAGAACTTTTTTGTGTCGTTTTCGTCGACGCTGAATCTGAATTGGCCGTATGATGATGCGGTGGTGTTGTTGGCGAGCCCGGGGGGGGAGGAGTTGATGATTAATCCGGTTTTTGAGCAGCATTTGAAGAGGTTGGAGAATTGGACTGTCGGAGAGGCTTTTGAGAGGGCGTGGCCTGGGTTGGCGAGGTTGTGTAATTTGAAGAGGGGTTAATCTCCGGTGCATAGAGGGAGGGAGTGATGAGGGTAATGCGATGGGGGATTGATGTGATGGAGTATGTGGTGGGTGGATAAGGATGCTTATATGGCTGGGTTGGGTTAGATATTTAGATTGATATCTTTGTTAAGAGGGATGAGAGGCGTGTCAAAAGTAAGGGGGTTATGGGATAGGCGTGTGCTCATATGGGACGAGTACTTAATTATAGTTTCGAAGTTGAATGCAATTCAGCTATTACATCTTGATATACTGTACGTGTACATACGATCTAGCGTATCAAGCAAGTAAAGCGCAGATGGAAGCAGTTATTATCCCTGATGTAAAATCCCAGTCAACACCCCTAAAACACACCAACGCCAGTCTAACCCATCCGTTTTTGAATACCGTATTACCTTTTCCCATCCATATCCCACATTCCAGTCCCCCAACACCGATTATCTATCACTTTTATAACCCCCCCTAAAACGCCGTCCGACCGATCCCACAATCTCAACCGTACTTGTACAGTACAGTACAGTACAGTACAGTACAGTACAATCACGCCCAAAAAGAATATTTCCTCACCACTTCCCCTTCCCCGACAAACAAACTCGGATGCCGATCCCCCGACAGCGTTTGCCACATCAAACTCTGCACCACACTCGGCGCTCTAATCCCCGGTTCTAATCCTCCGTCTGCTCCTCCCCCTTCTCCTCCTTCTCCTCCTTGTCCTCCTTGCAGTCCTCCTTGCAGTCCTCCTTGCAGTCTTCCTTGTACACTTCCCCGTTGTTGTTGCCGCTGTTGTCCCCTTCCCCTTTCCCTTCCCCGTGATCTTGATCCTCCCGCGTCTTCCCACGCCTCCACAATCCCCGGCACCTCCAACCGCCCCCCATCCCTCACCGAAAACAACCCCACTCCATACCTCCCCCTCCTACTCCTCGGTATATCCTCCCTCGCACTGGGATACCAATTCGCCCACCAAGAGGTCATACCACCACCACCACCTCCTCCTCCTCCTCCTCCTCCTCCTCCTCCTGCTCCACCACCACCACCACTCTCACTCCTAAAGTTAACATTGAGAGAAGATAGTGTAGCCGCGGCTTCGGCTTCTTCTTGCCGGTGGAGGGGGATCGGTCGGGTCGGTGGTAAGAGGCCGTAGTCGTGGTCTTCGGCTGCGGCGATGATGGGGCCGCCGTAACCGGGGGTGGTGAGGATGTCGAGGCCGGTGTGGATGTGGGCTGTGTTGCGGTAGGTGGGGAAGGTGAGGATGGGACGGGTGGAGTTGGGGATTTGGGGGGGTGGGTTGGGGTCGGTTATAGTGGTGATGGTGGTGTTGTTGGTGTTGTTGGTGTTGTTTGTTGTGGGGGTGTTGGTTCGGTTGGTTTTGTACTTGGTGATTCTGTTGTGGTTTTTGTTGTTGCTGTGGGCTGTGTTAACCACCTCCGGCAGCTGCCTCGGCTGTTGCGCCCTCTCTCTCGCCTCCCTCTGCAAATACCGCACATCATACAACGCCATCGCCGACCGCGGCCCAGCCGCCAACACGCCGTACTCCCCAACAGACCGCACATGCGCCACACTGCTCACATGCTGAAACACCGTGCTCGTGTTCACATCCTCCCCTTCCCCGGCCAGCCACTCCAACGGCGGTACGCGTAGGTCCAGTAGACAAACATGCCCCGACCGCGTGCCAGCCAGCACGATCTCGGCCGGGTTCTGGTTCAGAAAATCGACCGAGAGCACGTCGCCTTGCCAGGGGGCTGCGCCCGCGTCGGACACGCCCTGGCGCTGGAGCTGGCGGATGCGTTTTTTGGTTGGGAGCGGCGGGGTGAGCCAGGTGAGGCGGTCGTTTTGGAATTGGAGGATGCCCGAGTCGGTGCTGGCGATGCAGGTTAGGCGCGAGGCCGGGCCGGCGGGTTGCAGGCAGTGGATGGTGCGGGCGAAGGTGTCGATGACACCGGCTTGTCTTACGTTGTTGAGGGTGCCCCAAGCTGTTGCGGGTGAGACTGAAGAATTAGTTAGATGGGCGGAAGCATATACGCGCAGAGTAGAGTAATAAGGTGGTGAGCAAAAGGCAGAGAGTGAGAGTGAGTGACTTACCGTCATGCAAAACCCACTCCGGTACCGACTGGCTCGACACTTGCGCTGCCGGGTTAAAGTGGCTGATACTGACGCTCCCCTGGTTCGTCAGACACGACATGAGCATCGTGCGAGACGGCTCATGGAACTTGATCGCCGTGATCCCCTTCATATCCCGCGAGACGGGTGTCGGCGTAAAGTCCACAGTCGGATGTCTCGACGCGGCATGGCGGAAGTTGATACTGCCATGCAACCCGTCAGTAAATCAGCCCCCTAGCAATCCAATCCAGCAGTTGAAAGCCAAGAAAAAAGGGAAAAAAAGGAAAAGAAAAGAAGAAAAAAAGAAAAAAAAGAAACTCACCAATCCTCCCCATCCCTCGGCACATACCCCGCGGTCAACAACCCCCCTCCCAGCGCGCCATAAACCACCCCCAACCCACTCCTAACCTCACTCCCCCCCACCCACAGCGCCGATACCTTCCCCCTCACATTCCCCCCCGGCCCGGTCCCCCCGGGCCCATTCCCCCACAACTCAACCCCGCCCTCATCAACGCATCCCCCCCATGATCCCCTCCATGATAAAAATCCCCCCTTCCCCCAGTCCCTCTTCCCCCGGCCCCGGCGGACACTAAACCCGCTTCGCGGTTGACTAAACCACCCATCAAAGGCGCCCTCATAACGGGGGCCCGGACGACCTGGTCTGTCTCCCTTTTCACTTGCTCGCGATGCCGGTCTTCTGCCTCTTGGGTGGCGATGGCTCGGCGTTTGACGTTTCGCTCGGACCAGGCTGCGCTGGGGGGTGCGGTACGGGAGGGTTCGATGCGGAAGTATTTCCGTTTTTGTGAGTCTACTCACATCATATAGCGTTAGGAGGGGCTAGAAAGGATAGGGGGGAGAGGGGGGGATGTTGGGGTTAGAGGGTGTTAGAGGGGGTATTGTTAAGTTTATGAGAAGGAGGGGGTGACGGACCGTAGTAGTAACCGGGGATTTCGCGGTCCATTTTGTCTTTCTCTGTCTGAGGAATGGATGAATAGGATACGGTGGTGAAATAGAGGTGGTGAAATAGAGGGTGTGAAATAGAGGGAGTGAATGTGAATTGATCGAGTTTGTGTTATATCGAGGAGTGAACTCAGGAATTCAAGATTGGGGTGAGAAATGGATGAGAGAAAGTGGGAGGTTCATCATATTTAACTGATATAATTCCGACTTCACTTCAAGTGAGTTGCTCTGTCAAAAAACTAGGGTGGGTCGACTTAAGGTTTTGAGTGGTAGTCGACGGGGTCCGAGCGACCTGCAGGTGCTGCGCATCCCACTGTAAACTCTATCTAAGGTACCGTGCCCGTTATCAGGACGGACTCACTCAACAAATGGATGACAAAAAACCGTAACCATTGAATTCTGATACTCAATTTATACAGTTCACTCTTAATTACTCCTCCCAAAATGGGAATTACACAGTTGAAGCCAAAACCAACAGCTAGTAACAAAAATCGGGAAGCTTAATCGGCGAACTGGCACTCCAAACCCGCGTCAGTACATAGATAGCAGTGACCTCACGCATGGCTCATATAAATTTGCGTCACGCAACGCGCGTCAATGCCGGCCGACTTATCAAACTAGAACCGGGAATGCGAACAAGCCCGTCTCCTATGCAGGATCGGGGATGACAGGCAAAATACAGCGTGGAGACCAAACCGGAAAACACTGAATCGACAGCAACCTAACACACACCACCTCCGGCATATCAAAAACACCACATGAGGAACGCAGCCATGAGGAACGCAGTCCCAGCACATCAAAGCAAAGTCACCAACGTCGGGGATCAAAGGATGTTTTACTCTTTATTAGATTGTCTAAGGAAATCGGGTGATTCTAGCCCGTTGTACCAAAGTTCATGCAGAACTTGTTCAGAAAATAGAAAGAAAAATATCCCCTTTAGCATCGCCCCCAATGCCGCCACCAATCCTATTCCTTGCCCTATCCCTCCCAGCAACGACCGGGTATGTCTCTCTTATAAAAAAAAGTTGGCGTCCGGTGGAAAAGGGTCAAGGTAGGTAGGTTGTAAGGGACGAGCTGCGTATGTGTGCCGGGGGGGAAAGAGAGAAGTCGCATGGAACATCGTAGACAGGATGGTGGTATTGATTACTGGGAACTTAAATCCCCAAACCCTAACGCCCCAATTACATGCAACCTTCCTCCCTCCCCCTTTCTCCCGCAACGACCGCTCTCTACTGGGACTTCTCGTGCTGGGTCGACACACGCTGGAGGGACACGACAAAGTCCTCGAGCGACCGCTGCTTCTGGCTGCCCTTGGGAGACTTGCCGTGCATCAGGTTGTCGAAGCCAACGCTGTCCTGGAGCATGTAGTAAATACCGCCCATGACGCAGAAGATACCGAACGAGAAGATCCAGATACGGACAACCGCCACGATCGAGGTCTGGCCGTTCTCGAACCAACCGAAGATGGTGAAGAGCGTGGCAATGACGTCGACAATGAAGACCGCACCAGCCAGCTGCCACGAGGGAAGCGAGGACCAGAAGGGGCCGTTGGCACTGTGAAAGTATTAGTATTCATATGTTGGTAAAGAACATGGATTTGAGACTGAAAAAAAACATGAAAAAAACATACCGAGTGATAAAGATCAGCCAGTTCTCAGTGAGCGAGATCTGGAGGAACACAACCTCGTCGAGGTTACCAAAGTTCTGGACGATACCGCCGTTGGGGCCGTGAGCGTACATAGTGGTCACGGTAATCCAGGTGCCGACAGCGAGGACGATACCGAGGAGCACCGACATACCCCAGAGCTTGGGCAGGTTCCACTTGACGGGCGTCTTGCTGTACGGGGCGTTGTCGTAGGCAATGGCCAGGGTAGCAACATCAGCGAAAATGGCGATGAAGACGACCAGGTTAATGTTCAAGCTGCGGTTCAGGATGGCGATCCAGAGACCCAGGTAGATCTCCAAGTGGATCGACAGAGCGATACGGTAGACGACGTAGGCGTACATGCGGTGGAAAATCTGGCGAGAAGTCTTGAGGGCGTCGATGATGGCACCAAGACCGGGGGCAAGGAAGACGATATCGGCGGCAGAGCGGGCGGCGTCAGAGGCACCCTCGACGGCAATACCAGTATCGGCCTTCTTGAGCGAGGGGGCATCGTTGACACCGTCACCAGTCATGGCAACGAGGTAGCCACGCTGCTGAAGAATCTCGACGACGTTGTACTTGTGCTGGGGGAACACCTCGGCGAAACCGTCGGCAGCCTCAACGAAATCGTACACCTCAGAGCCGGGCATGTCACCACCACCACCGAGACCAAGGCGCTCAGCGTTGTAGACGTTGGTGCCGAGACCGAGCTGGCGCGAAGTCTCACGAGCGATACCGACGGCGTCACCAGTAAGCATCTTGATGGACAGACCGAGAGACTTGGCTTCGTTGATGGTGCGGGCAGTGTCGTGACGGGGAGGGTCAGAGCAGGGCATGATGCCGAGAATCTCCCAGGAGCCCTCACCGCGCTTGCGGGCAACACCGAGCGAGCGGAAACCGCGGGTGGCGAACTCGGCAACCTTGTTCTTGTAGGCCTGGTCGACGTCCTCGGGGATGGGGTGGTCCTCCTCGACGGTCTTGAGAACGAAAAGCGGGGCACCCTTGACACAGACAATGCGCTCGCCCTGGGGGGACTCGACGACGGCGGTGACCTTCTTGGAGACGGGGTCGAAGGGGTGGAAGTCAAGAACCTTGTACTTGCTGAGGACACCCTTGGCGCGGGGGTAGTACTTGAGCGACTTGAGGAAAGCCTTGTCGATGGCGTCAATACCCTTCTTCTTGCGCGAGGCAGCCAGGCAGGCAGTGAGCATCAGGTCCTCGGGGTCGACACCAGCGACGGTGTAGGGCTCAGACAAAGAGAGCTTGTTCTTGGTGAGGGTACCGGTCTTGTCAGAGCACAGAATCTCGACACCAGCCAGAGACTCAATGGCGGAGAGCTTCTGGACGATGGCCTTCTTCTTGGCGAGGTAGGCAGCACCGACAGCCATGGTGGTGGTGACGACGGCGGGAAGACCGACGGGCACACCGACGATAGTGATGGCCAGGGTGAACTCGAGGATGGTGACAATGGGGTTGGAGCGGTAGAAGCTGGCAACCCAGACGACAAGGTTGGTGAGAATGACGAGGACCAGGAGAACGGTACCGATGCCGTTGAGCACCTCAGTGAAGTGACCAGTGCCGGCGCTGGCAGCGTTGACCAGGGCAGCGGCGCGACCGACGAAGGTGTTGTCACCAGTGGCAGTGACGACCAGGAAGGTCTCACCACGCTTGACACCAGACGAAGCATAGCACTGGTCGCCCTTGTGCTTGTCCACAGCGAGCGACTCACCAGTGATGGCGGACTGATCGACCTGGAGGAACGCATCATCGGTGACAATGCGACCGTCGGCGGGAATGATGGTGCCTTCCTCGACCTGGAGGATATCACCGGGAACAACCTCGGGGGCCTCAACCTCCTTCAGAGTACCGTCACGGAGAACAACAGCCTTGAGAGCGAGAGTCCTAGAGGGCGGAACGTTAGCGTCAATTGCCGTGTCAATTGAACGACCAGAATCAAACTTACTTCTTGAGCTCGTCGACGATAGAACCGGCCTGGTATTCCTGAATGAAACCGACCGCAGCGTTGAGAAGCAAAAGACCGCAGATAACACCGAAATCGACCCAGTCCTCAAGACCAGCGGCCACTGTAAAACATTTGTTAGCGACACCCCATTGATGCGCAAAAATCAATTGGCTGCTGCTGCACGCAGAATCTAAATCATCCTGCAGCCAACCACGGCGTGCCGGTCGCATGCAGAGTAGACCGTTAAGGCGGACCCGCAATGCGGCGTCGCGGCGCGCTGAGTGGGGGGAAAACGCGATGATGAGCAATAGAATTTATACGTACAGACAGCGGCAGCCTATGTGACGGACACGTTAGCATGAATGATCAGAGCGGGAAGTGGAGAAACTCGGGAATGTTTCGTTTCACGGCTGCGAGCCGACAAAACAAAGCAGAAGTAATCACCACATACCTCCATGACGAACTGAATGGGGCCGACGAAGAAACCAAGGAACTTGAGAAGCAGGTTCTCCTTCTCTTCCTTCATCTGGTTGAGACCATATTTGCGGCGGCGCTGGAGAACCTCCTCGGACGTGAGACCGACACGGGTGTCAGTCTGGAGCATGTCCTCGGGGACGACGCGACCACCACCCGGAGTGGCTTCCTCCTCCTCTTCGAACTGTAGAAGCCATTTGTTAGCGATGGATGCACACAAATCAATTGAATACGCGATGATGATATCCCGGTGACCGCGTCACAGCTCGCGAGCCCCAGCCAATGTACCGAGGAGCGAGTAGCGCGCGGCGCCAAAAATCGCCAATGGCACGATGCTTGATGGAAGCGATTGATGGGGTACCATAGAAGCCAATGATAGGCCAATTGACCGGAATCGGGTGGATGAATTGGGGAAAGTTGCGGTTTCTGGGAATTGGGGATTGAGCAAGGAAGCTTACCTGATCGTGACCATCGTGCGACTCGAGGTCATCAATGAGGGCATCAATGTCCTCATCCTCCTCCTCCTCCTCGGCACCACCCTTGGTGGGAGGAACCTCATGCTGGGGCGCCTTCTCGTCGAATTTGCCGCTCTCAATGTTGGTGGACAGCGCAGGAGCGCCGGCAGCTTGTTGTTCAGCCATTGACGCGGTGGTTTGCAGCAGATAAGCTCTGCGCGGGGCTAGGAATTGGTCGACGGGGTGAAGGTGGGCGCTCAGAACAGGGCGCGCGAGGAAATTAGGTGAATTGGTGGTTTGTTGTTTTGGGGGGGAGCTCGCGTCCGGGCGCGGATTACAAGGTATTTATGGGGGTGGTGGGTAAGGTTCCGGAGGATAAGCGCGAAGGAATTTTTTTCGGGCAATGACCTGCTGAATCGGGCCGCGTGCCAGGTGCAATCACCCCAGAGTTGAAGAGTGGAGTGGAGAGAGGAGAGGGCGGACTCGAGGAGAGAAGCGAGACCTCACGTCGAAGGGAGTTTTAAAAAGACCTCCGTGCCGTAAAAAGGAAAAGAAGAAGGGAAGGAGAGAATTCGGGGAGGAACAGGTGGGTGGTGGGAGTATTTCAACCTTTGTCTCTCACTCGTTGCGACCGCTCGCTGCACGAACCATGGCGAACCTTTTGGTTGTTCGGCCCACGCCCGACGGGAAAGCTGCTCTCTCAACTGGGTCTTCCGTCATCACAGAACCCTGTCCCTGCACCGAAAACGCTACCCTTCCTTCCTCTGCTCCACGGGCGCGCGGGATTGTTTCTCTTGGGGGTGGTGCTCGCGCTCCAAAGGCTGGCTTGGCCACTGGACGGGGGTACATCCTGGTTCCTCGCCGCCGCGCCGCTGTGCGTCGCGCATCTCCAGCCGTTACCGTGTACGACCTCCTTCACACAGTGTTGCAGGGGAGCTTCACACACAATAAACTCTGAGGTTTGGCTTCGAATGAGACGATTCTTTCTTCTCAATTCACACTGTGCGCGCCCGGAAATCTCAAGGATTAAAAACCCCAAGCATTTGGGGGCAGGCATGGAGGTCCCCCCGGGAACCTAGCCAGGGAAAATAGTGGGCCCTCGGCTGTCAGTCGCAATGTCACAGCGCGCGACCTGAACCGTGCAAGCCGAGCAGGTAGCTGTGTCCCAGTCGGTATCTGGGCGCGGCTGCCAACAATCCCACAGTGGGTACCTCGCTCGAGCTCCCCTCCGAGGTACCGCCCGAGCTTCCTCCAGGCTGCGGGATTTTCTGGCTGTCCACTGTGCTGAGGTTCCGCGGGTTTCTTCTGGAGCTTGTCACGTTTGAATGCCCGCCTCACCCACCTCCATGCTTGCCCTGTCCCGGTATTTTGCCCAGGCGGGTTACCGACCATTAGGATCTTTTTCACAAGCGTGACAATGCCAACTGGGGAATTTACTGACGGTGAGGGAGTATTGACCTAGACAGCCCCCATTCTTCTCAATCAACTCGGAAACCTCAACTAACGTTAATTCGCGCTCGGCGACTTGCACGACCTCACTCTGAACCCAATTGATACAGCACTGGAACAAGCCAAGGCTTGGTACGTCGCCGTGATCACCAGTAGTCTCGCCGTGCTCATACGGCTAATGTTGCTCTCCACCGGTGAGCTTCAAGGTTTGGAGGCTTGGGGCTTCTACATAGTATCATCACGACTCTTGGCAAGACGTGAAACCGCACAGACAGGGAATAGATAAGCTTCTGGCGTTTGGTCGTTTACATCGAGGAAACCCCAGGCGAGGGCAAGGGCCGGCACATCTCGATGCAAGGAGTGCGATGTTTCCAGAGGTGTAGGAAGGTCAAGCCTTGCCGAGAGGAGCCAGCCATCCATACCAAAACTTGCCGAGAAAACAACAGTGATTGTTTTGTTTGGAAACATTGGGTGGTAACGCACGGGTCCTGTTGTATCAACGGTACCAAACAATACCGACCCCCCTCAAACTCCGGACTGGGGTTCGTGGGGGAACGGAAGAGATAGACGGTGGCGAAGGGGACGATGACGAGACAGCCAAGAGCGGATTTGCGGTCTCGGGCAACCTCCTGGTCTACACTAGTGTAGTGTACATGTTCTGTATGCCCTCGCTCTCGCCTTCCGTCGTCCTTCGCGGCGGCGGCGGCGGCGCGGCTGGGACGGCACATCCCAGACGAGCCAGACCGTCCCAAGGGCAGGGTCCTGTGAGTCTGACCGATTACAGGATGGAGACAGGGAGCTTTCCCGACATCGTCGCCATCCAAAATTCTCACTCATCATCGGTCCTTCAAGCCTTCACCAAAAAGACGAGTCATTTCTCGAATTGGCCCGGCTAGCGAGACAAAAGAACCGCACGAGGGCATACCCGACATACAGAAAGCGTGGGTGTCTGGGTGCCATGCGCGCACTTGTCCTAGATCGAGCATCGGGCTAGTCCCAGCGCTCGGCCTAAGTTCCGCGAGCAGGGCGTTTCGGTGAGCCACAAAAGTAGCCCAAACGGCGGGAAAAGTCACGATCGCGAAGCCCATGGCAAATCGCGCAATTGGCAATTGGACAATTGGCGCCCGCCCAGCCGGTTCCCCGATGCCAAACGGCTTGTCGCTCTCCCCGTGGGTGGTGGCCATTTTGAGAAAAGGGTGTGAAGCCGACAGGGCAGAATCGGCTGACGCGGAAGTGCCGAGGACACAACCGTTCCACTACGTCATCCACCAAACGCCGGGCCGGTTGCGCTTCACCTCGAAAACGCCGGCCGCCGACCCTTTTCTCGAGACAAGAAAATTTTCAAGCTCTGTATCATGTTATCTCATGAATTCCACCCCTAACCGGCGGAGTCACCGGGTTCGTTAACAAAAGGTACTCATCGATCAGAACTGCGTATTTCACCGTATTCCAAGCAGTACACGACACTAAAAGTATGACACCGTCGGGTTAATCAAAGTTTTCTGGGCATTCTGGATCGCCCAGCCTTGTCCTCCAGAACCCCAGATTCACATCACCAAGCCCATCCCTCGAGGCCAGGGTGTTCACAGGGGTGGTCGCTATCTACCGGTTCACGGTAGCTGCACTACAAAGTACCCGATTCGTACGACCCGAGACCCCAAGAAACCCCAAGAAAAAAAACAAATCCGCTACAAATGGGGGCTAAGCTTGGGGCAAGCTGGTAGGACGTCGACGAAAGCAATCAAAACCTCAATGGGAAGGAAGTAGATCTTGAGGCGGTGGCGGAGACCCGGGCTTAACAAATTGCGTCCATGTACCTGACGAAAACTCCGTACGGCGGTATCAGACTCGTCGTGTTGTCCGCTGAGATTCCGAATTAAGGGATACCAAGTGTTTACCAAGACCTTCCAAGCCGTCCGTCACCATCTCACACGGGTAGGTACGATAATTGCCCAGCGTTAGAGATTTGAGATCCGATGGGGTGTGGGAATCAATCGTCTTGGCACCTTGGATGAAATTGTGATGTGAGCACAAGGCGGCCCTGCCCAGACTCTTATCAGAACATCCAACTGGCCCGGTTGGTAAAACCTATTATTTGATCTCGGTCAACAGGACAGAAGCTCGCAAACAACAGCACACGACACATTGTCTCCTTTTTCGCCAAGTCAAGCCGCCTTTTTTTCCCATTGCTCAGCCATCATAAACGGCTCGGTGCTACTGCGGTGCCGAGATCTGGAAGAATACATGCATAGTCAAGACTACATAACGTTAGTGCAAAACACGCAGACCTCTCTCCACCCCGATCGGGTATACCCCAGGACCCCAGGTCTAGGCGTTGAGTTTCCCGTGAGCCGCGATCCCAAGGCGGAAGGAAGGGTCGCAGCCAAAAGGCGATCATTCGGGGTTGAATACACTCAAAGCGGCATAATATGGCGCAAATAGCGGTCTGAAAAGAGCCTCAAGCTTGAGTCTTTTTCTTCCGTCAGTCAAAATAGTGCGGAGTATTCGTAGTCTTTTTTACACAAACCACCGAATCCGTCTTGGTAGGGTTAAGAAAGCCAATGAAACAATGTTATTGGAGCGGCTTGTTCCAGCCTCAAAGTCTTGGGATAGCAAACCACCGGCTGGGCGCAGCTTGAGCGTATGTCCATGGTAAAACTCTTCAGAAGACCGCAAAGGAAAACAACTTCCCTCATCAATCACCGAAACGGCAACAGCCAAGCTTGGTGAGACCAGAAAGACCAAGCAAGCAGTTCTTGGCAAAACGCCCAGAGAGACACTGAGCCCAGCAAACTTGCAAGTCCAGAAGCCGCAGGAAGCCCAGAACCAGCCAACCCCGGCGCCGCCGGGCCTCCTCCGGTTGTGCCCGCCCCTCCCTCACGCCCCCAAACAACCGCCGCCATTCGCCCCGCTTACCCCGATCCCGCTCAGGCGTGGGGGTGCAAAATTCGCCGCGACCTTCGCCCCCATCGTCGGAGCTTGTAGCGACCGGACGGCAAAATCGTCCGAGAGAGAAGGGACACGACGGCGACGTGGCATGAGTAGCCCCCCCGGCCGCGAGGCCACGGACCACGGGGCCACGGCGGCCAAATCCCCCGCAAACTACCTACTGTGGTCCAGAGCGGCAAGGTGATCGGAACAGGGAGCCCGGCTTGCTTTGCGCGGTTTTGATAATGGCGACGGCGTGGTTGGTCCCTTTTGAGGACGACGAGAAAGGCAAGGGCCTGACAAAGGAAACCAAGGGTGTTTTTTGCGAGAGAAAGAGAGAGAAAAGTTTCCATTGGTCAAACTCCACAGGATTTGGAGCTCCATTCCCGGATCCGAGCTCCAGCATGCATGCTCGCAAGAAGACGAAAAAAAATTCAGGTTTCCACATTCAGTGGAACCTGGACTTGGACCCACCCAATCACCCAATGCACACCAAAAGACCCTGCCGTTTCTCAACTGCAACTTTCGCGATGCTCGCGACGGCCGTCGCTCGGCAGCCCTGGCCGGCTGGTCATGCCAGAAAGACCTGCTCCGATTTTGGCCATTTTCTTGCCTGCTCTTGGGTCCTCTTTGCAGGCATCCTCGGACGTTGCAATTTATGATGCACGGGCGTCTCGTTCAACACAACCTGGGAAAACTAAACGGCATGGCATGGGTGTTTCGATGGACGGGAAACAAGTCGAAACGACTTCCACAGGATCCTGTCCCTACTAACGTTTTAGTGTACGTGTATTCCCGCAATGAACAGCAGAACAAGGTTTTCGCCAATTCCCTCAATTCCATCGCCAAGAGATGCAAGTGACAAGGTCAAGGAGCTTACCCCAACACTGGCTTGCATGTTCCCCGCATTCTACTTTTACCGGCCCCCGTTCAACATCGCGCGCTTCTTCGAGGCCAGAAATCGGGAAAACAGCACGACGATGAAGGAACCGGAAACCAAAATGGAGTGGCCGAGGAAGCGCACATTCATGTTCTCCACCGCCAGGTCGTAAACGTTGACGCCTTTAACGTTAGCGTGGGGTATAACTACCATTGTATACCGAGCACCGAAATGAGCTGGAGCCTGTGCGAACGCTGGTCGATGGAACTGAAACGGTGCCAATGCCTGACCGTCGACTGCAAACACGGAAATTTGATCTCATCAGCGCCTCGACGAAGGAGAGCGTCTCATCATCCCAATTGCTATCCTTGGGAAGGAAAACTGGGAGATACCCATGAAGCTACCTGAGGCACAGCACGCACAGGCTCCAGCTCTCGGGCCTTGTTTTGTTTACACGACTGTTGTCGCTTTGTTCCCTTGCCGTCTTTCATTTCGAGGACTCCTACCCAAAGAAGGAAGCTGTCGAGCGACACCGCCGCCGCTCATTCGCCAATTCCCATGCGGCGCTTGTGCATCGTCAAAACCCCCCAAACCCACCGGCGCATGCAGGTACACGTTTCCGTTCCGTCTTCGCTCCCGCACAACCGCGCCCCATTAGAAACCCGCTCTCTTTGCGACGTCACGAGAAAAATACTGGAGATGGACTCCGCTGTGAAGTTGGCTAGCATGTCACCCCTGTCCTAAACAGGATATCACTGCGTTGATATCAATACGCAAGGCGAAACGGTGAAGACGAGATAGACACGTCGTCGCATGCCATTTAAACTCGCAGAATGCCGGGCCGGATTTTACCAAGGAAGGGTTCAAATCTGGAATAGTGGCGTCAAATACCATGCCGACCATGCAGAGAGTAGTCTCCTACGTTAAGGCGGTCATGAACACCGCTCAAGCTTCCGCGTCGTCTTGGATAGCCATATTGCTCGGATAGACCTACAGGGGAAAGGATAGACATACACAGTAGTAGCTAAGTTATTCTCCAACGCCGTTCGCGTCCAGAGAGCAAGATGAAACAAACCAACCCCCCAAGCCGCGGACCATGCCCTACATACTATGTACGGATATGGAACACGAAACCAACACTCCAGCGTCCATGCGATCACCAACGTTGCTGCCGCTCCCCCACCATCAAGGACCATCAAAAATAGAAAAACAAAGACGACAAGAAATTAAGGTGGTTGGCAGATCCCTAGGCAGACGGAATGTGTCATTGAAGTGTGTGCGTGCCGCATCCAGACCCAGCCTCCCGGGGCAAGGGTCCCGTCACGGACCGCACCAGCAACCGACGGACGTTCTCAGCAACAGCATTCCGCCGCCGCGTGGTGTTTCCCGTTGCGCCCTTCCCGGCGGGCCGGGGGTGGTCGCGGCGATGGGTACAAAGTAAACGGGCGGTTCAAAATGCCGCGCCGGATCGATCACTCCCTCATCCCAGGATGGGGGGTGTTGTTGGACAGAGGGAGGGAGGCTGGAATGCTACTGACGCCGTAACTACAGCTGTAATTTTCGCCTTACGCAGTAATAACTAACTAACTCACATCCTCCCTCGCCTTCAATATCCGAAAACGGACAGACCACGAGAGGGAGAGACATTGCTGACTGGTTCCTGTGACCAATGACCAATGACCGAGGACCTCCAGACAAACTGGAAGATTGAAAGAAGACATTCCTCACGGTTTTAGCCGTTCGCGGACGGGGCCAGGACGGGGCCAGGACGGGGCCAGGACGGCGCCTCCCCCACACTGCAGGCTGCGCGCGGCTGTCCTTCTGCAAAATGTGTCTCACATCTCTCTGCTGCAAGACCCTGATGAATCCAGTGAGAGAGAAAATGACCCTCCCCCGGCCTAGTGTAGAGCGAGCGGGCGGGGCGCGCGGGAGCAAATGTGTGGTGGTCCCTCGCTTATCGGGTGACAGACACACGACAATTATTATTTTCTCGCTCACCTAACCCTTCTGGCCTATCATCATGGGCTCGCTAAACGGCTGGTTCTTGACGGGGTATGTCCTATCAAAGTATAACGGCCCGGTTGGAGAATTGCGCCGGTATTAGTAGAGCATGCGAGTTCTCACCTAAACCCGTCTGGTTGCATGCCAATGTGTGCTCGTACGTGTAAGATAGTCGTGAGGATCGTTGTTGATGTTGACGTTAGTTACACAGTACATGCATTCTGCTCCTTGCATTTCCTAGCGCCAACTGGAAAAGAACAATGAGTTTTAACCCGGACTCGGCCTAATCTCCCCCTCAAGCTTTTGACATTCCGGCAATTCGAGGGATATTGAAAAAACAAGAAAAGCCTCATTGCAGCCTCTTCAACCACCACCTGCGAGATATTCTGGACGGGGTAAGCCGGGCAACAAAAGATGGGGCCCGAGGCCGGAGTTATTGGCGGGAGGGTCACGATCTCTCCGTCCGCCGGAATTCGATAGAAGCACCCGCAGTATGAGGCAAATAACTAGTATGTAATACCTCCCATGGCCGTCGTCAGAAATGGGATCCTCAAATGAGAAAAACCGATCCAACCCGACGAATTGGCGGTGACCATGAATTGGATGGATGGGGGGCAAATTGTCGCGTGCCGGGTTCCGCCCCGTGTCAGCGAACCTCACTTCCTTCAGGGCTCTGGACGAGGCGGATCTGGGGTGAGCTGACTGGACGCCTTGCTCGGCGCTTCGCTCATTTGACCTTCCGACCGCCACACCCGTCGTCGCTGGGCCGCTGGCCGACTCGGTGGTTCGGCGACGGGCATTCCATTTCGACTTATTTCCGTTTCCGATTGTCCAACTTCCACTTCAAATTCCTGATTTCTGAACGGGCTGATTTCGGGACAAGAATGGAAAAAAGAATTGATGGCAATTTGTCGGTCAATCGGAGTTCGGGATTCAAGCGGGAAACAAAGCTCGTGTCTCCAAACCGGTTGACCGAGCAAACCGCGGTTTGGTCACACCGTGAATCAACAAACGGCGCTGGACCGATGCTTTGGGCCAAGCCGGGTGGACCAAGATGGATCGGATATTTCCGCTTTGGGGGGGTATCGCCATTCCCGACCGCCGTCGCCTAAACCCGGAAAGCCGTTATTGACTCGTAGTGAAGGAACGGCTTTTTCACTTGGCTCATTCAGTTGAAGGACCAATTGTTTGCCTGTCGTTCCTTGTGTGAATTAATGGAAGTATGAGCCCCTTGAGGCCCCCTATTGTAGTTTCCCTTTTGACACAGCCGACGCGCATACCATCGCATTTCAGTCGGTGTTGTATCCGAGAAATGCCCGGAAATTCGCTCAGCCCGAGAAAAAAGCGAATGCATGTGTCATCCATTGCAATACTGTGACCTTTTCCGTTCTTGGCCATGCCTGCGAGTATGTAATTTTGCGAAACGGGAGCAAGAAAAAAAGACTTCAGCAAAATGGCCAGTGGAGTCCAGGAGTCGAGTCCAATTTTCGCGTTTTCGACTCTGACAACCAGCAGAGTGGAAACGTTAACTACATTTACCCCTTCATCTGTCCCGCCGAATTGCAGTCCAATGACGTTCTATTCCGCCACACTCCCCTAGTATCTATGCAAGATCTCAAGAAGATAGACGAAAATCCGTGTATTCTACCGAAACGCCGCGGAAACCCCTTCTCCTGTGTTGACTCGCGATGTTTCGTGCCAACACCAAGGAGGAAACCATCTTCTCGTGTGGAATGCGGAGACCGCTTGCAAGCGCACCAGGGAAGTGCCTGGGAGAAAGAAAGGGTTCACTCGGCAGAAAGTGGAGAGCTACTTCACTGATCTTAATTTTTGATACAGCGAACTCCGACGTGCCTTGTTTAGCCATAAAACTCCAATAAGTGGATCGTGACTATTTCCGCTGGGTGGTCCCAGGACCCCTATTCTCTGGTGTTTCCGCGGAATGCGCTCGACGCGTCTTTCGATGGAGCTGCGGACCCAAACGCGTCTCTGGAGTAGGTGGTGGGCGGCGATTGTCATTTGCATTCCCACGTAGCCCAAAACCTCCGCTCAGGAGTATACCTCTCTTTACCTTAGAAAGAAGGGATGTAGTGAACATAAACTCGAAGCTAGTTCCACTTGGCAAACTGTTTACATCCAGCCAGGTACTCCCGACCTATGTGTGTTTCTGTTTGTTTCCCCTTAACCCCCTATCGTGTTTGGGACTCTGGAGTTGATGAGCGACGCCGGCTCGACTCATGACTCGGGCATCCCTATGGGTTTTATACTCGGCAAGCGGCCCTTGAAATAAACTCCCAACTGGGGGGTTGTAAACTGTCGCCGTTTCTCGTCTGTTTCACTTGGCCAGAGCCCACAAGCCGGTTCAAACCGCCAAAACAAGCTTCAGCGGAGAGACGAAACAAAACTGGGGTTACCGAAAAGAAAGGAGATCTACTCGGGCAGTCCGATACTGGAGCCCAGGATCCATGGTTGCCGTTTCAAGGCAGTGAAACTGGCTCTCCCGGTGATAGGTAACCCCTTGGGCGTCCAACTAAGCGTTGTCGAGCTCATACGTGTACGCTGTTAGTCGGGTGGGTATGGGATGTGGCTTCCGAGTACCAGTTGTCGGGCGCGATTCCGATAGCCAACCCCTCGTTCAACTAGTCGTCTTAGTTTGAGGTAGAACCTCCGGTCCTCATGTGTGCCAGCACCCGTCGTATCGACGACGTCTAAACCTGACCCTGATGAAACAGTGACTAGACTTGTGGCACCACGGTTCTTTAGGACCACACGCCACCAAAACGCCGAGGAGACGGTCATCCCCATCCAAGAGCAGATAGTAGTGTTCCGGATCTCGGAGGTTCTTCGTCACCGGCGATGATACGACAACAACCACTGTAGCGTACGACTAAGTTGTGCATACCATACAGCGTACCGGGTTCGTGATGAGTGTTAGATATTACTTCTGATTTTTTATATATTGTTAATGAATTTCATACCTTCAGCCGTGGCAACGCCCAGTGGGAGTTAAAGTTGTGAAATAAAGCCAGCGTTGAACATAGTTCCCGTCTAGTTAACTCAGGGCATCCACTTCCATAGTTTGTCAATGAGAACCCTTATTTTGAGAACAGCCCTTGAGCAGACGTTGACCTATTCGAATGGGGATACAGTGATACAAAATATACTCAGGGGTTTCCCGTGTCAACTATATTTGCTTAGGCCAAATTTCCAAGTTGAGATATCTCCACGACGAATGACCTTTAGCCACCATTTTGTTTTCGTCCACCACGTATCATGGACCTCAACACTTTAGCATGAATGAGGGAAGCAGCTGGAGCGGGTTCGAAGGTCATAATTGCTGCTCCTATGTTGACATCGCAGCCCCTGAAGAACAAGGACGAGACATTGCACATACTTCCGGGTCTGTCGGGGCCTTTACGGCGACGAGAGTACCATAATTAACACAACTCCTTCATCATCTCATACATTTCTCCTCGTGTGAATGGAAGAACGTGCCAGCGCCCATGATCGGCCAGTTGCTAGGTCTAGCCCAAAGCCCGTAGGAAGCAAAACCGCCGGATCTTATATTGAGATGTCAACTGCTCCTTTGCCAACTTTACAGGAACGTGGATGTCATGATCCAAGTGGCAGGTTGGGGGGGGGGGATAAGATATAGTCCTGAACGCCTGACCGGGACTACATCTAACCCTGTCCATGGGGTTACCACCTCCACCTATGCCCATGCCCGGCTTATTCTCCACGACGCGAGCCTTTATACCTCTTTGACCCCTGATAAACCTCGTGGTAAAACCCTGCCTGATATACGCGTAGGGGAAGAACTCCCCTACCTTACATATTAAATTTACCATACATACCCACTAAGACTTTCACAAGTGCCGAATCTCAAAACCCAAGTCTACACGTGTCTATCCACCCAAAACATCATGGGACACACTAAACAGAGACCTCCTGAACAGTTCACGCCTAGCTTAGAGGATACGAGACAGGTGAAGACAAGTACGGCAAGTCAAGCAACACTATCCGCCACGTTCAGGCACACTGCGTCAAATCCCTACGATATCCGAGACCACGCCTGAATCATGGCCGACCACATTCGGCATTGTCTCACTCACCGTGTGCTCATGGTCCTTTCACGTGCTTTGTTTTCGATCTATAGTTTCCGAGCGATCAACCAACCGAGCTACTTTCCGCATAACCTATCACTGCCCCTGAGAAGCCGTGAGATCAGGGGGTAATTGTAGCAAGCGGAACAATGACATAGTAGCAGTTCTAGTGGTGTAGGGAGAGCCGCAGCACGATAATTCCTCACATACCCTTCCTTGCCTACACAGGCGTAAAATATGCCGGGAGTATCTCCTCAGCTTAGAGTAAGCAGAGCAGCAGGTATAGTTGTCACATCTAACTCACCATGAGCCTTGTTCAAGCAAAACCGGCATCGGAAATCTTGTCTCAAAGGACAATACCATTTTGCCGAACACGGCCATTCCATCGGCACTATCTCGACAACACTCACAAGAGTTGCCATGGTATCATCATCAAGGCGATGTCCACGCACCTCAGCTCCCTCTCCCAGAACAGAACCAAACAGGCGTCACATATCACCCCCGACCTCTCCCTCCCTTCTAACACCTACCACCAACTATTTTCCGTAGGTACGTAAACTAACCACAAACCTATATGACAAACAGGCAGCATACTCTGCCTCAAAACCGCCCGCCTGGTACCAATCCCTCGAAGGAACACAGGGCCTCCCTGATCACACCATGTGATACATCCCGTTCACTGTAGTATCGGCCTCAACCTTCGGCCTATGCTCACCCACACCCTCGTTCATACGTATGAGCGGCGCCTGGGCAAGGCAGGCTCCCTGGGATACGCAGCCGTTGAACGAAGCATGTTCCTGCTCCTCACGCTATGTGACTTATCCCATGGATCGTTGGGATATATCCACTTTGCCTACCTCTATCACTGTGAATTATGTCGATGCTTCCTCAGCCATTCTCTCCTTGATGCGAGAGCGGGTGTAGTCACTAAACCGAATGAACCGCCCCAACCAAACCAGGCGTAGGCAGCTAGGTATAAAAGGCATTGCGGGACATCAAGACAGCACGAGGCGGAACATAACACGACAACACAACAGCAAGACGAGAACGAACAATTCTATATTTGCTCCCCGGCATCCCTTCCAACTGCCGCATCCGTTCTCGCAGTGTTTATTATATCATATCTCTAGCGTCAATGACAAAAACTGAAAAGCGAGCAACATAACCAAGCCTTCGCTTCAGACCATGCCGACCAACCGACCGCCCGAACAGAGAACAGCTAGCCCGCTTGCCGAAAGGAGCATGGGAAGGCGCAAAAACAAAGACTGAAAAGAAAATATAGCAAAAAAGCAAAGAGAAACGGGGACAGAAGCACACGAGATCTATCCCAAACCGAACCGCCGGAGGTTGAACTCAACAAAAGGGGTTGTGTTGCGCTTCCCTGCCCTTTTTTCTAAGAACCAGGCAGAACCGGACCAGACCAGACCATTGTAAATGAACCAACCTAAGCCGCCCGCCCCAGCCCCATCCGAATAACGCCGATGCTCTAATGCTTAGCCGTGACCTTTTCGCCCGTCAACTTCTCAACATAAGTCTTCGCCCTGTTTGTGCCATTTGGTTAGTCATCTTCAAGATCAAGGGTTAAAAAAGGCGTCTAGGGGGGGGGCAGGACGTACATATCACCCAGGGCAACCATGCAGACGGTCTGCCAGACGCCGAGTCCAATGCGGGGGGCCACACCGCGGTACAGGCCCTTGATACCGTTGCTTTCATAGATGTACTTGAAAGTGTTGCCGACAGTCATCTTCTTGGGGCGGTTGGGGTCGTCCTTCTTGCTCTGCATCTCAACACGGATGACCTCAATAGGCTGGTTCCAGGCGGACAGACCACCACCAAGAGCCGAGGCGGTGATCTTCTCCACGGCGCTCAGCTTCTCGCCGTGCTCCTTGCCGGTGACGCGGCGGATGCCCTGCTCGGCAAGACGGCTCAGGCCGAAGCGGGAGCCCCAGTTGGTCATCTGGCGGATGGCGACAGCGTTGACGCCCTTGTTGATGCCACGAATACCCTCACGGCGGTAGATGTCCATGAAGGTGGCCCAGGTGCCGGGGGTCTTTTGGCCGGCCGCAGCCACCTTATGCTTGGTGATTTCGACCGTCTTCATGCAGGTGCAGAAGCCCATGGTCGCGTATGCCTGAACAACACCGCCCGACACGCCGCCAATGATGCCGCCTCCGAACTCGCTGGCGCCCGCGACACGGGCATAGTACTCGGCCTCAGAGGCGACAAAGAGCAGCACGGCGCCCTTGGTCGACGCTTCGATCCAGGCCCAAGGAATCAGACCCTGGTAAACTGTAGGCAAGAGGGATGGTCAGCAGCTATTCATGTCTTGAACGTTGGGTGGGCCGAGAGGGTTGGCATCATGGCCCCCCAAAACCGACACCCTAACTGCATGTGAATGCAATGTGGGGGTTTCGGGGGTTCAATGTGTGAATGTGAAAACAAAAACGTGGGGGTGGAAGAGGGTCCGGGTGTAACGTACAGCCGAGGAGACCGCCACGGTTCCAGATGCGGCCCAAAGCTGTCGCGAAGCCATCGCCACGGTGAGCGGCCATGGTGGTCTTGGTGACCTCCAGGGGCTGACCGAGGGTGGTGACCTCAAACATGTTGAGCCCGGCGCCCAGCAGCAAGTTCGAGAACTTGATGGGCTTCTTCTCGAGCGTCTGCGGCGACGAGGCCGGGGCGACAGCGGCGGACATGACTAGGCGGATGTTGCGACAAAAAGGGGCCCTGACCAAGGGAAGAGGGTGCTTCTTCGCGGAGGGTTGGGTACTGGAAGGGAGTGAAGACCTGACGGCGGACGCGGAGTCTTTGGGTCGGATTTTAGTTTCGACGGTTTACCGAATGCACTGTCTCGAGGACGAAGATATTGCAGGAAAATAGATGCAAGTGGACGGTTTCTTTCGAAAATCGGCTGGGAAGGAGGGGAAGGGGACACAAAAGTTAGCATGTGCTACCGATGGGCGCTCATCACTGTGGGTTACCGAGTCCTTTGACTGGCTGTGCCTGACGCAGAGAGGAGCTCTCGTCGACGAATACCCGCGGCAATGGCAATGCGACATGGAAGTCGCAGCGGTGCGAAAACAGGGGTTCCACACTTACTTGCGTGGTACGAGTCGGGAAACTTTCAGACAAAGGGCGGGGCTCCAACAGCGATCAGAGTTGGCGATGGTTTTGCGATGGTGGTTGCGATGGGATGGGAGAAACTGGAAGTGTTCGGGAACAATCGGGGACTTTGCACAGGATTACACTTTTGAGGCTGACGCCCTGCGACTCCCAAAAAATTGCTGGATGGGCTTTTGGGGGGGTTTCGCCGACTGTGGTGGGTGGTGCTTGCCAACTCGGGGTTTCACGGGGCGCAGGGGTGTGGCATTCAACTCAACAGACACCCTTGATTGGCTCTCTGCTGGGGCGTCCCTCAACGTCTTCCGGCGCGGCTCAACGCAATCCGCTTGGGGTTTGGCCGATACCAAGTTGCGGACCGGGACTTGGGGGAATCAATTGGGCATTACACTGGCTTGCTGGGTTCCTTCCGTCTTGTGAGTTGGGACGGCCGTTGACGACAACAGCACACGGCATCGAGGACCTACTTTTCGTTTTTTTTAGTTTGTTTTGTTGTTTCTTCCGTCTTGCCAAGAAGAGAAAAACACACCGATTTACATTGTTTAAAAAGTGATTGGCGTGTAAGAACTCCCCGAGACCGCTTCTTCTCAAGACTGGGCATCGCCAAAGCCACGACCTTCTTGGCGTTGTGTTCAATGTCCGAGATCGCAGAACCGGGAATCGGGCGGGATGGACAGGGATGGCCGATGGGTGCATCGGGCATCTCCACTTGATGTCTCACGTTAGCCGACCCGGGCATCGTGTCTCGCATCTCATCATCAGACACCAAATCCGTCGTCTGATCCGCCAAGACCTAGAAAAAGGTTTCGGAAACACAACACAGGCAGACCATTAACCGCTTTTGCTTTTCATCCTCTGGGCCCAGAGTCCGCAAAGTGTATCGTACAATCGTAATGGACAGCCACCCACCCAGTACACCGTTGTCCCGGGCTGCAGAAACCGCTAGATACCCCATCCATTCTATAGATGATATAACCGTAAACGAACCCTTCACGCCGTGCCCAGCAACCCAATCCTATGGGCGTAATGCGCCCCTTTTTATATTACAGCCTCTTACAGCTTCGCGACAATCTCGGCCCACTTGTCGGTCGAGAAAGACTTGGGGCTGCATACGGGTCACATTAGCGGCTATTATTTTATGGCGTGTGTGTGTGTGTGTGTTTGTAGTAGGAAAAAGGGTCTGGGGTTGCTTACCGCTCGATGGGCGCGCCGAGAGCACGGTCGATAATGAGCTGCGGCAGCACACCAATGGCGCGCGACACACCAAACAGGACAGTGTAGTAGTTGGCCTCAGTCAGGCCATAGTACTGGAGGAGCACACCAGAGTGGGCATCGACGTTGGGGTAAGGGTTCTTGGTCTTGCCGTGCTCGGTAAGGACGCCAGGGGCGATCTTGTAGACCTGGCTGACGAGCTTGAACATGGGGTCCTCGGGCATCTTGGCTATGGAAGGGGTCAGTATAATTCATCACATGTAGAGAAAACGAAATACTTCCGGGGGTGCTTACCCTGAGCAAAGGTGCGCTGAGCCGAGTAGCGGGGGTCGGTCTTGCGGAGGACGGCATGGCCGTAACCGGGGACGACACGGCCGGCGTTGAGGGTGTCCCAGAGGTACTTGGTGATGGCCGCGTCGCTGAGGTCGTCACCAACAACCTTCTTCATCTCGGTGAGCCAGTTGAGCACCTCCTGGTTGGCCAGGCCGTGGAGAGGGCCGGCCAGACCGTTCAGGCCAGCGGCCAGAGACAGGAAGGGCGAGCTAAGGGCACTGCCGACAAGGTGGGTGGTGTGCGCGCTGACGTTACCGCCCTCGTGGTCGGTGTGGATAGTCAGGTAGAGACGGAGAAGCTCAATGAAGTCGGCGTTGTTGCCGAAGCCCAGCTGGTTGGCAAAGTTGAACGAGTAGTCCTTGTCCTTCTCGGCCGGGACGACCTTGCCGCCCTTGAAGACGTTCTGGTAGATGCGGGCCGCGATGGTGGGGAGCTTGGCGATGAGGTCCATCGAGTCCTCGAAGGTGTAACCCCAGTACTCCTTCTTGTGCACACCCTTGGCGTAGGCGCGGGCGAACGAAGAGGTCTGCTCCAGAGCCGTAACAGCCATCGAGAACTGGGCCATGGGGTGGAGGTCGGTCGGGCAGCGGTCGATGAGTTCCTCGACGAACTTGGGGATCTCGGCGCGAGCGGCCCAGTCGGCAGACAGATCGCGGACCTGCTGCTCGGTGGGGACCTCACCGGTCAGAAGAAGCCAGAAGAGGCCTTCGGGAAGCGGCTCCTGGCCACCGGGGGCCTTGGGCAGAAGCTCCTGGCACTCGGGGATAGTCTTGCCGCGGAAGCGGATGCCCTCCTCGGAGTCGAGGACGGAGCCTTCCCATACAAGGCACTTGATGCCACGGGCACCGCCATATACTTGGTCAAGGGTGACCTTGTCGATGACCTTGGAACCATGTTCTCTGTTGAGTGCCGGGGCGCACGCGTTAGCGATCTGAGATCTGATGCGACATGAACACCCACCTTCTCGAGCTTGAAGGTGGGGGGACGGGGGACGACGACGGAGTTGTGGTGGTTCTTACTTCCTCAGGGCCTTGACCTGCTCAATCTTCTCGGGCAGAAGCTCGGCGAAGCGCTCCTTCAAGGTCTGTGGACGGGTTACGCGGTCAATGGATGATGTCGACATGGCGGGCAGCGAGCGAGGGACCAAAAAAGGTGGGCGGTACCTGGGTCTTGGAGGAGTAGCACCTCGCAGCCGCAAAAGCGGTGTTCTGGGAAAAGAGCGAGGGCGCCCTCAGCGAGGCCCTTATCGTGGAGGTCGCTAGACGCATAGCGGGAGCCATGGTAGGTATCTGGTGGTGGCTGGAAGGTTGGGATGTGGTTGGAAGTTGAGAGGAAGGACTGAAGGGGGGAAAAAAGTTTCGGGCGATCAAGAAAAACCCGCAGGAAACCCCCGGGGCCCGGGGGGCACATGGGGGTGGCACCTGTAAAATGGCGGACCAACCGGGGCATCGGACCAAGGTTCTTTCCCCCCAAAAACATCAATCCAAGACCATGTCTCCTTGCTTCCCGATACCTCCCGTCGTTGAGGATTGGCGGTTCCGAATTACACCGCAAGATAGGTGGCGTTCCCATCGCCATACATGTATGAACACAAAGCATTGTCCGTTGTCCGTCTCCCATTCCCATGCATGACGTGCATCATTGCACAACACATAGTTAACCAAATACATCGTTAAGAGCTTGGTTTAGCTACTGATAGAGAGCTGGGTCCCCTCGAAAAATTTGGTTCTCCAGTTGAGGCCCATGCTTCTTTGACATGCAAGAGATTGACGTCACGGCAACCCCCGGTTCCCTTTTTGGCTTCAACTCTCGTCAACCACAACGAGCACAACAAAATACATCAGCAACCGTTAAACAAGGAAAAAGCTCCCTTGGCTTGTGTCCCTTAGCTGAATGATGGTCGTTTAATTGCAAGTTTGTGACTCGATTGTAAATTGTCCGTCGCACGTCCGCAGTAATAAACCTCTAATAAGTCAGAATACATCGTTAAAAACTATCTCTGTCAAACGCCTGTCAAATGTGTCTAGTTATAACATTCTGTCTACACTAATAAGAGGCCAATGTTTTTTGTTGGGTGTTCGCTTCGGCTCCTCGGCGATTTTCAGGGACTCCAGGACCAGGGCCGCTTGAACATTGGCTTAGTCAGCTAGCAAAAACTTGCAAACAGGGGCTGACGATATGTGGGCCCCTCGATAAAAAGGCCAGTCGCTTTCTCTTTCCCTGGCCCCGCCTCCTTCGCCATCCCACACAGAAAACTCGCGTTGCCGCTCGTCTTTATTTGCGAATTCCATCAATTTATCACGGCGCGCCATCACGATCGTATCTCCATCAGTTCCAGCCCCCGTAGGCCCAGTGTATATTCACTGGCATTGCAGGAATCATCCGCAGGCGTGTAACAGTGCGGCTTGCTGAACTCCTAGGTCGCGCAGAGTCTGCTGGCACCCTCGCATTTCCCGCGATTTTTCGCAGGCAACTACAAGAATATTCGCGCCCCTTCCCCGAACGAAAACAGTGTTTCCCACCAAATCCGGCCACATTTCAGGTTGGCTAGCTCTTTGGGGTCAACAGGATAACCGCGCTCTCCTGGATATCGTAATCCGTTGATCGCATTCTCGAAAGAGAAAGAGTGCATTAGCAAAGACTGGATCGCCTCGACAAACACAGTATTTTCGTGACTTGGGGCATGGCATAGACCTTTCCGCGCCACTAGACCACTGCGATCTTTGATATTCCACGGAACACAGGAACTACGGGCACTGCGGGAAGATCTCATCTGGCATTGCCCGTCATCGCCGACCATCTACCATCCAGCACCCAACATCCCTCTACCATGGCATCTACGGTCGTAGCAGAGCTTGAGGCCGGCCTGCAGGGCATGCTCTCGCTAAAGCCCCCAGGAGTATCCGGCTCTCGCATCACAAACATCACAACACTCTGCGTCGCCAATGTTCAGGTGAGCAGCAAACACGTGTAAACGCCCTTGGGTGGCGACTTGACATGCTAACATGGCCTCTCTCTTCCCCCCACAGCACGAATCCGTCTTCATCCAGAAACTCTTTACACACTTCAAGAAAACACCCAGCACACACAAACTGGGGGTTCTCTACGTCGTAGACTCTGTAACGAGGAAATGGTTGGATCAAGCCAAAGCCCAAGGACAAACACCAAGCCTATCAGCCCCTGATGGGACATTCGGGGCAGGAGTGCATAGAGTGACAGAACTGATACCTATTTTGATGAACGACATCATTGCCACGGCGCCAGCAGACCAAAAGGTACGCAGATATATCATCATTGCATTGAATCGCCATCTCCCGAAATCTAGAAGCGTCTCATCGGCCACTTTCGTGAGGCCAACGTAACCTGACGTCTGTTGTACTTGGGGAGCCGGCCGCTCGACTCACTTGTGTTCTGCACGAGCCGTATTTATACCCCCGCATGATGACTGGATGGATGCTCACATGAATGGTTGCCCGTAGGAGAAGATAAAGAAGCTTGTTGATATTTGGGAGAAGGGCCAAACCTTCCCTGCTTCCATGGTCAACTCGTTCAAGGAGAAGTTGAATGCTCCGAGGCCAACAAGTAGGTTCACACCCTGATGCTGCCCTTCACCGCTTTCTCAAGCACTCACGCCATGGCCCCCTCCCTCACCCTCCAACGCTTACTTGGCTCTAACCATACCCCTGTCAACAGACGAGTCGACAACACCTCCCGGCAGCCCGCCTCCCAACCTCGCTGCTTCGTTGGGCTCTGGTAATAAACCGCCGGCACCACCTGCAAGCCAGGCAGTTCCCAACATTATTCTGGATAAGCTTGCAAGCCTTGCACGGCAGAATGCCTCGTCTGCGCAAAGTAATCCCAGCCCAGCTGCTTTCGCTCCATCGTCTGCTCCGGCTACTGCACCCGCATTCGGGGCATTGGGAGGCCCGCTTGGAGGTGGGTTGATGTCGCAAACTCCGGGCGCTGGACAAGGTCACGCAGGTGCTCCATTTTTGCCGACATCCCAGACGCCTACCCAGCCTGTAAATGTACCAGGACTGCCCTTTGCGTATCCCGCGGCACAACCTCCACAACCTACACAAACCGTGCCTCCTCTGGCTGCTTTGGCCAGCCCAGTTGCTGGGGCGCCGCCGCAGAATGGCGCAAGTAATCCGTCAGCCGCGACCGTCCAGCTGGTAGCGGCGCTGGCTGCACAGGGCATGCCCATTGATAAGATCGCCAGCGTAATCCAGATGATGGGCCAGGCCGGTGGCCTCCCGGCCGCAGCCACTCCGCCGCAGATGCCTCAGCCCACGCAGACCGGGTATACTGGAGGCCCAACGCCGGGAAGCGCTGGCCCTGCTCCTTGGGATGCCCCTCGCCCTGATGATGCACGTGATCGCGGTGGCTATCATGACGGTATGAGGTCACCGCACCGTCGGGGCCGGTCGAGGTCACGCTCTCCCGCACGCTGGGACGCAAGAGGTTCCCCGAGATCCCATGCCAATGATCGGAGCGGTTTTGACTACGGACGGCCCGGTTCGCCCGGTCGCGGCCGTGCTGATGACCGGGACCGTCGTGGGGACATATCGGACTACCGCCAGCGTTCGCCCCGTGGGCGCCATGGCGAGAGCCCGGTTCGGGAACCAGAGCCGCAGGACAAGTGGGTCGAGTACGACAACAACGTTCCTAGTGGCAGCATCAAAGTGTACAGCCGGACCCTTTTTGTAGGCGGTGTAACGTGAGTTTTCCATGACTTTCCCAGTCGGTTGAAAGATGAAGAGAAGTGATGGAGATCGACGACTGACCAAGTACCCCCTCTAGTTGCTCTGAACACGAGCTTCGCGAGATTTTCACCCGTTTCGGCCAGGTCCAGACTTGCATCGTCAACAAGGATAAGCGCCATGCGTTTGTGAAGATGTTTTTCCGCAAGGACGCTGAGCGTGCAAAGGCCGCTATGGAGGATATGCGCAGCCAAGACTTTCAACTCAGGGTAAGTTATTTCATCACGAATATTTGCCTATCCATACGTTTTAACGTAGTCTAACCGCCGACCAACAGACAAGGTGGGGTGTGGGTTTCGGTCCCCGTGATTGCAGTGACTACCAGAGTGGCATCAGCATCATCCCCATTCACAAGCTCACCGACGCCGACCGCAAATGGATGCTTACAGCCCCCTTCGGTGGCTCCGGCGGCCGCCCCATCGTCAGCGGCCTGTCCGTCGAGGAGCCCGACATCGAGATCGGCGCCGGTGTGTCCTCCAAGGCCATCAGCCGCCGCATGCAGACCGACAAGGGCGGTAATCACGGGCCCAAGTCCAGTCGGCGTGTGGATGATGACCAACCTCCCGCTAGCTTTGGTGGCCCTGGTGGGCCTCAAAGCGGCGCCTTGACTGGAGCCCCCGGCGGTGGTCCCGGTGGCAGGTGGCGGAATAAGGCTGGTGATAAGCACCATGGCAGCGGTGGCGGTGGTGGTCGTGACCAGCAGCGACGAGGTGGAGGTGGCGGTGGTGCCCGGACCGACGGCAAAATTAGCGATGACCCGATCGTCATGGATCTGCCGGCGGGCATTACCATGGGTCCCAACGGAATTAACTATCCTCCCAACTTTGCCTTTGGCGGGTCGGGGCCGCATTTATAGGCGGCCATGACGACCTCCCGAATTAGGGCGAAGAGCGAGGATCGAGAGAATAGGAGTCAAGGACCGTCGCATTATACCCCGACACGTTGGTCGAGATCACCAGAATGGTGGCAGTTTGAGGATGTGGTTGGAACGCGGGGAACGATACCCAAAAAGCGACTTCGTCATTTTTATTCACTAGGCGGAAGCCAATAAAGGGAGGCGAACTTTGAACCATCGACTCTTGGTTTTACGACAAAGACAGGATGACTCTATCCCATAGGAGGGGAGTATAGGGCGTCTTCTTTCGGATTTTCTTTCCCTCTTCTTTCTTTCTATGGCCAGCCGCCACTTGTATACCTCACCAAACCCCGTTTCATACACCTTCAGGACCTGCCCAATTCTTTTCTTCTTTGTTTACATATTTTTCCCTTTCAGGTATCCGGTTCTTTCTTTCCCAGACCTTATACCGGTCTAAGACATATCACATTACATCCACAGCGCATGGGCGGCTTGGTTGACTAGCTGGTCGGCTCTTTTTCTTCCATTTCTTTTTCTTATTCAGCCGTCCTTGGGATTTGGGGTACGGACGAGGTGCAATGAAAAGGAAATTCAGGTTCACGGTTGGTTGGCGAGTTGATTTCTTCCCGCGAAGGCGGGCAAACAGGTAGTAGCTTTACCTTACCTAGTTAGGTGAAAAATAAAGAAGAGAACTGAACGTTGTTGCATATGGAACAGATATGAATGTGTTGAATCATGAACCATGACCCTAGTCCCAGAGGCTGGGATACCTGGGCGGTAACGCAGGAACGGCGCAGCCTCCCTAAATATGAGTGCAGTGGGTGTAATACGGAGGAAAGAGCGAACCAAGTAGGTAGGGATCGTAACTGCTTTTTATACTGTGGAGGAGCCCTAAACTTCTCTCACATGTAAACATAGACCACTGTCCCATTAATTGCCAACATAGAGGTGGTATATCAACATAATAAAATAGAAAATAATCAGATATAAACTGACTACAGTCATGTTATAGTCCTCTCGGCAATACCCAACCTCAACACTGTAAGCTGACCATAATAACGTCAGGCTTTCTAGCGGCCTGTGATATATACCGACAGCGACAGCTTATATACTCAGAGGTATTAGCACTGTGTAACCTTGTGGATGGATAAGGAGAAGGAAGGGGGGATCCGACCTCCTTCCTGGACAACCATGATATGTAGGTAGCAAGATATCGAAATAGCGAGGCCCCTTCCAATAGTGATTGAACAGACAACCAAATACCCCCTAGTCTAGGGAGCGGGCAACTTCGCAGACCCCTTAGGACCAGGGCACCACTCTAACCCACCCAATCCCCGTCTCTCTAATCCTCCTCCTCCCGCAACAAATAATCATTCCCCAAATCCAAATCCACACCAGCCATCATCAATTCCAACTTGCTCTCCTCGCTCAACCCCTCCACATCCAAGTCCATCGCCCTATTCCTCTCATGTCTCTCCCTTAGCCCATCCACCTCCTTCACCGGCCGGAGGGCCCCGTTGCCGTGGGGATTACGGCCCGGTCGGTGGGTCGCAAACGGCCGGGTCGGTTTCAGCACCTCCTGCTGTTGTCTCGCAACCGCTGCTAGCAGAGGTTGTGTCGGGTCCCCGTTGAAGTGCAGGTCGCGGCAGTATATGTTCAGTTCGGCGTACCGCGGGCCCTGGACGGCGCCGATCATGGGGTTGGGGTGGCGTTCGAGTTGGTGGGCTGTAAGATATGCGTCGCTGATGGTACGGCCGGGTTGTGGGTCGATCGGGTGGCCCTGGGCGTCATGCGTGGGGTTGGGGGGGTCTGGGTGGTTGATGACAGTCTTGGGGCGTTTGGTTTTGATAGTTAGGGGTTTGTTGTTAGGGCCGGGTATGGTGGTAGGGGTAACCTGCTCCTCTTCCTCGTCGATTGAGAGCATGAAGACCCGGCCGCTGGCGTCGCCGATAATGAGACGGGTTTTGTCGCTGTTGAACATGCCGGCTGTGATCGAAGCGGCAGTCTCGAAGAGGTTCCGAACCAGAGGCTGTTTGCTGAGGGAGCGGACGTTCCACACCTTCAAGACACCATCTGAGGAGCCAGTATAGAAACGGTCAGGCGTGCTACCCCATGCCGTGAATTTTACACCAATATCCTCGCGCTCTCGATTGCCACGGTACGGGTCAATTGGGTCCCCATGCCGAAGGACGTGGATTGGCTTGTCACCACGGGCGGTGTCCCAAACATAGGTGTTTCCATCGGTGCAGCCCGCGGTGATGTAGCAAAACGAGAAGCTGTTCGGCCTATACAGGGTGTGTTAGAAGTCATATCAAACGATACGGAGCAAGGAAACTACAGCAATACTTACATGATTGTCAATTCGTTGATATCCAGGGCCCTACAGTCTAATGTCATGACCGGGCTGTAGGCCATCACCCCGAACTCATCCTTATTGGCTGGCCGAAAGATCCGGATCTGGGTGTGTACATTAGGCTCCGGGTCTAGGCCTAACGGCGATGTGGCCGCGATGAAACACTCTTGTGTAGGATGCCACAACACCTCAAACACATTCTGTGTAGTCGCCGATGTGACCCGCCACCTCTCCCCAGTCAACCCGTCCCAAAGGCAAAGTTCGCCCGAGCCTCGCCGTTCGACGGGAATATCGCTATCCTCATGTGTCCGGCTTCGCGGCGAATACCCAACTAAGAGAAGATGCTTGACGTTGTCGGCTAGGCCCCATTGCATCGTAGCTGGGAAATAGGCCCACTTCTCGATCGATACATCGTTGCCCTTATCGTCGGTAACGCGAGAGCACGAGTATGACCGGAATGGGCTTTGAGAGATAGAGGTGGGGTTCAAATCGTAGATACGCACCGCACCCGAGACGACGTCTGCTGCCGTAGCGACCATGCCCGACTGATGCTTCGAAGCAGCCACGAAGTTGACGTTTCCGCCATGCCTCCATTCCCCCAACATGTCCATCGACGCCCCTGCTTGGTCGACCTTCCACACTTTGACTGTCTTGTCAAAGGAGCTTGTAAATGCCCGACCGTGAACTGCGTCGTAGTCGGACGATACGACTGAGGAGTACAACCACGGTGGTTGACTTTCGCGCATCTCATGCGTTGAGTTTTCTCCCGTCTCCACAATCGGCCGGACAATGCGATGCTCCGGGTAAGCGCGGAGCGTGATATCGGTGCAGGACCCCAGGACCAGGTTACCAGTCTTATTATATTGCTGGTTATGGGGATCTGAGTGGTTTGTGCAGCCACAGAGGAAGCCGTCGTCGGAGACCCATGTGATCGTAGTGACATCTCCCGAACAGCCCGTCCATTCCACCTGTTTTTCCAGTGCGTCCTCGCGGCATTTGCGGAACCCGTTGTTGAAGTTCTGGTATGACCTCATAGACCCTACACCGCGCTGTCCAACTAGTTCCCTGGCTAGAAGTAAGGAGTAGACCTTACTAGACCTTGCGAAGTCCTCCTGGCCATGGTCATCCCTTGAGATCGTCAGTATCAACGGTTCCTCGGCTGTTTTATGGCCGAGGAGGTCCTGAATAAAGTTGTCGATATCTTCACGCGCCCTCTTAGGGAGCCCACGTTGCCGCTCAATGGCATCTATTGCCCCCTGGACAAGGTGAGGGTTCTTCTTGAGAACCTTGGCTAGATCTTTCTTGGGATCCCGGGTATCTTTCCCTCGCGATAGACCTAGCGACTGACGAACCAGGCGTTGAAGGGCTGAAACCTCGGCAGTGGAAAAGTCGACGTGGAAAGTGGCGGGGGTATCAAGAACTGCCGGGTCCAGTTGTAGCACACTCTGTGCGCCTATTACGGCGTACCGTCTCTGGGCCGCTGTCATATACGGCCGCCTCTGCCCAGAAAACCACCCTGATACCCGCTCCTGGCTTCCCGTCAGTGGTTGACCTCTATGCCAGACTGAGGCATGAGCTGCAGCTCTCCAACCCTGCGGTGGGGTGCTAGGCCGGACTGGTGCAGCGGCTTGTTTTGGAGGGGCCGAGTTTCTGCTGAGTTTTGGAAGAATCGCGGGCCTTGGAGGAATTGGTGCAGGAGCACCGAGGGTCGTGGAAGTCGTTAGTGCTTGGGTAGGCACCGGTCTTTGCGGCGCAACCTCGGCATCGTCATCGTCGATGACGATGACCTCTGCCGGAAGGCTAGGCCTATCGGTTGCAGGGGACCATGGTTTCGTACCACGGTTCAGCGCCTGCGGATAGTCTTGGGCTCGTGGCAAGGGCGGGGTCTCGGAGCCAAGGTGTACGGTCCAACGGAGCCGGTTTAAGTCTTCAGGCGGCCGGTGAGGAGCCGAGGCGGGGATCGGAGTGGGAGAGGATAGGCCCTAGGGTAAGAAAAGAAAGGTTAGAATTCTTGTATAGATGAGATACGGGGAAGTTGAAATGACAGTACAAGGCGCAGCGCAATCGCCCGGACGTGGGAAGACGCAAGGTACGCGACTCTGGTTTCGGTTTCCCGGCTAACCGTTCCATTGCCTCGGTTGTAATATTCTTGCACGAAATCGGCGTCGGCTACCAACACGGCAAGCTAGAGGAGAGAAAAACGTGTGAGGAAAGACTTAGGACGGAGATGGAGGGCGGTTCAAAACGTGCATATTGGGCCAGGGCAAAGGCGTCGGCCGGGTCGTTAAGAACAAGAGAACCACGTACCTGTTTCGCGGTCGCGAACCGGTTGATTTTACCGTCTGGTAACGAGAGAGTTTGCGCATTAATGTGAGGATAGACTTGTCGGTCCAGGCACGCCAGGAATTGGCGATCGGACCGAATGGTTGAATTCGCTTCGACGCGAGCTCTTTTGGTGGGCCGTTCGGTGATGGTGGCAGGAGTATTGTTTCCCCATGCTACAGGTACCGCCTCAGCGGCTTGAAACCCGAGATCTGGCCTAGATACGCTAGTTATTAGAGGTCGCCCGTTTGCTAGCCTTAGACCTTCGATAGAATGGTGCGAAGGAGAAGGTATCGTCGTGATCGTCAAGCTCATTGTAGGGTGTACTGTCGGTAGCCTCTAGCCACAGCCTGTAGCCCTTTAATAAACTCGCGTCAAGAGCAAAAACAAATTGAAATACCCCAATGTAGGAATACTAGAAATGCGAAGAGACGTGTCTGCGATAGATAATAGAGTTACGTGCAAAAACATTTACGTACCTAGGCTCCATCGTTTTATTTTAGGTCGGAGTTTTGTAGTGAAAGGGATAAGTGAGCTACTTGCTCAGGTAGCCACAACTAAATTACATAAAAGTGGGTCCCGGATATACTAGCACAATAATTATCCAAGATATTATCATTATTTTATGCTATAATTTAGGTTTAATTTATCGAGCAATTAAAATATAAATCATTTGCCCTTTTGGACTTTATATATAGATATAGTCTTTGCATCCTGTTCTACAGGCATTATTTTCATACTTTGCAAAGTCTGCATTTCTAGTTCATTTTCATTGAATTTCACCTCTATTTTCTCGAGCACTGCGATTTTCTATCGATTTAACCTCTTCCTCAACCTGCGATGCCTATAGTGACAAGTTGGTAACCGTGCATCTTGCTCTTGATCCAGAGTTCTGGTCTCTTATCTCTACACCTCCTTCTATTCTTCACATGTTTCCAAGCTCGGGACGTCTCGTCTTATACCCTTTATACCCAACCCTGAAATGAAGCACAAGTCAGCGGACTACAGAACGCCTGCCAATTCCAAGGATATCAAGTTGTCGAATAGAGGATGTTCGTCTTGTAGGATGAACGGCGGGCCGGCCCTGTTCCAAGCCATCAAGGATAGTTTCCTCTGTACATGTCCCAAACCACATTATTTTAGCTCTAAAAGCCGCTAGTCCACCTGTACTCGACTCAATAAACATCCTCTATCAATTGCATCCCGTTCCGACCACTTGCAGCAGCAATGCAGCGCTTCGATTACAGCGCTGCAAGACCACGCCGCATTCCACCGCCCGCCACGATCATGCCAGCTCGGCGTTCACACAAGCTCCACCCATGCGAATCGCGACATCACGTGATATTAGACGGGGACATATTACCGCCATTTATTCCAATAGAACCTCGGAATTCGGGCTACACAAGCTTGACAAGGAGACAAGGGAACCTCAAGCGAGCATGAGAACGGCGGGTAGCAAAAAAGGAAGGCGCGTTATGTAAAAACAATTCCGCTCGAATAGTATATACAAGAAACTATCGAGGGGTATCCCTACGGAATGTATACTCTTTTCCAAACGAATTCCAAAAAAAATAATATCCAAAAATAATACCGCTGGAGTAGTGTATGCCGCCTGTTCCTACTCTGTGGTTCTCACTCACCCTCATCTAATTCTAGGCCTTACATTCCGTCTTGCCCATCCTTCCCACCCGCTTATAACTGAGCTCGGGGCTCAGGATTAGGCGGAGGTAAGGCGAAGGGAAGGAAACACATTAGAGTTTAGAGCTTAGGCTTCTCCGCCGCATTGGCGTGAAGCTCCTCGTACATGCGGTCGATATGACTGCGGAAGGCACGCGTTGCCTGGGGACGCTTGAGTTTGAGCCTGTTGCATTGACGGGTTAGTAATCGGCCGGGTCTCTATTTTGCAAAACGGATTCTTGGGGGAACGGAGGGAAGGAGGGGGCCAAATGAGGAGGAGTGAGGAGAGAAAAACATACGTCGGGGTCAGGAGCTCATTCTCAATAGAGAACGGCTCAATCTCAAAATGGCAGTTCCTGACCTTCTCAAAGCTGTTGAACCGTTGACGCTGGCCAATCTTATCCAACAGCTTCAAGAACGCCCCCTTGACGCGCGGGTCGTTCGCAGCCTGCACGACGGCCTCTTTATCCTCAGCCGGAACGGGCCGCTTGAGGATATTGCTGGCGTAGGGTGCAAACGTGACGGGGTCGACGCCAAACACGCCAACGAGCGACGACTCCTTGCCATCGCCGTGCACAAAGGCCATGGCGATCAGGTTGGTGGCGCCCATGTAGACGTTTTCGATGCGCTCGGGGGAGATGTACTCGCCCTGGGCGAGCTTGAGCACATTCTTCTTGCGGTCGATGATCTTGAAGCGGCCTAGGCTGTCGACCTCGACGATGTCGCCCGTGTGGAACCAGCCATCGGGCTCGATCGACTTGGCCGTCTCCTCCGGGTTGCGGAAGTACTCCTGGAAGATGATGGGGCCGCGCATCAGCAGCTCGCCGCGCGGGTTCGGCTTGTCTTCGACTGTGTATTCGTAGTCGGGGACCGACTCGATGCACAGCTCGACTGACGGGCACGGGGGCCCGATGTTGCCGGTGGTGAAGTCGCCGGGTAGCTGTACGGTACCGACAGCATATGTCTCAGTCATGCCGAAGCCCTGGACAAAGTTATTGCCAAAGGCGGCGCGGAGGAACTGGTGGACGTCCGGGTCGAGCTGGGCGCTGCCGCTGACCATGGTGCGCGTGCGGTCCAAGCCAACCGCTTTGAGGACCTTGGGAGTCCAGATGCGGTCGTACAAAAAGTGCTTGTTGGTGGCCTGGCCGTCCGGCAGCTTCATGCTGGCTTTCTTCGTGTCGATGACGCGACGGGATAGCGTACCCTTGAAGCCGTCGGCCTTGACGGTAGAGGCTTGGATAGCCGAGTTGATGCGGTTGTACAGGCGCGGCACCGACATGAAGCCCGCCGGGCGCAAGATCTTGATGTCCTCAATCAGGCCGGCGATGTCGCCGTGGAAGTACCCGATGCTGGCTCCCTCGGCCAACGCAGTCTGGTCCGCCATACGGCCATAGATGTGCGCCAGGGGCAGGTACGAGATATGAACATCGCCCGCGCGGACGCTCTCGTTGGAACGGGCAGCCGTAATGCCGGCCACGCCGTTCTTGTGGGTGAGCAAGACGCCCTTGGGGTCCCCAGTGGTACCCGAGGTGTAGTTGATCGTCAGGGTGTCGTCGGGTCCGGGCGGGCGCATGGGCCGGCCGGAGCGGGCACCGAGCGATTCGACTTCGTCGATGGACAAAATTTGGATGCCCACGCTGGCGGCGGAGGCGTTGAGGAGTTCCCGCTTAGAGTGTCCCGGCACCTCGCCGGCGTCGAGGGGGTCGAGCGAGATGATGATCTTGAGCGAGGGCACGCGTGGCGCTAGCTTCAGCAGCGTCGGGATATGGGGCAGCGAGCAAGCAATGGCCGTTATGCCGCTGTGGTTGATGATGTACTCGCTCGTCTCCGGGCCCAGTGTCTCGTATAGCGAGACAGGCCACAGCGACTGCGAGAGCAGCGCCAGCTCGGTAATCTGCCACTCGGGCCGGTTCTGGGCCCACAGGCCGACGGCGTACTTGTCGGTCTGCACACCAACACGGTGGTGCAACTCGACAATACCCGCGCCCAAATTCTTCCTCCGCTCGGCGACCTCGCCATAGGTAAGCCACACGTACTTGGGCTCAAAGGTCTTGGTGACCGCGTTCCAAGGCCGCCATCCCAAACACCTCGCCTTGGGGTTCTGCGCAACCGAGTGTTCAAAAAGATCGTTGATAGTGCGCTGGGCAGGGTCGAACGTCTCGAGGAGAGGGCCGTTCTGGAAGCGCCAGTGGCGGTAGATGGGCGTGCGGTTCGGGCGCTCGGTGCCGGGGATAGGGCTTGCGTACGGTGTGCCCGGGGGAGGGGGCGTCGCGAGGGTCTTGATGTACGCCCTCGTGTCCTGCTTGTTGGGAGCCATGGCCGCGGTGGCGTCTCAGGCGTGGACGGATCGCGTGTTGAGGGGGGTTTCGTGATGGGACTCGTTTGCCCGAGAGGGACGGGAACCGTAGTCGTTCGCGGCACCGGGGAGGAACAAAGGAGCGAAAGCGTAGAAGTGGACGACTGCAATCGCGACGTCACGTCGGGTCACTACTGCCTTGCTTCCAGGGGCGGGCGATAGGTAGTGTTGCGAGGGTTGAATGTGGGTGTTGAGAATGTGAGGGGTCGAGAACAATATCTTTTAGAAATATTGTCCCCTTTTCGAACGGAGAGAGGGAAGAGGAAGTCGGCATTCGGCAACATCGGGTGCCCCCGTCTCCAGGGAAAGTTCTTGGGCCGAGTGCGACAGGGATGAATAGCCAAGGTATGTGCAGTTGACGTTTGCCAAATACACTATCCCCTATTGGAAGTACCTGCCCCCTTAACGGACAGCATAGTTTGTGAGCCGGGTAGCGGCTGTTGATTCCGACTGACAGGCACAGATGAAGCCGTATGATTTTTGATTATTTTCAACTTACATTTAAATTTCCACATTTTTTCTGTACAACAGTCTCAGTCCCAAAAAGCCGTATCTCGCTGCTCACGTCCTGTTTAGCCCTGCGTACCCCCGCGTGCCCCGGCCAGCTGCCCCGAGGGTCTGCCTCGGCAAGTGTGGGGCCGTGGCGCGCCAGAGTGCGGAGGACACAGGCGCCTGCCAATGGCCCGAAGGTCATTGACACGGGGGTGGGTTCGTTCTAGGCAAGCCTCCGTCATCGCGACCGACTGACTGGTAGGCGTGTCTGCATGACGCGCCGGAGCGAATGCAAAAGGGGCAGACGACGAAGTGAGACACCTGCAGTTGAAAGTGGTTTTTGCAGCCAATAGGTACGGAGTATTCGTACCCGGCAGTCCATTAACGCAGAGAGTAAGATAACGCTACTGCGCTTTCGTAGCAAACAGCACATATTCGACAGTATCTCTTCGAATCGGAAGATGCTTGGGTTTTTCTATGGATGTTCCTAGGTCAAAGGTGCGGAGCGGAAGGAAGCGAAAGACCGAGCCTCCGACTCGGATTGATGAACCCGGCATTTGGAGATAGAGGATCGAAACACCGGGGAAAAGCGGGGGCTGAAGACATGAAGTGTCGCGTTTTTTTAACGACTTGTAGCATCTCTTTTCGCAACGTGTGTACAATTTCGAAGCTCATTTCCATCGGGTTGACATGAAAGTTGACCTCGGCCAGCGGTGGAAATTTAGTGGGCCAGCTCAAAACGTTTAAATTTCCGCCCCACGATTGCATTGGCGGGGCCCCGGGGTCACGCCTCGGCTGTTGTGGGGCACGAGCCACTTCGTCCGTTCCAGCTTTCTCGGACGAAGAAGGCACGACGGCCCACGTGAAACGCCAAGCGGAATTCGGACTTGAAGGGACAAAACGTCCAAGAGATTCTGAGACGGCAAGACGGGCAGGTCTACGGAGTAGTTACTGTGTCGTACAACGCCCCTGCGCAGGAGACTCGAGACGGTTGGCTCTTGACGAACTGGTACGAAGTACTTTTTCCCCGTTCGATTTATATGACCCGGCGTTTCTTGAAGGAATTTAATCTTAGTGTCGACAAACCCCCATGCTTAGGGGGCGCTTCTTAGTCCTTGTTGTTCAATTTTGGGGGCCGTTGGTTGCTGGGAGAATTCGGCTGTTGGCGCATCGTCTCTGTAAGTCACATAGCAGAGCGCGTGGCGTACAGTCCGGGTAGGTAAAGGGACGACAGCGGGCGGCTAAGCCAAGCGCTACAAGGAATCGTGGCGAACACGATGGGGTTGCTTTCTGACGTCCTGGATTCTTCTTGGCCGTGACTCTTTATATCCCTTCCCCTGTATGAAGCAACGCGGGGTTGTCGTCGTCCAAGCGCGACAAGGAGTCGTTGCCTTCTCCTGCTCGATTGATAGTGAGCTCAATACTGTCCTTCTTATGTCTCGTGCGCAGGAGTGCAGGAATGCAAAAACTAACCCCAACGAGACGACGATCACGCCCTCGCCAAGCAGTCGGATCGACGAGTGCCGGCGTCGAAGCAACAAAACTCGTGATGCGCTGCGACCCTATACCGCACGGTTGGCTCGCCGCGATTGGTCCGGCTGATTGTACCTGCCGTTAAACTGCTCGAATGCACAGAAGCGCCCCCTCCGAGTACCCTTGGGATTCCCGTTTCAGGACGGCCTCACAAATTGGCCCCCGGACGGGTGAAGCGCGTTGAGACAAGCGTGTGAAGAGGCTCGGGCGAGTTGGGGTCTGGGGAGGGTTTGCTTGGTGATGGAATGGTAGGCTACATAGTAGGGCTCGGGTCGACCTGCCGGCTATTCGACGGCCGAGATTTTCTCATTTCTGATGAATGACTTTCGTTTCGCTCCCACCTCTGCCGGCCTCTGCGCATCCTCCTCTGTTTCTTCCTTTTCCCTTTGCTCTGTGTGGTTGCCGCTGCTGGATTCTCGCGCCAACTTGTTTCCTACCTACCTGCTTTTACTATTGTTTAATTATTCCCCTCGTGCTGCGCATCCTTCTCTCCAACGACGACGACGACGACGACGACGACGATAACGACAACCGCCACGATGATGAAGCTCACCAATCTGTCATTTCCCCTCATCACCATTCTCCGGGCGACCCAGGGTGTCTTCGCAGCCCTGATATTAATCCTCTCAGCCTTTGGTAAGACCACTCTATACTCACTAATAACCACCAGAGGATCACATCCCATCTAACATACCGGCCCTCCGTCTCAATAGTCGCGAACTGGTACAACACCACCACCCCCTCGCCATCGCCATCGCAAGTCAACTTCCTCCTCTTCGGCGCCGTCTGGTCCATGCTCTCGCTCGCCGCCATCGAACTCCTCCCGCGTTTCCTCACACGCAGTACGTCATACCCCCCCCCCTTTTTTTTTGTTTTTTTTCCCCCTCCTCCCAACTAACTCAACTTGACTACCCTTCAAGTCCCCAAACCTTACCTCACCCTCCCCCTCGACATCCTCAACGCCCTCTTCTACCTTGCCGGATTCGCCGCCCTCGCCGCCTTCCTCCAGGGTCTCCTCTTCTGCCGCGGAGATGTCTGCCACGCAGCCCAGGCCGATGTCGCGTTTGGGGCGTTCTCGTTTGCTGTTTGGACGGCGACGGCTGTGTTGAGTGGGAAGGAGGCGCTTCGCGTTCGGAGGACTGGGGGAATAGGAAGTGGTGCTGCGCAGGGACCGTTGGCTGGGACGGGGGCGATGCCGGGGCAGAGGGGGATGAAGGAGGCTGTGTGAGATGGGGGAGGGGAAGGAAGGGGAAAGAGGGAGGGGGACGGGTGGTGAGGGAAGAGTGATGGGGTGGGTGTGGTTGTTATTTGGGTCGGGATGGGTGATATAAGGGGTGGTCGTCTTTACCTGACCCTGTGGGGGGACGTCCCGAGGTCACTCAGTGCGAAAGGCTGAACCCGATCTCCGGGCCGTCAGAACCTAATCTGGCCAGGACTGGTACGACCGGAAAGGGGATTCCGACCCGCGAGATCTTGATGACAGAAACGAGTGATGGGGTTACGTGGTTCAGCTCGGACCGAGAGCCGGGATGTATATGTGGGATTGAATGTGGGATATGCTGCGAGAAGCCTGGTGGCGGTGGGTGGTGTCATTTAGCACGGCCTTGATGGCTGCTGTGATGCAACGTGGGAGTGGAAGGGCTGGCGTTTTTGTGGCGCGTTATAGGGTAGAACGTGTTCGTTGCTGGGTGTTACATGTATTTTTGGCTTGCATATAGGTGGATGAAGAAACTGTACTTCGTACCTGTTTGGCTATTCGCAAACGCTTCAACCTTCCCCAATTTGGAAACAACTCTCTCATAGCTCCAGCTAGAGTTGCCGTTTAGGCCTCCTTCTCCCTGAGGTAGTTTCCAAGAGCTGAACCGATAAGGCACCAACCACTTATTCGCCATGCCAGCTCAGGATGGCATAATCCACCCCAAAACACCACCCGACTGAGCACCTCTGCCCACTTGGACCCCTCTTCAGCCCTCCTCAGAGCTCTAGACGTTGATGATCGACAGCCAAGGGTTGCAATATATGTGCGCTCGCCGTACCAAGGCCGGCCGCCTCTCGCAGGAATGCAGCGGAAAAGAGCGAGCACATACTCGCCGAACAGGCACGGGGAGAGAGAAGTGAAAGACAGTTACATAGTAACAACACGGCGAGGTGAGAAGCCGGAGCTACCCCGCGCTTCCAAGCTCGCTCACTCATTGCTACGGACATGACATGACAAAAAAGAACATGCAGGCTACAGTGGATGTGCTCCATAGCGTGACACATGAAAACCCTCATCTCTCTCGCTCCATCTATCACCTCATTGCCAAGCCCCAGCTCGTGGTCGTACTACCAGTCCCATTGTGCCTAGGTGGGGGGGTGCTGGAGGGGATGGGATCTACCCGACAGTGAATGTCGCGGTCGCCGGGCCGCAGGGTGTGGTCCCCGATGGAGGGGCTGAGGGGCTGTGATAGCGGGGCTTGAGTTGGGTAAGGCGAAGGGAATTGTTCTTCAGACCTGAGACGACCTCAGTTGGGAAGAGGGGGGGGGTGTTTCCGACGTTTTTGGGGATTCAGTAGCGGGGTCCAGGTGGTTGTGTGGTTCTTTGTACTTACATAGTAGAGTGGGGGTTTTGCACTTGGCAAGGGCAGTGGAATAAGAGAAATAGCAATATCTTACTTAGGTACGACAGTGCTTTGACAGAGCCTTGGAAGGGAATCGAAAAGAGAAACTCACAAATGTGACGAGATTCGGAAGGAGGTACCTTGATGGAGTGCCTGCCCGCACTTACACTTACGGAATGCCCAAATGCCAATTGCCCCGCGCGCCATCAACCGATGGCGCAATGGCGTGCTCCAAACTTCACCCCACTTCCTTTCCCCAATTGTCCTCCTCCGGCCACGCGACTGGGCGGATGTCACCCCCGTGCTGTGTCGAGGGGGGAAACGAAAAGTTGACAAACGGACGAGGCATGGTGGGATGGCGATCGGCTAGCAAAAAATTAGGTGTTGAAGGTGGGGAGGAGGGGGAGAAGAGGAAGGTGGACGGACGGAGTAGAAAAGGACGAGCTCCCAGTCGTCGCGACTTTTGGGGGGGCCGATTCTCGGTCTCGTCCCATCTCAACCCACTGCAACTTATCCTTCAGCCCACCTCGCTTCGAGCCTCGCTGTGTGATTGAGACCTGGTTCCCCTACTTTCTTTGCTTGTGATACCCCGTGATACCCTCGTCATCATGTCTGGCCAGAAGTTCGAGACGCTCCAGCTCCATGCCGGGTACGTGCTGCAATTTCTCTCTCTGCATTTTCTACAGCCTGTGCTCTTCTTTGCTAGGAGCGGATGAGAAGCAAGGGATACGGAGACTAACATCGCAACAGCCAGGAGCCCGACCCAGCGACCAAGTCGCGGGCCGTCCCGATTTACGCCACTACCGTGAGTAGGCCACCACGACACGGGACCCAGGGACCGGAACAAACTGACTGACATGGGTTAGAGTTTCACTTTCAATGACTCGGCGCATGGCGCCCGTCTGTTCGGGCTCAAGGAGTTTGGCAACATCTACTCCCGGATCATGAAGTGAGTGGGCTAGACATGTTGAAGGGGTGGCCACGTATGAGTCCGAGACAGGCAAAACACTAACAAGCTCAGCCCCACAGTAGATGTCTTTGAGAAGCGCATCGCCGCGCTCGAGGGCGGTGTTGCCGCGGTGGCCGCAGCGTCAGGTCAAGCAGCCCAGTTCATGGCCATCGCAGCGCTGGCGCACTCGGGCGACAACATTGTGTCGACATCAAACCTCTACGGCGGCACCTACAACCAGTTCAAGGTGTTGTTCTCGCGCTTCGGCATCACCACCAAGTTCGTCAACGGCGACAGCCCGCAGGATATCGCCGCCGTCATCGATGACAAGACCAAGGCCGTCTACATCGAGAGCATTGGCAACCCGCGCTACAACGTTCCCGAGTTCGAGGCCATCGCCAAGGTCGCCCACGACGCTGGCGTACCGCTTGTGGTAGGTTGAAGAAAATCTTAGCATGACGTGAGAGAACCTGAATCGCTAACCGGTTAGGTCGACAACACGTTCGGCGCGGGTGGGTACTTCGTACGCCCGATCGAGCACGGCGCCGATATTGTGGTGCACTCGGCCACCAAGTGGATCGGCGGCCACGGCACGACGATCGGAGGTGTGATTGTCGACAGCGGCAAGTTCGACTGGGGCAAGCACGGCGCGCGGTTCCCGCAGATGGTCGAGCCGTCGGACGGGTACCACGGGCTCAAGTTCTGGGAGACTTTCGGCCCCATCACCTTTGCGATCCGCGTGCGCGTCGAGATTCTGCGCGATCTGGGCGCGGCGCTCAACCCCTTTGCCGCGCAGCAGCTGTTGCTCGGCATTGAGACGCTGTCGCTGCGCGCCGAGCGACACGCACAAAACGCGCAGGCCCTGGCCGAGTACCTCGACAAGAGCGAGTACGTGTCGTGGGTGTCGTACCCGGGGTTGGCCAGCCACCAGTCGCACGAGACGGCCAAGAAGTACCTCAAGCGCGGCTTTGGCGGCGTGTTGAGCTTCGGCGTCAAGGGCGGCGGCGCGGCCGGCAGCCAGATAGTCGACGGGTTCAAGCTCATCTCCAACCTTGCCAACGTCGGCGACTCCAAGACTTTGGCCATCCACCCCTGGAGCACCACCCACGAGCAGCTCAGCGACGAGGAGAAAGGCACCTCGGGTGTTACCGAGGACCTGATCCGCATCTCGGTCGGCACCGAGCACATTGACGACATCATCGCCGACTTTGAGCAGTCCTTCAAGGCCGCGGCTGCTGCGAGCACCGAGGGGGGCGCTGCCGTCGCGGACCGGACAAAGGGTGAGGCGGCTCCGGTGGTGGTGTAATTTTATAGTGTCGTTTTCTTCGCATAGTAATGGATCACTGACTGATCAGGCTCGAATGTTGAGCGATCAGATTCATCGTCGCGCTTCTGCGGTGTGTTCAACTGTGTTCGCATCCCGTTTCGCAGGTAGTTGATGGTTTGGTGATGATAGAACAGAACTTTACTGTGTAAAAGTGAAGGGACCCAAGTTACCTCGCGAGCGAGCGAGCTTAATGTTTGGTGCTTAGGTGGTGGTGCTCAAGCACGAGCTCCAACTCCAGTTTGGCGGGGACCCACTATTTCTAATATCGACGAATCACAACGCATCAAGTATACCTACCCCTGCCAGTGCACTGACATGCCATCACTTCACCTCCTGCGCGCAGCTGTTGTCCAACTCCAGCTTCACATTTCCCAATTTCTCATCACCACCAAACCCACCCATCTCTCTCCCACGCCCGCCTTCGCGCGCGCAAAATCCCTATCCAACACAATGCATCTCACCCCATTCCTCCTCACCCTCACCTCCCTCCTCACCCCCGCCGCCACCCAACAATACCAACAACAACACCAACAACAACCACCATCAACCAACGACGCCTCCACAACACAAGCAACTCTCAACAAACTAACCCTCCGCATCCCCTCCTCCCCGCCCCATCTCCCCAACCCACACCTCCTCCCTGCCTCGACACGCGCCACCCTCACCACCCTCGGCCACACCACCCTCTCTGCGCCGCTGTCCGACACCAATACTTTTGTCTTCCGCAACGTTAGCGGCGGGTCGTATTTGTTGGATGTGCATAGCGCGGGGTTTGTGTTTGTCCCGTTGAGGGTTGATGTGACGGATCGGAAGAATACGAATGCTGTAGGAGGTGGTGGTGAGGCGGGGAAGGGAAAGGGGGGAGCTGTGGGCGGGAGCAGCAGCGGGTTGGGGGTGAGGGCTTGGGAGACGTTTCGGGGGAATGATTGGGCGAATGTTGGGGAGAGGGTTGGGGTTGTGGAGGGGGGGGATGGAGAGGGGAGTGTGTTGTTGGATGTGAGGGTTGTGGGGGGGAAGGGGTATTTTATGGAGAGGAGTAGTTGTGAGTTTTTTTTTTT